AGAAGCTATCACTTTTAACTTATATTTTTTATAAATAAAATCACCCATTCTAATAAATATTTATTATATATTTTTTAAATCACTTCTCATAATTTACATTAACGAGAAACAATTAATGTATGTTTATGTTAATTAACACAGGATATTTTAATCCACTTTTTTATTTTAAAACAAAATTATTATAATTAACTGACTTTCTTAAATTATATAATATAATTTTTTTCTCTTATGTATAAAAATAGAGGGAGTATAGAATCATTCAATAAGACTTTTCAATCAGTAAAGAAATTAGGATGCCCTCAACACTTGGTTTTAATAGCACATATTTAAATCTTCTAAAATTATATCCGTAAAATTGGGTGACATTTTGTCTGAGGTTTAAGGTGCAAAAATACTCACAAATAGTTGGTCAAGAACATCTAATAGCCTAAAACAAGAAAAAGAATAAAAATACCTATAATATTACCAAATTTGGTGTAAAAGTAACCAAATCATTAACTTATCCTAATATCATTAATTTTCAGTATTAAATGCTAACTGTATTTATCACGTGTTAGTCTTTGCTAGCGTGAACTAAAATAGGGGCAAAAATACTCACAAAATTGTCAATCAGAAGTATCTAGTAGTCTAAAGTGAGAGAAAAGGTAAAAATATTCATAACGTTACCAAAGTTGGTGAAAAGGTAACCAATATATCACATTTCTTAAATGTTGACCGTTTAACTGATACCTAATCAAATGTTGATCATTTTTTCACCGTGAATAAAAAAATTCCAAGTGAAATTCAATAGAGGTTAATAGGTCATCGTATAAGTACCCATAATATTACTTTAGTAGGTGCAATAGTGATTAATCTGTCAAAATTCATGTCACGTGGTTTTTTTCTATCACCATGCATTCAACCCCCTTTCTCTATCCTTTTTCAATCATTTTTCTTGTTTGCAAAACCTAAGATTCAATACAATGAGATAGGTTGCACATAATCAAAAATTGAGAATAAAGAAGCTGTGGTTCATTGTAAAGAACGCAAGCATTTCGCGAAGAAGGTTATCTTTACTCATAATGCCTTCATGACTATATAAACCTCCTATACCACCTACCTTAAGAACATTAGCATAACCATAGTTGATTTCCTTCATAATGAGATTTGAAATCCTCAAATGGCTTCCACCACTATTATCAAGAAGCAAGCGATTTAACTTACTATTTGATTAAAATGATATTTTTTTATGTGATATTCATATTATGATTGATCAACCTTTATAGAATTTCACCTAGAATATTTTTTGTTCATGTCAGTGAAAAAATAATTAACTTCTATTTACATGTCAGCCAAATGTTCAACATTTAAGGAATTCGATGGCTTAATTTTTTGCACCAACTTTAGTAATATTATGAGTATTTTTTTCTCATTTTAGGACACTGGATGCTCTTGATCGATGGTTTCGTGTATTTTTGTCTTGTTTTTAGTCCATGTTAGTAAAAATTGACACGTAGCAAGCATAGTCAGCACATGACATCGAAAACCAACTACATTAGGGTAAGTTAATGATTTGATCACTTTTGCACAAATTTTGATAACATTATGAGTATTTGCCCTTTTTTGTCATTTTAAGTTATTAAATGCTCCTTATCACTTGGTGGAAATTTTTATACCTTAATCCTTTATTTATTTATTTAGTATCTTTATTTATCTTACCTCTTTTATCCTAAATTATAAGATATTTTTTAGATAGATTTGGTGTTATAAAATATAAGACATTATAAGAAGATTAATAGTTCATTAAATAAGTTTATTCCAAAATTACTTTATTTATTTATTTATTTAATTTCCATCCATATCTCTTTTCATTATATTAAATAAAATGTTTTTTTAAAAGTTTATATCTTTGTTTTTTTAAAATAAATTTGTTAAGTGTATCAAATTTATTAACATATGAGAATTTATTTAAAAATATCTTATAATTTGAGACAAAAAGAATTTTTTTATAAAATATAAAATATTCTTTCTCTTTATTTAAAAGAAAAAAATTACACAAATTTATTAATGCCAAAATCGAAGGATTTAAATTCCAATACCATTTTAGGATCACAACCCTTCTTTGCTCAATATACTAAAAAAAATATATAGGCGCGCACGTCACGGGTAGTATGATTAATATTATAATTAATTAACCATCAATCATGCATCGATTTTTTTTTTTTAAAAGCGTTTATGTGAAAGTACATTTTTTTGGGAGCAAATATCTGAAAGCACATTGATGATTGAACAGAGCAACTTTTGAGCGCAAAATCAATAATACAGTTGGGCGGTCTGCGTGTTTTGCAGGGTACACTTCTAAGTGTCGGTACACATCATACACAATGGAGATAAAATCAGTCAAATACCAATCGTAATAAACAATAGAGTAAACAACTAATAATCAGATTCAGAGAGTTTACCCAATCACACTTGGCCGTGGTGGAAATATCATAGTCCGTAGAAAAGCCCAAAACTTCAGAATCTTGAGAAGAATCCGAAACTTCAAGTTGGAGTTGAAAGGCTCAAATGTGACCACTGATTACTAAGAATGCTTGTCTTGTCTGATGCTAACGTTATTAACTTAGTACCTGTGTGGATTTTCGATAATAGTATATTTGAAATTTTTAATTATTTGTTGAATTTAGTAAAAATATACTGCAAATATAATTTAAACGTATTTTTAAAGATCATGTCCTTAAACGGAATCGGAATAGGAATCTCGTCAGACACGGAACCTCTTCAAACAAGTTGGCGTCGGTGGAAAATAGTGGCAATGCTGTTTGTGTCTCTCCGTGGCTCTGCGCCGCTCAAGGCTTTTAATTAAAGAAGTGGGGATGGACCCACCGGTGATTGAGACCCCGGACATTGAATGTAGGTCAAGACGAGGAGCATGAGGCGCGCTTGTTAGAAAATCGCCACCTGTCCCCTGCCTCATCCTTTACATCATATAATGTCTGTCCCATGCTCGGACAACAGGACTTGCTGTCTCTGTATGGGCGCAACCATTTTGTTCGTCCCGTCTGCTACTCTGGTTTTCTTCATGGGACGACCGTTCCCACAAGATACATTCTGCAGAATTCAAATATCTGTTTGTTTGTTATATAAAATATGCACTGCACATCCTATCAACGTAGCGTTTGTAGTCCAACGGTTAGGATAATTGCCTTCCAAGCAATAGACCCGGGTTCGACTCCCGGCAAACGCAGCTTTGCTTTTGTATGATTCTCGTTCGTCTCAAACAGGACATTGTTATTATTTACCATCTTCAATGATTTAATTTTATTTAAGTCGAAAACAACTATAAATAATAGCTTATAGTAAATATTCCATCATAAAGTAAGTCAAATTCAATTTCAAATCACTCTAAATCTCATTAGTAGGGTAATAAATTAAATAATACTTTCTTACTTTCTTAATGTTATGTCTGGATGCATTTGAATTTAAATTTGAGTCAAATTTTTTGCTTGGGTAATTAAAAATGTATAAATTTTGATTTAACTCAAAATTCAAATCTTACTTCAATTCTTTTGTAATTTTAAATTTTTTTAAAACTTGTACTATTTCAAATTTTAATAAAAGCTTATTTCTTCCTTTATGCTTGTTTATTGACTTCGCTACCTTTTTGACTTTCTTTTTATTGGGATTGTAGTTGATGATTGAGACTTGGCAACTGACATTGATAGGCATAAGATTGCCAGCGATAGTCGGGATCGAATGATCAACTTTGACCTAGATCGCATAGACAACACCAATCGAGCTAGATAAATGACACTAAATGGGGCCAAACTGCACCTAGATCGGGGTAGATAGGGATAGAACGGCTAGTGCCAACTAGTATTGGACCGCCAATGTTGACCAGGATTTAATTGCCAGGGTGGACTCGAATCGAATGGCTTGTGCCAGCTTTGGTCGAAACTAGACAACCTCTCGATGTTGGTTTGCACCATTATCGTTATTCGATACTAGTCCAGTATTGTCATCTGGTGATAGTTTGCTATCACCATCTGGTGTTGATCCATCGCATCCAACCTATTTTTGTTTGCTGTCACTAATGCAGTTTAAGACTGGCTTGTGATCATCATCTTTGATCCATCTAATGCCAAACACCGCTATTGATAAGGAATGTTTTGGTGTTGTCATCCAGGTCCAATCCATAACCCTTGAACTGTTGTTGGGATTAGACTGCTAATGTTGACCAAGATCGGACTGCCATTGCTGTTCGATACTAGACCATTGATGTTATTTAGGTTTAGATAACCAGAGTTGATTGAAACTAGGTTGCCACCCCTAATCAAGATTGGATGTTGACTTGGAATTATTCTTTGATTAAAGATATCGTCTGAGTTGTCTTTAAATTTAAACATAGAATTTAAAATTTGAAATTTTATTTAAATTTGAAACAAAGTATTTTAATATTATAATTTAAAATTTTTTATATCATCTAAATAAAGAATTTATAATGTATAAATTTTTAATGTAAGATTTTAAATTTAAATTCTCAATCCAAACTCAGCCATCCAAACACGACCTAAAATCATACTTTCGTAAGCCAGATTCTAATTCAGAATTATTTGAAATTTTTATGCTTATAACCACAAATACCCTCCGTCCTCACCTGCTGTTTTACATGTATCCTTTCTTTCTTTTATCCAACGAGACATGTATTCTTTCATTCACTTTGTATTTTCATATGTTTTTTTTATCTTTTTAATTCTTTACATTACAACCCATGTAAGTAATGGCGAAACTACTCCACTGAAATAATGGCCGAGTAAATTTTATTTAAGATTAAATAATTATAAATATTTGCAAAGAATAATAATCATTATTGAGAAACAACTGTGTAAATAAAGAATAATACGTTCTTGTATAAATGGCCACAACCCCACACAAAGTTAGGGCACAAAAATAAAGAATATTATTATGAACTTCTCACTAATTAAGAGTGAACAAGGGATCGCTGGCTATTAGCGGGTGGCTCACTGTTGATCGTACACGATTGTAATTTCATCTGAAGATGTTGTTGCCAACTGAAGCAGAGGAAATGGATAAGAACTTGATCTGGAGCCAAAGTTCGAGGTTGAAGTAGACGAAGAAACTGATGATACATAAACTCCACAAGGTCTTACTCCTGGTAACTCCATTAGAGGCTCATTTGGGTCGAGCAAAATGTGCACCACTTTTCTCATCTTTGGCCTAAAAACTGAATCTGGATACAAACATGCCAACCCAACCATCAATGCCCGTCTAGCTTCTTCCTCATCGAACTGATCTCTTAATAGTGCATCCACACACTCCATCAATGCATTCTCACTATGCATGTTCCAAACATAGTCCACCAAACTGTTCTCTGCCGTTGTGCTTTTTGATCTTCTTCCACACACTACTTCAAGCACTACCATACCAAAACTGTACACATCAGATTCTGGGGTGGCTTTTCCCGTGAAGCCTACTTCCGGAGCCAGATATCCAGGAGTTCCAGCGAGATTTGTGATTACTGATTCTTCATCCTGAAGTAATCTTGCCAGGCCAAAATCTCCCAGATGAGCGTTGAAATCCGAGTCTAGCATTATGTTGTTCGGTTTAACATCCCTGTGAACAACAGGGTTTCCACACTCTTCGTGAAGGTAGAGTAATGCTGATGCAATTCCTACTAATATCTTGTGCCTTGTTTGCCAGTTCAGAATGTCCTTGCCTATGAAGTGATCCAAGCTTCCGTTTTGCATGTACTCATACACTAAGAGAAGATATTCACCTTCATGGCACCACCCTAGTAGTTGTACTATGTTCTTATGCCTAAGCCGACCTATGGTACATATTTCAGCAAAATACTCTCTTTCACCTGTTGCAGAAATTCGGAGGGTCAAGAATGCATGTTACAATTAAGGTGAAACTTCTGTAATTTGGCTTCTACATAAATGCACTTTTTAAGGTGAAATATGATTATATTTCAGTGCTTGATTTCCACAACTTTTTGTTGACATTAAATATAATCCACTTACGTTCTCAACATCTCGAGACTTGAGGTGTCAATCAAATGCACTGTTAACTAAGACGACGAACTAAAGTGGCTGCGTAACTAGATCAAACACTAAATCGTAAAAGTCATTTTATTAGCATCTATGAAGTCAACCTACGCTCTCTTGGGATGACATGCAAGTATTCTGATTCTGTGACATGTATGCGTGTAAATCTTCCGTATCTGAATTCTAAATTCGTGTGCGTGTTTCTTATGAAGTTTGTTAGTTAGCTAAAAGGTTCACATACCTTGTTTAGAGTTTGCAGAAATCTTCTTGACTGCTATGGTTTTGGGAGGATCTAATAGGAGGCCTTTATAAACACAACCAAATCCACCTCTTCCTAACAGATTCTCCTTGCAGAAGCTGCTAGTAGCCACATACAATTGCCTGAAAGAGAACCCTTTGGGGATGTCTGGAGCTGTCATTGATAAGCATTCTATTTCATCCTGCTTGTCACTCCTCTCAGTCTTCTTTCCTTTCTTCAAAGTATGCCAAATAAATAGAACTGAGCTTGCCAAAGTGACCAAAAAAATGGGTATGACAATGATCAGAATGGTCTTAGTGGTCTCGTTTTTGCTGGTTTTATTGGAACTCAAGGGCAAAGGTGCTGATGTGAACACCCAGTTCAGGACTTCATGGCTTTCAGGCAAGCTTTTGCCAGTTGAAGCTGTGAAACCAACATAAACGGTGCTTGGCACTATATTCGGCAGATCAATTGCAAGGCTAAGAACGCTCTTTAACTGACTTTCAGGGTATCCGAGAGAGACATGAAGCATGCTAATCGAACCATCGTACTCTATTTTAACCTGAATGTGTCGTCCACTCTTTAGGGTAAATCCATAGCTATTTAGGCTCACCGTATCAACTGGACTTATGATGCTTTCTGTGATTATCCCAATGTGGTTTCCATCTTGATCAAATTCGTTCTTGAATGTGTCAAACGCCACAGCCATTTGTTGCAAAAGTTCACCTACACACACATACATATAAATCGTTTTCGTCTCTGCTAAGTGGAAAACATCAAATTTGGTTGATGTTGCACAGGTTGATGTTTCAACCTGTGCAAACAAAGCCATTTGTTGTACAGGTTGAAACAGAGCCACGTTTTTTTTCAGTTAATAGACAAACTTTATGTGATTGCGCCAGTAGGCCAGCCTATCTTATATAGTTTTCTCTTCTTGTAAAGAATAAACTGAGTTAACTAATGATAACCTTTCCAAGAAAAATTATAAGCAATATGTGTAAAGTTTGACTCTGATCCAACCTGACATAAATTAATTAAGATTCGATGTAATATATAGAGAAAGATTCATAACCGTAAAAGCACAAAGATTTGATATAATACTTTACTTTCTTGGGTTAAACTTGATATTAAAAAAACTGTAAAAGCATAACGATTTGATATAATAGTTTACTTTTTTGGGTTAATCTTTATCTCAATTTTTGTTGCGATGTCATTTTATTTGGTTTTCTACGAGCATTTCTTTACTAGAGATCATATTTATTATGATTTTTTTTTTACTGTAAGACAATCATGGTCACGTTACTATTAGATCAGGGATTCGAATATTGATTTATTATATATTATAAAAACTAACTTCACTGAGTCCTACCCCGTTAGTTGCTGTGTATATTTAAAAAATGGCAAAAGCAAAACATTCAACCAAGCCTACTGATGATGGCCAAGTAATAAAACTAGTTTGAACTTAGAATGCAAGTCAAAAACAACAAAAACTTAGAATGCAACTAATTGGCCCGGCCCATCAATTCGGACCCATTTTATTCATGGATGGAAACAAAAAGTTTTCCCTGTCAGGACTCTGTAATGAATCTAATATTTGTCCATAAGATTGGTGCTGTACTGCCCCTTCCTAAATGTAATATTGCACTTCAACAACTAATTTATGAAAATCAAGAAAAATTATTTAGTTAGTTATGAGTAAAAAATGTGAGTTTTTCTAAACTAACTCTGTTAATCATTTATATGAAAAACTACCCCTATGGGACAGAAATCTCCTTTAATATATGCAATCAATAAAAATAATTTTAAAAACAAAATAGATTGATGGCTCATACTTAGGACTCAAAAAATCCCATCAACTAGCCCATGCATTTAAAAGTAGAGGGAGTAAGAAATTTATTTATAAGCAAAGTCTCAAATTCAAGGTGTGTCCCCAACTAGAAGCCCAACAAATGGATAATACAAAAAAGCGAATGGTGTGTCAAAAGAATTCTTTTTAAAGTTATAATCATAACTACTCTATATATAACACACGAGACAAAACACAGCATCTTGTATTAACATCAAGTTGATAGCGCAGTTACGAAAGTGCAGCATGGAAGGGAGCAAACATGCTTCTCAAGTAAATATTGTTTTGTAGTGTTTATGGCATTAGCTAGCTAACTTTATATGCGAGTCCAAAACCACACATAGCGCACACTGGCACACACATGATAAGGGACAGACTCGCAGATCATTTTAATGAAAATTAGAGCTTCAACGCTAGGATGGTGACAATCATCAACTGTCCAAAAACACAAGGATCATCATGAAGTGGAGTGGATTGGAATAATATGAAAAAAATATAGATTCACCTTGAGTAGAGTCATCGAATAAGCCCATATAGGAGCCGTAGCTAGCAGGTGGCGAGGGGTTACGATCTTTGGCAAAAACGAAAGCAAGTCCATCACCGGATGTGCTTGAATTATCCATCGGAGTGATCCTCATTGTGAACGAGGTGCTGATCAACGCCGGCCAAGCTCTAACCTTTTCACGGTACAATACCCTTCCAATCCTGTTCGTCGCTGAAGAATTAGACGCCGAACTCGAATTGATCCATGGCTCAGAAGTCAGCCTCACAGACCCCTCACCTGATGCCGCCGAGCCCATACACAGCAACTCTCCGTTGCTGCAACTTTCAGGGCTAAACGATGGGAACGAGAAAGTGGTGAGGTGGTCAATCATGGAGCTCGAACAAGCTTCCACGAGCAAGGCTGAGACACACAGAAGAACCAACATGGTTGTGCAGTGTTATACCACAAACACGTGGGCACCTTCAAGCCTTTTCTTGTTCGCGTATTTTATATATGATGGTGAACAGGTTTGTGCCTTGTTAATGCTATATCGTTCCATGATTCGCTTTCAGCACCTGATAAAAAGGCCAAAGTTGTGGTAAGAGATGTAGATAACATTAAGAGAATAACATTTATACCTTTTTGTTTGATTCGGAAGCTCCGAGTAGAAGAGATGGACTTTTGACAAAGATTCAATATGCTCGTTCTTGTCTTATAGGCAAGAAGGCAGAAGGACAGCTTCAGGGATAGCGATGAAGTAATACAAAGCAGAAAATTTCGTATATATGGGAACTATATATATATATATATATATATTTATTAGCAGGTTATGCAGCGTTATTATCACTTAGCTGATACGACTAATACAGTGAAATACAGAGAGTATCTAGCCAGCACGAGATATCTGATAATTTGAGAACAAATGCAGACTATATAAAATTGGCAGAATTTATGATTGTCAGTGAAAAAAATTAGGTGAATCCAGTAGACTTCGTGGAGAAAAATTCATTCTCATACCACACTACCTCATCAGTTTTGTTTCTTTCATATACGACGTTATGTTTTGTGACGATTCTTTTTCCCCTCGTAAATATTCCCAATTAGGCGCCTGATAAGTTATGAATGGGAATTTTTCAACTATTGAAAAAGACGAAAACTATTATTAGATATATGCTTTATATTTTTCAGACAAGATAGAAACTCACATCATTCTATCATAGCTCAAAAAATAAATTTGTGCATGGGAGATATAGGCTCGGTTAAGTAAAAGCTTTCGTAGTGTAATTATTACTTCATTAGAATGTAAGGGAATTCATACATATGGCCAGAATAGCGACTTGATTAGCTGCGTCTCTTATGTCATTTATGATTAATTGCACTTTATGTATTCCTATTCCACTTATAAGAAAAAATAATTCTCTTAACATGAAGAAATATAAAATTTCTTGCAATGTACAAGTGGCAAGTTTCTTTTTCCTCTTTATTTTTTATTCTTTTAATCAATTTCAAACTTTCTTGTTGCGTGGACAAAAACAATTAAATTAATACCTTCACTATATCATTCACATGGAAATAAAGTTTACAAATTGAAACTGGATAATAAGAACATATTCTAATCTTTTCACATTATATAATCTAACGTGAAATGATTAAGAATTAACGATCACAACACAGGCTCGACAGAGAGTTCACTAACTCTACCAAGAAGCTTTGTTATGCTACCTGGGAAATCCCACCTCGTAATTAAATTATTCGAGCCTAAATTTGCATGTCCAGACCGTACTACATGCTGCCTCAATGTCTTACCCTTCATTTTGGAAAGTATACCCTGATGCTAAGAGTTTTAAGTGAAGAGCAGTAGAGACAAACTATACAAGTATAAATAATTCTGCATGTCTAATTTTTTTATTTAAAAATTCGTATATGCTTTTGTTGTCACTGTTCTATGGATTTATGACTCGAACTCCTAGCTAACATGATTGTTCAACTCTTCAATAGACAAAACAGGGGGAAAATTCTAAAGCGCTGTCCGCGATATATAATGTCATTGCAAGTTCGCAAATGTTTACAAATTAAGCAAAATACTTTTTTTTTTCCTCCAGCTGAAGAGAAATGTGATATCCAAAGGCATGTGAGAGATAGCATTGATGTTTCTTAGTTTTTACCATTCAAGATAATCGCAGTTCGATCTCTCGATATGCAAACTTTTCTTAATTTATAATAGTGACAAGTAGAAAAGTACGTACCTTTTCCTGTTTTGAAAAGGAAAAAAAAAAAAACGGATATAAGCCAATAATTAGAAAATAGTACTCAGTGCATATGAACAAGAACTTACGTACACCCACCAACCATTTCACGAATCATGCGAGTGTGGTATGCTTTCCCATAGAAGTCCTTGAATGAAACAGGAGAATATTTTTCAAATAGAAGATTTGGAACCCATTCTGAGGCACCATTTGTACTCCAGGTTTTACTATATAAAAAGGGTATATATATATATATATATTCACAAACATATACACGAGAAGGTTTGCCACAGAGTACACATAACAAGACCCCCCCCCCCCCAATGAACACTCATCGAGTGTCCTACATGCTACATAAGAAAACATGGGATCCATGAGACACACGAAGAAAACAGACAAAAAGAGGATAATCAGCATTATATATATATATGTATATATGTCTATAGCTTTTTCTCAAACTTTTTGGCATATAGCTAATATTACGACATTCCAGGTGCACCACCATGGCCGACGGTGGCGTCAGTTTCAGTTGACGGATCGGAGTCCGCTAGCTCTAGACTCGTCGCTCGTACTTGCGAGCCCAGATATCCTTCCCATTGATCTTATACTTGGCGAGCCTCCGTCCGTTCAGAATCCAGTCCACCGTCGCGACGCTATCCACGAGCAGGGTGGCGTACAGAGCATCCTCCTGGGGCGAGCACTCCTCCTCCAAGAGATTGCCCATGAATATCTGGACCACGCTTTTCTCCCCGAAAACCGTCCTGAACAGGTGCCATACCTCCTCCTCCGTCACCGGGAAGCCTTTAGAAAACGTCAGGAACATGGTCTTGTCGTCGTCCGACACGTCACCGGACGGTTTCCAGCTCCGGTCATACCACAACCTCCCATCCGTCAAATCCCACTCCGGCCTGCTCGGCATAAAAGGTCCATACACGGCGTGCGGAAAGCCCGGCACCATCACGGGAGTCGGTGGGCCAGTCAGGCTGGCAAGGCTGCAAGCGCCAGGGATTTGATACACATGCGACAAGATATCGGTAAAAATCCTGGAACAGACATTGTTTAGAATGCTCTTAATCCCGCAAATGACGGTAAAGCGTCTGCGGTTAAAGACGAGCAGAGTGAGGTTCATGTGGGTGAGGGTGGCGGTGAGAGGGATGCCGACGCTGTAAGAGCGAGGGTCGTCGGCGTCGGAGTATTGTAAACACTGAATACAGAGAAATGCCTCGTTGGCCATGGCGTTGATGAGTGACGGACTGAGAAGGGAGATTTCAGGAACGAGATTGGGGCGAGCGACATGTTCGAGCCAGAGCCAGAGTGCGACGGTAAGAAGGGACTGGAAAGGGTCGCGACCCAGAGTGTAGATGAGATAGACCAGAAGGTCGCGTTCCCTTGTGTGGAACAGGTGAAGCTCCCGGGTGGTGATGAGAGCCATTGGAGAATAATATAGCTCTCAACAGAGAAAAGTGATCGATAGAGATAGACTGATGAAACCAGTTTACTATCTGCATGTATATATAGAAGAGAGAGACGTGGCCTGCCTGGTGTGGTTTGGGAAAGTGATCAGTGGGATTAATGAAAGTGGGAGAGATTAGCACACAGAAATTCAGGAGCTTTTAGAACGAATTGATCTGATGAGAATCGTCGAATATGTGAGATGTGTCAGCAAATACGAGATCTGGCACAGAGGTGGACCTTCTTTCTGATCGACAAACAAACCCCTCGCATGATTTTCTCGCTTTACTAGTCTCTTTTTCAGTTTTTCCGATTACTTTTCCTTGGATTTCCGTTGATTAATCACTTACTGTTTCTTCCAAACTAGAGTTATGAATCTGATAGGAAGCGTGTAAAAGGTGCATCTGGTTTTTGTATGTATAGGCATTTATTGCTCCGGATTTTCCTTTTATGTTGTTGCAGTGTTCTTTGGATGCTTTCCACTGGCAGAACCGTTTCGGCTATACACCAACCTTTCTTTTAAATACTTGAATCAATTGTACTTTCTGCTGCTTGCCAAAACTTGACTCGCTATTTTAGTTCACCATTTTCTGATTGCAAACACATGAAATTTTCATTTTGTGCAATGGAACAAGATCAAATAACAACGGTCAAAAAGGAAACCGCATTCTCACTGAAGAAGAATGAGTGGAACGCCATTGATGGATCTGGTGGAACTTGGAATAAAATTCAGTTTCAGCAGAACGGATAGTGAAGATATATTGAAAGTGGGATCACATTTATATAATTCATGCGGCTTTCTCCAACTGATGATACCAATTTACGAAAGGGAGTTTCGTTGTTGTTCCCCGAGCTGATGAGTCAAAAGCTTCTAATTAACTTCATTGCTCCAACAAAACAAGGAAACGCCGAGTCTCTACCGACACTAAATTAAGCCTAAAATAATAATGTTAGTAGATATAAAAGGAAAACGCTAGCCACTTCTTATCATTGTTATTAGGCTAATACCTTATAAATTATTACTATTTATTGCGAACATCTTACATTTTTCCTTGTAGATTTGATTAATTTTCGCAATTCCATGCCGCCGCTCATGGTTTTAAAGAACCTAATCAAAAAAATATAAACATCGGATATCATTATTGAGCACATTTTATTAAAAAGAAATGAAATTCCTCCACACACACACACACACATATAAAGCATGAGCATGTTATGACTGTACTTTGTTTTTGGGTTTGGATTAATTAGTTTAGATTTTAGGGTTAAAGAGCAAAAAACATCCATAAATTTTTCCTCCAAGGACACTCAATGCCCTTAAGTAAACAAAGGTATAAAAATACCCATAAAGTTATTTTAAGGGGTGCATCTGTCCCAAATCCATTAACAAAGTTTAATGTTTGTTATCTTCTTCCACCAACTTCTCCACATGTCCCCAAGTGTCACCAATGTCTCCTCATATGCCCAAACATAACTTTTCAATTAGGAAACTCTTTCCTACACTCTGCATCTTAGTGGCCAAGCAACTTTTTGTAACATCCTAAAAATTTATTTTTGAATTAATTAAGTTAATAAAGGGGTGTTTTAGGAAATTTAAGGATAATTGGGTTTAACAATGGTTATATAAGGTTAATGGATCTATTGGTCTTTGGTTATAGTCTTTGGATTGGATTTGGAGTCAGGTTAGGCTGCTTAGACCCAACAAAATGCTCAATTTGGACTGCCTTCTTTGTTCCATTTCCCACGGCAGATGGCCAATTTTCTGACTTAATGGCTTGTTGTGCATTGTGAAAAATAGAAGGAGGGAGAAGAGAAAATGAAAGATACCTAAATTTGCTCTGTTAGGGCTTGGATTTTCAAACATTTAGAAGTATTTTGGAGCCTTCAATCACCTAGGGCAAGTTTAGTATGTCCTTTCCTTCTTTCCTCTTCCTCTTTTTCAAGTTTTTAAGTTACGGTTTGTTGTGGGAGAGTGATTTTTGGACCTTAAAGGCTATAAGTCTGAATTTATTAATTTAAATAAAGTTGATAAGAGTTATTTGAGCTATTTAAATCTAGGTTTGATGGTTTTGTATGTCCTTGAGCTTGGGCCCTCATTTATGGATGAATTTGAGCATTAAAGTGTCATAAATGTGAGAGATGAGATTGATTAATGGTGAATACTGAGTTTAATAAAGTTAGTTAGAGTTAATAGAGATTAATACACATAATGAGTGTGAGTAAATACAAGAGGTTAAGAGTTTTGGGTAATTAAAACATTGAAAACTATAATTGTATGATTATAGTGATTGGTATAATTAATTTTAGATTAATTGTATTGTGCACTATTTGAGCTTGATAATAGCTTTAGAAGTGAGTTAGTATTAAGAGGTAAATCCTTGACTTCTTAAAAATTTGAAATAATGGAGGAATCAAATATGTGCATTTGCTTGTTTGATTAAGTATAGAGTTTTTGTGAATGCAATTTGAGAATATGAACTTACTTTTATATTCAATATGATTTGAATTACGCTTTAAAAATGATATATGCAAGTATGCCTGTGATATTAATGTTTGAAGTGAACTTGAGTACAAGTTGAATGGACTTTTTTATGAGCAATATGATGATTTATGTAATGTGTGGACAATGTGATTCTTAATGAAAAAGTCTCTCTTTGTTCGTGAATGTTATGAGATAGTGTGAAGTTATGTGATTGAATGATAATTTTTGTGGCATGAGATCATGTGCTAAATATATGAGATATAGATGGTTGATTGTGGCATATGAAATGCTAGCTTTTCGATTACTTATGATGAGATAGTTAATGGCATGCTATGTGTGTTAGTATCATGCATTGCATAATCATGTTAGGAGGAGTTTGCCTTAAGAAGAGGAGTAATGTAAATTCTTGTCGTATGGTTGCCTTTCAATAATCAAAGGCTAGCCTTTGTCCCATTATCTGTTGAGGGATTGTCGAGAAATTCAAACTCAACTTGTCTCCACTAGTTTCTTGAGGAAACTAGCTTAGGGATAACGACACCTTAAGGATTAAAAAATGAGAAAAATCGTAGTCTAAGAGTGAATATAATAACCTTTTGTGATCTTGGGCTTATCCATTAACACAAGGGTGGCCCTATATGATTTCATTTGGAGGTATTAGAAGGTTACAAGGAAGGTTATTGATCATGTATTTCATTGATTTTTGTCACATAGTTGTTAAGATTGTAACTATGGTAAATGTGATGCATGATTGGTTATATTGTATCCTTGAATGCCTACTTTACATATCTAAAATTAATTAACTTGTATATGCATAGATTAGATATACTTTAGTTGTTGAGTGTTTATATTCACCCTTCTCTTTAACATGTTGTAGGCACTAGCTCGAGACAAGATAAAGAGAAAGCACTAGAGACATTGGAACCTTATTTTCTATTGTATACATCTATCTTGATTTAACTATGTGTAATTAGATTGATAATGCTGACTTGGAGTTTTATATTTTGTTATTACTTTCATCCTTTGATTGTTTATTTTGATTGGTTATATTTTGGGCCATAAAGCATATATGTTATGATTTGAGAAATTTAAATAGGGCCAAAATATTAGTGTAAATGTGACTGAAGCTCTAGAGATGAATGAGAATGATTTTAATGAAATTTGATATGGAAACCTTTCCCTATTGTTTTTGGAAAGTAAGGGGTTGAGGGTTGAATTTAAGAAATATGTATTATTGGTTTGCTGTTGTATATTGCACAGAATGTCCTAAATTTATTGAATGTGGTCTAGATGTTGGGTCATACTTTTAGCACACTGGTTTAAGTGTGGGACACCTTAGTAATTGTTTAGTGTGAAAATATTGTTTAAATATGTTTAGATGTTCAACTTTTTAGTATAAAATAATTTAAAAATTTAACTAATGCCATTAGCTAGTTTATGAAAAAAAAAAATTGTAAACACCTAAATTGCTTTAATTGAACTTTGGAGAGCGTTTTAGTGTTGGATCTTGACCCGCTTGAGAGGTTGATTCATTCATATCACATGTATGCCCCTCTGCCTCTCGTTATTTTTTTTGGACTGTTTTTAATTGCTGATACATTTATTGTCGGCACTTGAATGTTTTGATTTAAATGGTGAAGTTCCCCCGTCTTCTTATTAGTATTAAAGATCAATAGGTTGAGTGATCTGAGTCTAAGAAACTTGCTCTGTATAAAGCTTCAATTAGTGACAAGTTGTGAGAGGAGTTATGAAAGGAAGGAATAAGAAGATAATGACCTGACGCAACTGTGTGTGAGGGAGAGATTGCCTGCCCAGGTCAGCAAAATGAGTTTACCATTCGCTTACATGTCACTTAAACGGTCAAATATTTAGCCTTTTAAAAGGAATTGGGACGGATGCACCCCTTGCAATTACTTCATGATATTATTGTACCTTTTTTTTTTTAGTAAAGAATACAGAGTGCCCTGAAAAAAATATTCATGGTTATTTTTACCTTTTAATTTTAAATTTTAATAACCACAAAAATTTCAGGGGGAATGACACTCAAGCCTCTACGGAGTCATTTTATTCAATTAAAGTCCCAACAAATTTTAAAATGTAAAGCAAGTCTCTTAGGTCCTTAACTGACTTTTTATATAATGTAATTTATTCTAAGTTTTAAAATTGAAAAAATAAGTTGTAAATTTATGAAACAAAGTTGCAAATCCTAGAAATCTTCACATATATGGCATGTTATATTTCAAATTTAATCATTAAGATTTGCATTTTTTTTTTTATAACAGGAAAATCAAATTGCAAATTTATCTTCCAAATTTGAATGCTTATAGGAATTTACAACTTTATTTTTTCAATTTGCACTTTTGTCATCTTAAATTTGCAACTCTTTTTCTTGAGTTAATGCACACTTTAATTAATTTTTATGTGAAAATTAAAGTCTTCCTCTTTTTTATTTTTTAATTAATTGTGTTTAGGCTTTTATCTCAAAAGGTAATTTTAAATTAAGTTGGTATATTTATGTTAGGTTATGAAAGTAGAAGAAGAGTTGGGATCAAAATTAGTATTAATTTTCTTTTTTTTTTGGGGTTAAAATGAGATATATTCTTAAATTATTTGCCGAAAATGTTAAGAAGCTGTCAATTAGTATCCTCAGGTTTTCCATCTTAATGACTCAACTTAATTGGTAGCATGGGGAGGAAAAAGTGAAAGCAAGAAATGGTAATTCAGACAAGTGATAGAAGGGGCCGGAGATAGCGAGAGAGGCAAGAGACCGGAGGTGAAGAGTCACGAGCCGAGCCATAAGCGTGATTGCAGATGGCAGAGGCTGGCTTTTCTGGATCCATCGACCTTATCTCTATCCCCTCCACTTGTATGTCCCTACATCCCACCATCGCACAGTCCAGCACGATCGCTCTCTCGTCCACGCACGTCCCTCTTATGTCCCTGAACCCTACCTCGCTCACTCTCACCGCTTCCTTCTGCAATATTCATCATCATCTTCATCCATAACAGTACCATTCATGTATGCACCCCATGCATCAAATATACTCACCTCCTCTCCTCTGTGATCGTAGTGCTGGTCTATCAGTATTGGCTCTCTGGTTTCGCTTACTGTGATATGTTCGAAGGAGATTCTCCTCGCGTATCCCTTCCCTCCCGGCCATGTCTTGATTCTCGCAGCGCTTTCACCTCCTTCGATGTTGCACTTCCACACCCTTATGTCTTCTACGTGCTCTTCCGCTCCGTTCCGCCCTAAACTCCCCACACTGTGATATTCACAACACACACCACACCTCCTCATCATCATCATGTGAATGCCTTCTTATGTATATATCGCACCAGAAACAATTAATTGTATATACATGCCAGTTCAATACGTTGGGACGACCAACCTGATTCCATGACCAGGTCCGCAATGAATCTCCGTAATGTTGATGAAATGCGAGCCGCCTTTGATTGCGATGCAGTCGTCGCCTGTGTATCAAAAACTCAGAAGTTTTTGATTACGTGGCAGTGAAAGCTCTTAATGGATTGAAACGAACAAGTAGATTGAAGTTATTAAGAATGTGATCAGTTTACCTGTGCGGATGATACAGTTCTGGATAGATACACGTTCTGCATTTGCCACATCTATTCCGTCCGTATTGGGACTGTCTTTCGGCGAGGTTATGGTCAGATGCGAAATCGTTACGTCGTTGCTTTGATCCACTTTCACATGTGACCCGGGCCCATTAATATGAGCCAGCCCACTCATTTGAAGCCCATCACAGTGAAAAAACTGGATCCCCTGCCCGTGCCAACCAAACCAAATTATTAATACTCTTTTTATATAATAATACGCATTGAAGACTCAGGAAATTAGGTGCGATGAAATGGGAAGAGCCGCTAACCGCAGGTAGTTCGCCGCATCGGTCAAGCACCTGAAGACCAGTTTGGTAAATTATTCATATCAACATATCTGACCAAAACATAGAATTAAAAAGCATTAATTACTAATGGTTGAATTTAAATAATAATTACTTGGGGGTCAGCCCACCAAGCTTGACCTTGACCATCAACTGTGCCCGACCCATCAACAGTCAAACCCTTGACCCCTGAGATACTTAACCACATTTTTGAGCATCCTCCCCATGCATCTTTATGAGGTGCTCTTAGAGTCCCCAGAATCTGCATCCATTCAACAGTCAGTCAAAATCGATTAGCATCCTTCGAGGTAAAAAAAACAAACAAACCAACCAACCGACAAAAATATAATCTGACCGTATGGTTAAAATGAATAGAATAATAATACCTGAATATGAGGTTTGCTAGAGGAGCAGGGACCCTTAAAATTGGTTTGACTTAATAAAAAAGAATAACCAGACGGTACCATGAGCGTTGGTGCACCTTCACTTGCTCCACAGAAAGCTTCCCATGCTTTTAGGAAAGCCTTTAATATCAAATAAACGTATAAGAAGTGAAGAAAATGATGAAATTAAAGAGAGAGGAGAGAGTATGAGAAAGAAAGTGTACAGAGGAATCATCAGTGTGGGAATCTCCTTTAGCACCATATTGAAGGACATTAAAGGTTGTCTGGGAACGTCCAATCCATACGTTGCACCAAGCAATCCAAATTACCAAACACGCTCTCAATACACACCATTCCTGCGTGCGTCCATCAAACGGATACTTTGCATTATCAAAATTAATTACCCTCTCACACACACACACACACAGAATGAGACTGAAAAGTTTACAGTGAAAAGAACGAACCATTACGATATGATGTATTGAAACGAAAGGAATCAAAAGCCAAAAACTATCACAAAACTTGTGAAGACTGAAGCCCTGCACAACGCTTCTGCGACTGTTTTGTCCCATGTAAGCTCAAGCACTTGCATCTGAATTAAATCTCTTAAATAGCCACATTGATGTTTCTGGCAATATTAGGCTGACATAAATGTGTTCATCCTGTATTTAATTGTATTGATGTGAATGATTCCTGTATTTCATATATCGAGCTAGTATTCACGACTAATCTTAATTTATTTTTATAAAAACACATTCTGATAACTTTTTTTACAATGTTTTTACTAATATGAAAAATATAAATTTAACTTATTCCGAAATCAAGGCATTGACATTTTTGTATTAGTCAAACACATTTAATATCAGTTTATGATATAAATCATAGGTATAAAAATATTTTAATATTTTTTACTTACTAAAATATAAATAACTTTAAAGAGCAGTAATGCATATCCTCCTGATAATATGTACTTATATATGATGTAAATTTTAAATAAAAAAATATGTTATTCAGAAGTAGTATAACACAGCTCAAATAGAAGTCCATACAAATAATTATCAAAACACGATTTAAGTTTTGAATATAAACAAATATTTTAACCACACATTATCTTTCTATCCCTCAATCTTTGGGGGCCCGAACTGAAGTATTCCATATAACCTTGAGTGATCCCAAACGCAACGAATAGGAATTGATTATTGGTGCATTGTGAAAAATCCCAATTTTTTTTGGTTTATCAGGAAATAACAACAGAAATACAAAGTAGGACCGTAGGTATGATGCGATCCAATAAATTAATATCATATTCTCCAACAAAATATCAAATAATCTCCAAGTTTGTAATATATGCCTACTCCCCCTGGAATTCACAATTGATCCGAAGTCACAGCACCATAAGTGGGAGAGAATAATTTTTTTAAGAAAAATTGTTTAGATATAGTTGTAAACCATGAAAATGAAGAAAACCGTCAACATTATTGTTGGCTTGGTTTTGAAAATTTGGGTTTGGAGCGTCACACCCCAAGAAGCTTCGCTAGATTGCTAGAGGAATAGATTCTCAAAGTGAGTAATGGATTAAATGATTATACAAGTTTCCAAAATCTTTTGTCACAATTTTCTTGGAGTGGCAAAACAAGAAACTAAAGCTATGTTGAAGGATGTATTAAGTCTATTAGTGGTGAGTAAGCACATCGATGACTGAAGGAAAAAGCAAAGTAAAATGACTTGGAAAGCTTAAACTATAATAACAAAGTTGCTAGGCAAACTTGCAGCGTCAGGAGTGATGTGGGTCAATTGTCTAAGTATTACGCTAGGCAAGTTGACTTGAATGTTGAATTTGAGTATGTTGAGTTCGCAAAATGTCAAAAGACCCACAATTATGTGCTCATCACCTATTTATAGAGAACAACAATAACGTCCTTTTTCAAATTTGAATCTTAGCACCACAAGGAACAAATAATCACCTCAGCTTGGAAGAGCGGAGGGAATGAGTGATCCATGTTATGCAAAGTGTGCAGAAGGTGGGCGAGACTAATTCACCCACATTATAAAACACAACGGTCCACTTCATTCCTACCAGCTTGATAGCTATTAGGCCTACATTTCCATCAAACTTGGATTGGGCCTCAAATTGTTTCATCAAGCCCAGAATCTGATCCAAACAGTTTTATCGAAACCGTTGTGCAAATACATTACTCCAAAAAATTTGGCCCACAAACTAAAAGAAGGGACAAAATTATAAAATACCGAACCGGCGTGAGGGTTGCAGGGAGGCAGCGAAGTCACTCGATTGCTGTTTCATCTCACACGGCGGACTGGAAAGAGGGTAAAAAGTCCCATCTGATTGCAGAACATTATGCACAGCGAGTGATCCATAGAGAGAAGAAAAGATCGGATCGCAAGATAGTAAATCAGGCTTTCACCCCATTTAAAATGTTTCAAAAATCAGAAAGTACAAAACAAATCACCAACCAAAATAACCACTCCCCTCGACTTTAAATTCCAATCTTGGCAATCAGGCTTGCATCATTCATTCAATTTCTTGTCATCAATCTAATCAAAGCTTAGGCTTAGCAAACAATATCCATACTAGTAATTTATATAAAACATAATTATTACCAATCCACAACATCAAGTTATAACTTAATTGAAAAAGTCAAGTCACTGACTCATTACACTAACAGTAGGATGAAAATTTCTAATCCACCAAGGATCAATTTATAAATTGATCGAAACAGCTATCTTCCGCTTACATGCTACACAAAAATCAAGCTACTCATCAATCAACCGAACAAAATATCAGTACGAATATGCTCAAAATAATAAAAATCGGTACAACTTTCTAAACAAGTATCCAAAAGATTTTTGTTTGGGGGAAATAGAAATAGGTCTCAGCTTCCAAAATGGTAATTAGCTTCCATAGCTTACAGAAAAAAGAATGGTTTAGCCTCTGAATCTCGATTCAGAACGCCGAATTCCGTGCTCCAGAGACCAATCTCCAAAAGGTGTGGGCTCCACATTGAGCTCATCCCCACACCAAAATATATGATCGGTCAAGACAATATACCTCATTCAGCCACAAGCACCCACTTCCCAAATAAGGCGAACATGACATAAATAGGAAATGCAGCTCCTAAGAGCAAATCTACGTAATACATAATACAACTAACGGAATCTCTTAAATTTATAAGCTACAGTACTACCGTGCAACTAACATGATAAACCCTTATGGAGGTCAAGGTCTTCAGTCTATAAAACTACAACGGGACTTGAGACATCAGCTTGGCGGAAAATCCGCATCTGAAGGTTCATGTCGCTTATCTGAAAGCAAATAATCTGCAAAAGCTACGCCTGCCATTGGGAGCAATTTAAACACGTGCCTTCATATACACCTCTACTATGATGGCACTGCATAAAAAATAAAGAAAACGTCAGAAAGTTTGTATACTATTAGCAGCCCAAACTAGCAAAAATGGAATTGCCCAAAAACAAACAAAACTTGTTGCTGTATAATGGTTTAATGTCAGGAGCTAACACTAAAGCACACAAGTCCATCAAAGTACAAGGAGTTGGACAACTGTAGCACAAAAAATATAATATAGTGCAAACAAAAACATTTAACACAACAGATGTTCTTGGAAAATTTCTCCATTAACCCACAAGTCAAAAGGTGTTGTCTTGTCTAGGGACAAGGTTAACAGTAAGTCTTGGGTCCAAATTTCAGTGCCAACGTTTGTATTGGAAAAAAAAAATCTACTTAATTAGTTCATTCCTTTGAGTTTTCCACAAATATCACCACCCAGCGTGTTAAAAATTTCATTCCATGCTTGTAAACCCCCCATCCCAACTTTTTCTTTTTAAAAAAGAAAAAAAGAAAAAACCAAAGCACCGGTGACATTGCAAAAGTCCGCCAACCATTAGGTTCAAACATGCCCAACCACTTTGCAAGTTAGCTGCTTGTTATTTAAGGAAGCAACAGAATTTTTAATATCTTCACAAAATAAAGACATGAGAAGGAAATCTCTTGAGGAAGGAAAACAAGACAGATCATTTGAATTCTTTATTTTTTTCAAATGCCACAAAACACAATTCTAGCCTCTATAAATCAGAAAAAGAACCTGCATTAACACAGAAAATTGTTGTGACATGGCAAGAAGACAACACAGGATAACAAATAAACAAAAGGAAACAAGATATAGAATATTCTCAATTGATAACAAGTTCTATGGAAGAGAACATACTATACGTAGAAGTATCGATCTGCTCAGGAAGCTGTTTTATATCCACCTCAAACCTTGATTGAACCTGAAACATACAAAAAGAAACTTAGAACTGCTAAAACCCCACTAACAGATCAAAAACAACAGAAGAGTTTCCTACATTGTTGAGAACATCAACATCTGCAGCACATGAAACAAATGTAATTGCAAGGCCCTTGGTACCAAACCTTCCTGCCCTGCCAACCTACAGAGTTCCAGACACAAAAGGTCAGACCATCAGACAGATGTAAACTAGAATTTAATGGCATAACCAATTTAAGCTGCATACATATTGTATATATAGCCATACCCTGTGCAAGTATGTGTCTGCAGAATCTGGCATGTCATAGTTTATAACTATGTTGACACGTTCAATGTCAATGCCCCTTCCCACCAGATCTGTTGCCACAAGGATCCGAGTATGCCCCTCTTTGAATCCTTTATATCGCTTTAACCTATTAATAATATGATCAAGATTCAAGATCACTCACAAATTTGCCTTGCCCATGACCATTTGCAAGCAAATCAAATCAAAACACTCATCATAATGCAAGACAAATAACATGAAAGCCACGAACCAGGCTCACCAGCTACCCATTTCTATAATCTAGCAGTTAGTCCTATTATGATAATATTTGCTTCAAATGACACACTTCGTTAATATTGTATTTCATTGCAAGCCCTCACTGTTCAATAATATAATTATCATAAACCTCATTCAGAAATTCCAAATTGCTAAAATAATTAATAACTTTAAACCTTTATAACAAGGGCACAGGAATTTATTAGCATACACAACAAAAATCAAATTTATTTATTTTCTTCAATCACATATTCATTTAAAATGCTTTCACAGAGAATACATAAATTGAACAAATTTAATGAGACATAATTCACTATATTGCAGCACAAGCCCAGTGAATACTAATTTAGTCAAGCAACGTGAACGTTATCAAAACTTCAAGAAACTAAAGACACATGGAAGCTCTGTCTTTGAAAGAGCCTCCATGAGGTTTTTCACATGTAAATTCAGAATCTACATTTTTTTCACTACCAATTTACATTCAAGCTGAATCAAGCTCAAATTGGACAGTTCTCTCAAATATGGTTTTTCCATCTACAAGGCTTGAATCTGAAATGTTGAATTCCTCAGCACTCAACCCAACTGCCATTACTCAGTCCAGTACATATTGCATAACTTTCTTCAGCTCGTGTTAAAGGAAACATTCTTCATTATTGCTAATCATTATCAATCATATGAAGCATTGTCCAGCAGACAAACATAAGCACAGTATACTACTAATGCATTCATATTCCAACAGGGCATGACAGCTAAACAACTTCCAAAATTACAAAGTGGGTCAAACAAAGGGCAACATATAACCACATCAACAAACGAACCACAGAAAATTGAATCATCAGCTAAACAAGGATGAAGAACAACCCTGAAATCCTCAAATGAGATAATACAAACCTTTCCTCTTGGGACATGCCAGAATGGATGCATATAGATGGAAAGTTGCATTCCACAAGTAGTTTGTCCAGCTCAGCCGCTCTACTAACACTTTTTACAAAGATAACTACTTGATTGAAGTCAAGTGCATCAAGAAGATCATTCAACTTGCGGTTCTTCTCCTCCTCTTTCAATTTGATGTAGTGCTGAAATTTTAATTATTTAAGTAAGGGATACAGTTTCTTTCACATGTAGACGGATGGATGGATGGAAAGGTTCCCAATTATAAAAGAGGCCTACCTGAACAAGTCCATGAAGGGTCAACTTGGCCTCATCATCAACATAAATTTCCATAGGCTGAAAGGAACAAATGTGATAGTAAATCATATTAGGGGCTTTCCTCAAAGCTCAAAGCTAACGGAACCCAGAACAAAATGAACGATGGATGTAGATCCCTCGAATCACATAACTGGTCCATCTCTTTTGTCTCCATGCAGATAATATTTTGGCAACACCCAGAAAGCACCACTGACACTCAACACTTGGTTGCAATGACCCCAGAATAGACTAAAACTATTTCAAAAACAAAAAAGGAACATAATGAATGAAAGAAAAAACACCCTGGCTCATGGACAGGCCATTAGAAATGAAAACCTTAAAAAGAACCCAACACAAATAGAAGTGCAGATCTAAAAGACACTATGACCACAGATGGAATGTTCCTTGTGCATTACCATCACGATCTTCTAGCCCCATCTGCGGCACAAACAAACCCCACCCCACCAGCTATATATTTCCACAAAAATCAGTGACAAAAACAAAACACTATACCAATAGAAATACTTTCAGAAGCAAATATCCAAAGGACCATAGCGTTCTAGAGATTTAAGGACCTCCGACAATTGATACTATGAAAAAGCAACTTCCAATATAAGTAGTACTAGCCATGAGACATTACATCCTGCATAAATTTCTTGCAGACTGGGCGAATTTCCTTGCTGAGTGTTGCAGAAAACATCATGACTTGCTTGTCATGAGGGGTCATCTTGAAAATCTCTTGCACATCTCTCCTCATGTCTGCAGAAAGCACAATGGGTATAATGAAAAGTGAAAAACATGTCACCATCACAGGAAGCCTAAATGTATCAAACAACAGGAAAAAAAAATGCTCAGTAACTAAACATACCCAGTGATTCCAGCATCTTATCACATTCATCCAAAATGAAATGCCTAACATTCTTTAAAGACAGGTCCTTATCCCTGGTCAATGCTAGTATTCTTCCAGGAGTTCCAACAACAATATGAGGGCATTCATTTTTCAACAGATCCTTGTGAACTTTAATGTTGACACCACCATAAAAGACAGCAACCTTGAGATCAGGCAAGTAGGTGCTGAACCTCTCAAACTCATGACATATCTACACAAAACCAAATCAAGCACACATCTTAAACAAGAAACTAAATGAGGATCAAATCCCCAAAAGTTTTCATCCATTAAGTCTCCATATATACCTGGTAAGCCAATTCCCTTGTATGACACAAAACAAGTGCAGAAACTTGGCCAGCAACAGGATCAATCTGTTGCAAAGTTGAAAGCACAAAGACAGCAGTTTTCCCCATTCCAGATTTAGCTTGACATAATACATCCATTCCAAGGATTGCTTGAGGTATGCACTCATGTTGAACTGGTGGCGAACCAAAGAAAACGGGGTCGAAGGAACCGGTGGTAAGTAAAATAAACCTTTGACCCTTTTAAATTTGATAGGTTTACCAAACCATATTAGATCTCCTAAACAAGATTATGGTAGAAGTATTACCTGTAATATATAAATCAAACAAATTCATAAGCATGATCATTATTTAAAAAAAAAAGACTATCAAACAGAGATCGTGCAAAAAGAAAAATTAGCTTTAAATTACAACTAAGGAAACATTTAAAAAGTATTGCTTATTCAACCATCCTGTAGAACTTCCAAAACCCTTTCTACTTGAAAAGAAGGATAAAAGGTGACAAAATAAGGCTGAAACAAACAAATCTAACAGAAGGGATACTAAATCAATTGAAGAGGAAATTATGTCTTCCAATACATATTTAAAATTACAAATAAACCTTAAAATACAGTCAACAAAAAAATAACTCAGCCAATCATATTTAATAAGAATGGAGATAATGGATAGTTGCCTTCAGAAGGATGCTCAAATCCTGAGTCCACAATAGCTCGAAGGAGTTCTGGCTTCAAAAGGAAGTCTCTGAATCCGGAACTGTGTATACCAACATATCCCCTGCGAAAGACCAAAGGAACATGTTTGAGCTACCAACAGGGAAAATCAAGTGCAAGAGTTGAAACTTGAAAACAAACCACATCCAATTGATCAATTTCTGGAACATAAAATAACTTAGCATAATTCAGTTTATTCCATTCAAATTATGTTTGCATTTCAAAATAAGAGCTAGAGCATCGCTTAGTTGCAAACACCTGCCTATTTCCCAGCAAGAAGAGTAAAAGATTTATACCATAGTTATTAATAAGGCAAAGCACATTCCTAGCACTCAAACACACTATAGACCATAGCATGGTAAAGGAAACATTAAGATTTAGCACATAACTTACTGTAAAAAATAAAAAATAAAAAACATCGTGCAATCTCTTACATCTAACTGACGTCATTAGAATACCCTTTTCATGGCAAGATAGGAAAAAAATAAAATAAAAATTCTGGTAGTTATTTCCTCATTACTTTGCATCAATTTTGCTGTGAGAAAACAACTTCATACATTAAGGAGTTTGTAAAATAGATTGATATGGAGAATGCCAGCCTACACACATACACACGCAAAATTCACATAAAAAAGTGATAACATTGTAATCATCCAAAAATCATGAAATCAATTCTTCTAATCATAATAAATCAGTGCTTGACAAAGTTTGAATCTACAGCGGTGTTTGGCAAACTGACATCCCATTTAGGAAAAGTATCTTACATTCAATGGTATAAAACACAATGGTACTCGGGATGCAAATGTTTACAGTGGGTGGAACTGGAAAGTTTTCCTGTGTTTGCATCATTATGAACTTCAATTGGAGGACGAAGGGCATCCTTCACGAAATGCAGCATTGGCATCCGGGGCTTACCGGGAAATTTCATTTTCACGGGAACAAAGGGATTAACGATTTGGCTTGGTTTAGTCTAGAAAAAAAAAATGAAAAAATGCAACTTGCAATGATGTGGACGCTTTTCCTGTAAGGCTCGGATTGATTAAACATGAAGGTATCATATTCCCACCCCAAACTGAAGAGATCCAGGAGGCTAACATCTGTCTACCTCTCAGGATGATCTAAATTGAGGATATCTCCCTATTTAGCTCGCACTAGCAGAGCTATATAAAAATTGACGGCGGTATGGTTACTCTATATCCACCTGCACGAGATTTGCTAGGTTATACATCTCACTCTCACATAAAGCTTAACTACAACAACGGGTTGTTGGGCAGGGTACTAAAAACTATGCTTCATATTTCCACTCGTTCACGATAAGTCTTATCACAAAAGTAGTCGGAACCTCATGTCTTTTCTCTGCGTTCTCAAGAAATAAATTATCACTCTCTCCCTCCACCACCACCCCATCACGAAACTACCGCATCCAAAGAAAAATCCATCTTATTACAGCAAAGGACGGAATACAATACAGTAATAAAGAAACAACTTACTTCTTGGCCGCTTCACCGTTGACTTTAGTCCCGACGGAATCGGGCGCCTTGTCTTCTTCCTCTTCGTAGTCAAGAAGCTCTTCCTCGTATCCTTCGTCCTTAGTTTCTCCCATTGGTTCTGCAAAACCAATCACAGTAGACATAGTCAAGAAAAGCACTGTTTGAATCCTAGCTGACTAAATACGAGAATAAATCGATGTATATAATTCTAGGGTTTAAACCGAGAACTCCGAAGTAAGGTAGGGTTTTAAAAGAGGATGAGGCAATACCCGCGACAGAAGAAGATTCCTATAGAAATTAGGTAGTAAGGTAAAGGTTTGAGAAGTCTGCAAAGGAAATTGGTTAGCTGAAAAACAAGCGGGGGCAAAAGAAACTGGAGAGAGGGAAACCTCGACGACCGCCAGAGACGAAGGGGAGGAGAGTAAGGGTGTGATTCTCGAAATAGGGTTAAGTGGCTCGACGCCTTTTATAAACAGCAACGGATCACGCCTCGCTCCCAAACTGAACCAACACCAGCGTCATAGGGATTTTTTTACATTTTGCTTTTTCCCCTTCTCTTTTTTAGTTTTTTTTTGTTTTTTAAATAACTTCAGGTTTTCTTTTTAACCCATAAAGAATTTGTTGAATTGAGAAGGAGCGATTTACAAAATATTTGAGCATAGATTTTAAGTCAATGTATAATTATATAAAAAAATATATTCATAATCCAATCATATTTTATCAATAACATATTTGGTAAAGTTATCAAAAAACAAATCGAATCACATGAATCAAACAGAGTTCTTGTTATTTTTTTCCCTATTTTATTTCAAGGTCATTTGATAAGGTGAAAAAGGAAACGTAACATGAATGAAATACAAAACAAAGAAGATTTGTATAAAGCATATCCAATAAATCTTTGATATGTAAACAAGGTAAAGGTGACTAGAGAAACATCATCAATTGTGGTTTGGATCCGAGTCATTTCTCACGATGTCTCACCATAAAAGAACTTTCTCCATTGCACTAAAAGAACTATTGTAAATTGGGTCCGGTAAAACTTAAATTGCAATATTTAATACTTGGCATCTAATAGTTATACATGTTTAAAAAAAAAAATTACAAGAGGAAGGCCAGTGGACAAAAGACTTATGCTATAGGCGTGTTGACTAAGGCATATGTTAGAAGTGCATTGACAGACTTAGGAGAAATTATTGGATAAGAGAAGATATTTGCTCGCCAAGTGGGCTGAACCCCAGCCTCTAAAATATCTATCCCATCCACAGCTGCTTCAGGCTTTGTTCATCGTCACACCCGCAAGTGGATCGGTTTGCGTCCTACCACATTCCCTCGATGGCCTTTCCCTCATGCTTGACTCCTCTAACATCTCTTCGAACTACAACACATCCAGGTTGCTCCCTCTCTTCCCATCTTCTCTACTTCTGTGCTGTTGTTCCTGATTAGCTGACCCACCTTTTGTATGTTCACATCCTGAATTTTGAATGCTCAGACATTGGTATCGATACGCGAAGTCCTAGAAATCCAAAGCACAAGCAAGTCAATTCTGTGTTCCAAGGCAGCCCTCCTGTCAAATCTTTCTCTCTCATCACAAAGGTTTGTTCACGCTCAGTTTCTGCAAGTACTGGTGCCTGTCCTGTTTAGACGTTGATCGGACTCTGTTCATGCAGGCGGCCAATAATAACCGAAATACAAAACCCAATAGCGTGATTTGCGCAGACTGTGATGGAAATGGTAGGAGGAACCTCAACTAGGCAAAAAGTTAGATAATTGTATCTGGGTTTAAACGTGAGTTGAGATACTTGCAGCAATCATGTGATTACTCTAATGTGACACTAGTTGGTGGATAATGAACAGGCGCAGTTCTCTGCTCTCAATGCAAAGGTAGTGGGGTGAACTCTGTTGATATCTTCAATGGACAGTTTAAAGCCGGTGAATCCTGTTGGCTTTGCGGGTAACCATTTTGAATTTTCTTACGCTAATGATCTCTTTGATGTACCGAAACCTGCCTCATTTTAATAGCATTTTTAAGTTAAGCGAACTGAATTGGATTGTAATAAAGCATTATTTTCCAAACTTGAGACTAATGTTATTCCCTCATCTGATTCCCACGATTCCAGGGGCAGGAAGGAGATGCTGTGCGGAAATTGCAATGGAGCTGGCTTTGTTGGCGGCTTCTTGAGCACCTATGATCAATAGAAATCCGGACCGCCTCAATGACAATGAATATGATACTCTATTAAAACACACACACGCACTTACTCTTTGTACCCACAAGAAAGTTCGGAGTTCAGTGAGGGTGGAGAAATTAAACTCACCAGTCACCCCCAGTGGAGGATGAAAATATTTCCTATATATACATTTCGTGGCAGGTGATTCTCAGTTCACTGGCTGTCATCAATATCTTAGGACAAGTATTTGTTGGATGATTCTGTGCAGGCAGCGTCGATTCCAAGGGCAGAAGGTGCCAGAGAATTAACAGAACAGAACAAGAGATTTGACAAAGATAAATAGACAAGTACGTAAAAGTTATACTGAGAGGTAGCCTGGTGCTTCCATGAATTATCTGTTACTTCAAAAGAGGCTAACCCCAGAAGTTCACTTAAAACTTTAAAGAAACTTCTTTATGAGGCTTAACGACAATAATAACCTCACAAAAGAGGGAGTTCAACTTTGGTTTTTTGCTCTGGAACCAGATGCTCAGTCCACAGAGCTGCGAAACGATAATAATATAGCTCTATCTGCCCAAATGTAATAAACAATAACACTAAGGTTTATCCTATCCGCCATCACAAACAATCTTAAAAATAATACCACATAGGACAGCATTTCCACTGCCACAAACAGTGTCTTGAAAAAAAATTTCTATGCCTTGTACTAATTAGCAACCAAATATGAAAATGAAATATGAGCGCATCCATATTCTTATTTACTTTCCATTAGATAAGGATATTTAACAACTGGCACAAATAAAGCACAATACCCCAGATTAGGAAGCATAACAAAAGGTCAATCGAGAGAGAGAAGGCATAACAAAAAGTCACAAGCATATATTACCATCCTTGCAAACTAACAAATTCAAATGGAATCTACAGGAGGAGGATATGTTGATGTCTTGATTGCGGCAAGAATGCTTGTCTCTCCAAATTTCATTTTGGGCGGGTTCTTACCATGGAAAACTATGTTGATGAATTTACTTGGCTTCTTGCTCAAGAGCAGTGATTTTCTTCCAATCCTCCTCCAAAAACTTTTTGTGCAAAGGAGGCAATGAGAAGATGCTCACAGTAGAGCTTCCACCACGAATCTCATCTAAAGTCCGGAGCGCTTGTAAAGTTAGCTTGGTGTACACGTTCTCCATGTGCTCGATTTCAGCAAGTTCCTTGGGAGCCTGCTTCAGTGTCTCTTTATTTTCGTTTCCAGTCCCTGTCATGGAACCACACCCATCTTCCTCCCCAAAGGAAGAGGATTCACCAGGAGCCTCACTTTTGGGAAAAATATAACCTAGCATCACCTCACACTCCTTTACAAGTTTGTCAAGCACATCAATTTTGAAGAAGGGTTGGTTCAGGACCTCTTGGATAAAAGGCAAGCGAACTAATGCACCAGTTCGCTTATCATATTTCTTTATTATCTTCACCAGACCTGCTCAAAGAAAAAGAGGTAAGATAACAAAAATACAAATCTTTCCCTAACAGTCACCATCAACCCCTCGCTTCCAATCGAAAGTCATGTTTTCCTAAAAAGAATTAATAAAAGATACCGCCTAATTATTCAAATAAGATAATATTAGGATTAAATAATTCATTCATTTGAAAAAATTACAAATCTCGTATATGCTCAGTAGCCTTACAAATAGAGTAACACACCACTCTCCAATAGAATATTCTAAGAAATGAAAGTTTGAAAGTATAACCCACATTACCTTAACAGTCATCTAACTACATATCTTACCTGTGCTTAGCATCCATGATTTTACGTTATCAAAAGATTTCATCATCTGATAACAAAACTAGAATCCATATCTTAAAGCTAATGCACAGCTCCTTAGAATTACCTGTGTAATTAAGTGCACTATAGTTCTCTAGCAAAACCATCTCTCCATGAAAATCCACTATTTCCCTCCCTACTGTCACCAATTCTTCATTTGAATCCTTAGCCTTAGAAACTCTATCTTGCAACTCCTGCATTATTTACAAGCACAAACCAAAGGTCAAATGGTGATTGAAGCTCAAAAATTTTTTACTCGCCCTATATGCAAAATGACACATGACTTTCCACGTGAAACTTAAAAACGTACTCAATGAAATCTATGCCTTCAGATTTGCCCCAAAAAAATTGTGCCTGTAGACTTGCATGCTATATAACAAAGGAACAAAATAAGCCTGCTCTACAAGAATCACAACATGCTGAACAAAAAAAGACTAATAAAAGAATGAAAATATTGCCACGGTTTTAATTGCTTCCAAATACATGTGAGCCAAGAATCAACATTTTAGAACTGCAGCATACAGCCACAAACAAAGGCCCTCAAGGAAACAGAATTGAAGGTATCAGCAAACAACTTTCCTTTTATATTGATCAAATGTCCGGCTTCTAAGACAACAGGAAATTTGATACATCCATATGCGTGCGCATGTATATAAGACACTAAACAACCAAGGACACCTGTTTGCTTTTTATCAAAAATGCTACGCAGATGTATAGCACCACAAAGGGCTAATTGATACAAGTTTAAGCCACCGTTGATGGTTAAAGAGGTTTCAACATCATTAGCCTTGAAAGGTAATTGCTAATACCTTATTGAGATGGATGGAGAATCGTAGAAAACTAAGTCTTAATAATTATGTGGGCAGCAGAGCATGATATTGCTGACAGAGATGAAATCTGAGTGTCAAAGTCTAGGTTAGGCAGCACCAAAAAGGATACTAATGCTTCATAAAACAAAATCAAGCTGATTGGATTTACATGTCTTGTTCTTGGAAGTGCATAACTCTCCCTATGTTTATAACTGGTTCCAAACTCAGGCAAAGGAGGAGGATTGTAGTGGACCTTCAACAATCAACATAAAATTTTGTTGAATCTCACATAGACATGAACAATATACGCTTTTGTGCTAATGCCAAGTCGTTGCCTATAAATAACGCACTATATAGCTTAAGTGCAGTGACAAGTGAGTTAAAGCCACTGCATTATCGTCTGAATGTAGTTTTAAATGAGCAAGGGCTACCGCGTTGTTCTAAACGAGCGCAATTAAAGAAGTTAGTTCATATGAGCAAGATCAAATTTGATACTTGGAATGTTAGGACCTTGACTCGTAAATCAATAAAGGTAGTAAGAGTTGTGATTCATAGAAAAATTAATATCTTGTGCCTACAAAAAATTAAATGGCTCGGTGAACAAGTTATGGATATTTAAGATTTCAAATGTCGCCATATAGGGAAAGTAAGCACATATAATAGGGTGGGTATCATTGTTGATGAAGAGTGGAAGAAAAACATGGTAGGAGTTACCAGAATTGGACGCAGTATCTCCTTAAAAATGATTATTCCACATGAGACTGTCAATATTATTAGCATTTATGCACCTTAAGCTGAAGCAGAAGCCAATCTTAAGGAATTGTTTTGGGAAGACTTGGAGGGATTGATTCAATGCATACCACAAAGTGAAAATATTTTTATTGGAAGAGACTTTAACAGTCATGTCGAATGGGAGGCAAGTAAGTATGCGAGGGTGCGTGGTGGTTTTAATTTTAGGGAGCCAAATAATGAAGGACAATCTATTCTTGATTTCCCAATGGTGCATGATTTCAAGATTGTCAGCACTTGTTTTAAGAAGAGGGATGAACATCTCATTACCTACAAAAGTGAAATCTCAAGGTCATAGTTTTTTTTTTTTTGGTAAGGAACACAAATAAAAGACTCTATAAAAATTGTAAGGTGATTCTTAGAGATGGTGTAACAACACAAGATAGGATCTTTATCCTTGATGTGCATATCATGAGTAAAAATCAAAAGCATCAACAAATGGTAAATTTGAGAATTAGGTGATGGCAGTTAAATGGTGAAAAGCGAGAAATTTTCATGCAAAATCTTTTGCCGAAAGAATTTGGGGGTCCCAAGGAAGTGTTAACATCTTGTGGGAAAATATAGCGAAGAAAATAATAAAGGTTGCTAAAGAAATTTTGAGAGTTAAAAGGTTTTGGTCTGAGAGATAAGGAATCTTAATTGTGGAATGATAATATATAGGAAAAGTCAAACATAAAAAGGAATATTTTAAGGCCATACATTTGTGCAATAATAATAAAAATTCAGAAACCTATCGTATAGCTAAGAAGGAAACGAAAAACGTTGTGAGTGAAGCTCATTCTAAAGTATTTGAAGAATTTTATAAAAGTCTTGGGACAAAGGATGAAAAACAAAAAATTTATAAGATTGCTAAGAGCATGAGGAAAAAATCAAGAAATTTGAAACACATAAGAAGCATAAAGGATAAAAAATGAAGAGTTTTGGTTACAAATGGTGATATTCAAGACAAATGGGGGACCTACTTTTACAAACTTTTCAATAATAGAAAGAGCTTATCTAGTAACTTGGAAGATTCAATAACTTATGAAAGAGAACATAATTTGTCATTCTATCAAAGTATACACGATCGTGAAGTAAAGGAAGCTGTTAAGAAAATGACAAATGGTAGAGCCAATAAACCGGATTATATCCCTATTGAATTGTGGAAATGTTTAAGTGAAGAGAGGGTGATGGTTAATTAATTTATTTAATGAGATCTTATAGTCCAAGAAAAAGCATGACGAATGGAAGAGAAGCACCTTAATTCTTATTTACAAAAATAAAAGGGATGTTCATAATTATGCAAATTACAGAAAGATTAAATTTGAGTTATAACATAAAATTATGGGAAAGAGTGATTGAGTATGGGTTGAGATTGAAAACTGATATTTCAGAGAATCAGTTTAGCTTCATGTCATGTAGGGCTACTACAAAAACGATTTATCTGCAAAGAGGATTAATGTAAAAGTATCGATGCAAAAGTAAAGATTTACGAATAATTTTTATTGATTCGAAAAAAACTTATGAGCGTACACTGAAAGAAGTATCTTGGAAAGCCTTGGAAAAGAAAGGAGCTCGGGTTGCCTATATTAGAGCTATACAAAATATATATAAGGAAGCAACAACTAGTATAAAAACATCTGGTAATGAATACCAAAAATCATCTTGAGTCTTTATTTGTTTGTGACCTAGTACTAGATGTTTTAATAGACCAAATTCAAGAGGAAATCTGATGAAATATAAGAATTAATATATTTTAAAGAAACCTAGGCTAGTAGATTATTATCATTTTAGAAAGAAATATGTTTTCTTATGTTTTTGTCCTTCGTGTTATTTTAATATTTTATAAAAGGAAATCTGAAACCTACCTTTATATAGACATGGTATTAGGATTTCCTTTTGTGTTATTTTATTAAAAGGAAAATTTGACCATTAGCTTTCTTTGGACAAATGATTAAGATTTCCTTTATAGATATGAAAGTTAGTTTAAATAGACTAGTTTGCATTTGTAATGAAACACTTGATGAATGAATTATTGTGATTGATTTTCAAAAGCCCTCCCCCTCTCTCTTCGTCTGTCTCCCTCCCTTGCTCCTCCCACTATTCTATTCTTCATCTTCTTCATTTCTCCCTCTTTATTTCTGATTTTCTCTACTCTCTCCCTCTATTCAACCCTGTGCAAGTATGTGTGAGTGTGTGTTACATTAAAATCTTTAAATCCATTCTTTTTGTGGATAATATAATTCTTATTGTGGAGATAAGAGAAGAGATTAATTGTAAATTTGAATTATGGAGGAGGACATTAGAGTCAAAAAGCTTTTGCCTGAGCAGAAGTAAAACAAAATATTTTCATTGTAATTCTAATAAGAGGTCAGTCAATAGTAATTTAGAAATAAAATTGAAAGATTGAATTATACTTCAAGTGAAAAAGTTTAAATATTTATAATTTATTATTTAACATAATAGGAAAATTGATAGGGATATTGAACATATGATATAAGTAAATGATTTAATTAAGAAAGGCTAAAAAAATTATTTGTGATCAAAAGGTATCTGATAAACTTAAAGGGAAATTTATAAACTGCTATAAGACCATCTACATTATATGTTAGTGAATATTGGGTTTTAGATGTGTGGGTATACATGCAAAAATAAAATCTGAAATGAGCATATACAAAAAAAAAAGGATGTAATACCTATTGAGAAAAAAATAATAAAAAATCATTTAAGATGGTTTAAATATATACATATAAGACTGTGAGAGACACCGGTGATAAAAATATGATAGATAATTTTAAGCTCTACAAAGAGAGATGAAAGAAGGTTAAAGAAAACACTTATATAAATTGTTGCCTAAAACCTCTTAATTAATAATATTCTCAAAAGTTTAGCAAATAATAGAACATAGACATAGTACAATTCATGTATAGACTCATTTAGTAAGACAAGACTTGTTCTTATAGTGCATGTCATGCTGCATGTTGCTTGTGAATTTGTGATCCAGTTTTCAATAAACCATACAGAGACACGATAACTCTCTTTAGCTGCTGAGCAAGTCACGCTTTGAAACGCAAGAAACGATTATCAATATTATTCACTTTTAATTTTTTGGTTTATGTAGCCTTCCAGATTAGATAAATATTATTCACTTTTAATTCTCTTTTAAGATAAAACTCTGAGAAAAATACAAATACAAAATTCAATTCATCAATTTCAAAGACCCAGATTAGATCACAGTGGTATGGTGGGAACCAAATTCGAACCAGGGTCATCCGAAAAATCCAAGGCAGGAAATACTGGAAATACAAAATTGTTACCTTCAATTTGATGACATATTCTTCTTCCTTCTCAACAAAAAAAGAGTTAAACTTGTCTATCTCGACTTCCAGAAGCTTAAGAAAGTCATTAACCTCTTTGGTGAGCTCCGCCTCGCCATCCAATTTCGGGCGTTTGGTGGGCAGAACGTCGCCATCTTTTGGGCATATAAGCTTCAGCTGTTTTTTCAAATCTTTGTAGGAAAGGAACTTATCCTGCCAATCGGGTAAAGTCTGCTCGATCAGGTTGCTGAGGATCTTCCAGAACTTCATGATCCGTCCGGTTCGGAGATCAAATATTCCGGCGAAACGACGTTAAAATGATGATACCCTCATACGCCCTTCGAAAAAGCGAAGAGATGAATGCTTTCTGGAAAGTAAGTGTTTATAAAAAAGCTCTCAAATCTCTGAATAAGAATATTTGGGAGGATGGGAAATGGGGAATATACTTCATTCCATGTTTTGACGGAGACCAGAGCATCTGTACAGGTTTCTCCCCTACTCTCGGGTTCAATTTTACTCTTTCTTCTCCGCTATTAGGAAGAAGATTCATTTTAGCCCGTGTGGATTTATGCGCTTGGGTTATACATGTGTGTGACAATTTTAATTTTTTTAAATGTATTTTTTTTATTTATTTATAAGAAACAAATATTTTTTAAATGCATGTATTAAAACCAATAGAGAAAAATGTCACTGTCAAATAAATGATAAAGCAAAAAGTGAAAGGTCTTTTTTTTGTTGTTATTTTCTTCTTATTATAACTTTTTACTTTTGATAACAATAAAATTAAAATATATATATATATATATAATAGATAATGTTTGAGGTACTGTCAAACATTAAATATAATGCACCTTTTTAATTATAAATTCTAATATTAACTCACCAAACTATATGATAATAGCTCTTTCGATTAGACCCAACTTCCATTAATATTTTTTTACATTAAATGATCTCATACTATTCACATAATTATTGTTTGTAAAATTGGATTAGATCAATTGATCAAACCAACGACCCATCTATGTGTCCAGTCTAATTTTATACTTTTCATGTATACTAATTAATCAGATGAATTTGGATTAACTTGCACAATTCATGAATCGGGTGAGTTTTATTTTAAAATTTCTATGTAGTTTTGGAATTTTAAAAATTTAAACATGTAAAAATTAGAATCCATAATTAAATTTAGAAACACTAGCCTTCTCACCCTTCACTTAAGAACACGTTTATTCTTGAAACTTGAATTCAAACCCACACCTTCGCTTCACTTCACTTCTCCTTCATTCTCCCTTGTCTTCTCTCATTTAAACAAGTAATGGGTCAGACCAGTCAACTCTCAGAGCTTTATGGCATTCTGCATCTGCAAATTTATTTTTACAACTGAAAGGAAGGTTAAGAATTGTGAACATGAAAAAATGAAGGAGAAAGAGGGGAAATGGCATATGAAAGAAGAAAAAGAGAAGGAGGTTTAAAAAACATAAGAGTGAGGGAGGGAGGAGAGGACAAAGAAGAAAGAGAAGAGACAGAGGAGTGGTTGATGATCAAAGAGAAAAAGAAAAAAGGAGGGAGCAGTGAAATATAAAGAAGTGTGCTGTAAAGTCAATGATAAAAATTATAATTGCAGATTTAAAAATGGAAAAATAATTGAGAAAAGTGAGAGGAAAAATTAAAATTTAAGATAAATTAATATTTTTTTATTCAAATTATTTTATTTTATTAAGATGAGTTTAATTTTAGTTTAATTTTAATTTAATTCTGATTGAATTTTTTGTCCTTCACCTTAACCGATTCAATAACCAATACAATTCTTAACACATCACACACAATCCGTTGGATCTAGGGCCCAGAATTTGTAGGTGTCAGGGTTGGCTCAAACTGTCCTGCCAAAAGGCTTGCAATATAAACCACAGGTTATCCTAATCATGTTAGCATTTCACAATGCTCATACCTATCCTATTCAACAGTACCTTACAAGTTATAAGAAGGGTTTCCCCACAAGTGAACTTAAAAAGAGACACTGATGAAACTAATATTCATGGAATAGATTCATGAAGGAGTCCAAAAAAATAAAATGCAATAAAGTGTTTTGAGATTATAGGAAACATGAACGGGAGGTAACCTCAACCCAATTAATTTTGCAGCACTCTTGCTCCTTCATGAATGGAGTATTTATTGATCAACCCAACCACTTGGAGTAAGATCCTTCTTTATGCCAACTTGTTCTCCGTGGCAGGTACTATCGTAGTAGCAATTAAGGGCATATAGTTTAGGTATTACATGCCTGCAATCAATTTAAACCACAGCGGAGAGACTTGGACATAGCTTCCGCTCATTTTGCTTCTTCCATAGCCATTCCCTCTAGCTTCTCTCTCTGAAACTATGGGGCGGTGATATATCTTCCAAAAATATGGAGTCTGCCTCGCTTTGCCATGTGACAACAAGGAAAAAGATAGGGAAAATTATATTCACATTGCATAGAAAAAAGTTTATTATTAAAAAACTTTATAAATTTCATAAAATACTTTTAAATTTCAAATTCTATAAATTGACAACTAAATCAAGAGTATTGACAATTGGACAATAATTATTTACAAATTGCTAGTTGTTGCCCAGTTTTTAATATTTTTAATTAAGTTGTCAATGTATATGATTTAAGATTGGAGAGTATTTTATAAAATTGAAAGAATCTTTCAAAAATAAACTTCTTTTGTGAATGTTGAATGCAATTTTTTAAAAAGATACTTCCTCCGGTTTTATTTATAAATCATTTCTACCAACCTCATCAATACCAATACAATAAAAGTATAAAGAATAAAAGCAAGTAAAATTTCAAATATGCCCCTACATAAAAAATTTAAAAAGTAATGCCCTGTTATTATTTCTCTCTCATGAAGGGTAATTTTAGAAATACTTCTTAAATATTACTTAAAAAGACGCACCATGACTTATAAATGAGATCAAATGCACCTTCTAAAATGGGACTTATAAATGAGAACGGAGGGAGTATTATTTTTGCAACGTCTAATGCATGTTGGAGTTGCCCAACTCTCACATTTTGTTGGAATTTGTGAAAGACAAATTTTGCAGTTATATATCATCATCACATACGAGGTGGCTACTGGTGATGAGATATTGGAATTTGATGCCAACATCAAAAACAAGAGAAGGCTGATGAGAAGATCCTGTAAGATAGATCGTGTTTAATTTAAATAGAAAGCTCATCTTCTTTGTACCGGATTCTTCGGATTGTCCTTCTCATCAAAGTATTTTGTATTGTGATTGATTCCGATTAAAAGAAAGAAAGAAAAAAACTATGCACACAGCTTATGCAGCTTCATAATTTCCACATACATGAAGAAAGCACATTTACAACAGAAGTAGCTAGCTTGAACATTAAATTTTTCCAGCAGTGCTGATGTGGCCCACGTAAGGTGCTCAATTTAAGACCTGTAAATGCTTTCAACATCAATCCAAGTTAATCTGCAATTTTTTCTCCTGCTGCTTGAACTTTGAATGCCAATTACAAAGGCATTTCATTTCCAGCCATATGCCTGTATTTAATTCAGAGAGCCTGTACGCTGTTGAAAATTAAGATGACCATCATCGTTCCCTCGCCGTGTCCTTTTACAAATTGCAATAAGCCAAATGATAGAAATCAAATTAAACCTATATCGATGACAGCTTAATTAAGTTGTCGTGCATCATCTATATACAGAGATGCTTCCAGATATACTGTCATCACACTGCAGACAATATAATCAATCAAGCACTAAATAACACTTCGGCTTAATTATTATATAATGAGTCCCTTGACTTTTTTTCCCTTTCAGCTTAGCCTTAATCTATGGAAAAGGATTGCATGAAACGGGTAACATATGAAGAACTCTGATATGCAACTATGCAAGGCTGGCTAGCTTAAGCTTGCTGTTCCTGGGAAGCGCTGCTTGAAGAGCAAGGGTGGTTCCAGTTAAGCAGCTCTTCGATCATCTGTATTGCGACCCTGTCTTCTTCATCCACCACCAGATTACCTGCCTGGGCGCCAGTCTCCGGCACCGACCTCACTGACGAATCGAACTCGCCGGTGTTGGCCCGATCTTTATTGCCGAGCTCCACCCTGACGACCCAGTTAGAGTCAGAATGTGGACCCGCTCCTTTCTGCCAGACGCCAATGTGAGAAATGTCGGCGTCAAGCCTGAGACAAGTGAGGGAGGGAGATAGAGACTTGCAACACTTCTTCAGCTTCGCGCTGAGGAGGCCTGAAAGAGCCATAGGAGATGAAGAAGTAGTGTTGTCTCGGGGTTGATACATTGACGTGGGGAAATTAGTCTTGGCGTTTTGACCATTCATCAAGATGGCTGCTTGGTCGTACGCCCTGGCAGCTGCCTCCACCGTCTCAAAAGTCCCTAGCCATACACGTCTCTTCCTAAACACAGGCGCAAGATCAACCAAGAACCACAAGTTCATATATATATATATATATAAGAGATAGAAGAGAGAGAGAGAGAAGGAGAGAATTTATATAGTAGTAGGTTTGTGTTGGTTGAGGTGTGATTACAGTAATGGATGGCGAATTTCTGACACCCAGGAGCCCCACTGGCGCTGCCTCACTCCTCTGAACTTGTTTGCTTTTGCCATATCGAGAGAGGGAGGGAGGGAGGGAGGGAGCAGAGAAGCAAAAGGGAAATTAATGTGGAGCTGAGAGTACAATCAACAATGTCATCAAATTGGGCAAAGTGATGAGGGAGAGCGTTTGAGATGAGTCCGTATAAATGGCAGGTGGATGGGTTGGAAAGAGAGGACTTGAAACAGTGAATGGGCGCAATAAAAGTTTCACCTGCTTCACTCCCATAAATCTCTCTGGGCCTTGCTTTCTTAACGACTGAAATAAATGACCACCAGCCCGAGGAGGGACTTCTTCGCCCTTCGCATTTAGCAGAGCTGGGACTCATCTTGGGCGCTCAGGATAATATACTCCATCTGTTTTTATATAAAATATTTTTAACCAAATTTCATATATTAATAAATATTTATTATTTATGAACTCACATAAAAATATAATAATTTTTAAATTTTTTTATTAATAATATCATAATTAATATTATAATGATAGTAAGAAAAACATATAATTGATGATATATTTTATTTTTTAAAACAAAGATAAAATTATTTAATTATGCAAAAATATCATTGTTATCCCTTATATTCAAGAACAAAATAAAATTTTAAAAAATACATTATATATAGGGATGAGGGATTATGAATCATTTAAATTTAAAATTTAAATGATACAAATTTAATGGATTATTTTATGTTTATTAAAATAAAAATTTATATAAATTATAAAAAAATATAATAATTTTGCTTATCATCAATCAATTCTGCATTTATTTTGAAGGTTTTATTTCAATATTAAATTTTTATATATTAACTATTTAGATATACTTTGTATAATTCACATTTAAATTTTTTAACTTGTAATTTTTTTATTTTATATTTTTATTAAATCTAAACTGTAGAGAATACATTTGTACAGTCAAAATATAAAATTATAAAAAAATAAAATTAAATTGAACTACCCATATGTTATATCAAAATTTTAATATTAAATTAAATTTTTAAATTAAACCTAGACTTAGATTGATGATAAAAAGATTTATCATATTTTGTTAATGATTTTTATTTTAATAAATATAAAATATAAAATAATTCATCAAATATGAACCATTAAATTAAAATCTAGACATTTCACATTCCATCAGCCCAGGATGAACCCAGCAGAAAAGCATGAAATTGCTTTGATACACACATGCGTTTTGACAGTCTAATTATTTCTTTCACGGAAAATAGTAAAGTACAGTCCATCAATGAGAAACTATCATATCTCTCATCACAGTCAACCGTGAGTGTTGCTTGACGCGAAACCTATTTACCTTGATACATGAGAATCAGGAGCAACGAAAGCTTTATCCCTCTATGAATCGTACGGATTGTAAGATATCATTGTATTTTGCTAAAACGAAAGTCCTTTAACTCCAAATTTCACTTCCATGATTCTAATATAGGGTTGAACTCTTATTATAGAGTTTATTCCCTTTATGTTTATATATAAAAAAATTAAATGTATCACACAATCCGATAAATTAGTTTAACAACAGTAATTATATTTGTAAGTAAAAAATTGAACTTAAATACCTTTATATTTAGTCAAAATACAATCATATTAATTATTTTTGTGAATAACGATTATAAATTTATTAGAGATGATTTTAAAAAATTTATACTAATAAATAATATTGATGTATGTGATTTTGTTTATAAATAAAAGGATAAACATAACTTTTAATTTTGTATTTTACTCACATTTTGCTTTTAGTCTCTATATTTCTTCAATATTTTAGGCTCCTATATTTTTATTTTTTATTATTTTCGATTCCTCTACGAACAAAGTATAAGTACCTAAAATATTAAAAAAATATAAAAATTAAAAGCAAAATATTAGTAAAGGAATTAAAAGTTATGCTTTTTTTTTAATAAAAATATCTAGTAACAGTGAGAGTACCATGATTTTTTTCTCTTTCTTTTGTTTTTTAAGGCGATCCGTATAATTTACATCGAGTTTGCGGAAACAGGCCTTTGGAACGCTGACTTGGTCATCTTTTCTTTAGAGAACGTGGACACTTTAATGTTGTTGAGGATTCATATAATTCAGCAAGAATTTCAGTTAAGGGACATGAAATAAAGATATTTATTTGTGGATTTCACAGAAAAAAATCTAAATCTTTTCTTTGAAAAGAAAGAGCTTGTTGAACCTTCTAGGTTGCACACCCTTTAAATCATTATATTCGTGCTTGATCTCTGGGTCTGATTTATCAAGGCATTCTAGGTTCTCTATTTTGACTAATTCTTTGCGGGAGCTATGGACTCAGCTAAAATAAAATGAATAGTTAAAAAGATTGAATTGTCATTCTGTAAAATTAACAAGTACTTAATTGCTATCTAATATTATTTATTAATTGCTTACTTATATTTATTAATTTTCTAGCAGCACTTGTTAAATCATTAACTAGTTAATTTTGTGACTTCATAATTTTAAGAATATTACTTATTACTTTTATAACTTTACTTGCTAATTTATTAACATGATTTGTTAACTATTTAACTTGACTTATCAATCATTCACAGGGCTTGTTCATTCAACTTGACCAAAAAGAACAGCCATTAATTGTTAATTTTTTTATTTCACTTATTTATTTATTAATATCAATTGTAAATTATCTCGTTTCACCTGTTAATAATCATACCAATATTAGATGTTACTTGTCTAATTTTTACTTGTTAATTTATTAATATCAACTGTAAATTACATGACTTGTCATTAATTATACCGGTTCAATCATTTTGTCCTGAATGCATGATCATTAATTGTTATTTTTTATTTTTTTTATTAATTTACCAATATCAGTTGTCAATTATTTTTTCTTTCTTTTGTGCAAGCGTATTTCAATATTTTCATCCACCTATTTTATTTTAATTTAGTCCAGAAATCATGTAAAGAATTTTTAATTTTTTTTAAAAGTCCATGAGTCAATATCTCTCTTTTATAATCTGTAAGTAAAATTCTCTCTTTAATTTATTTTGATTCCTTACTCGTCACAGCCTATGCTGTATGCATTGGAGCTTTTTGGCATTGTCAATTTATCAGTGGGTTATACATATCCTTTCTCAACCTACCTGTCACGCGCATGCTCTGTCCTTGTGATGGGTTAAGGCAAATCAGACTGTGTATATCATGTTAGGTGTGTTTTGCCTCATGTGGTTTGTTCATGTGGATTAGCTATTTAAATTACCTTCAAGGTTTTCTATTATCACGGTTTGTTATTGTTTTTTTTTCCAAATTAATTTGTATCATGAGATGCTATTTCCTATTTAGTACGAGTTAATTACTCTGTTTTCTGATTCAGGTAATGGTTATTAGGGTTTCCATTCTGTTATCTCTACTGGAAGTTGTGAAAGGCGCTAGAAAAAGCAATACTTTTTAAGAATAATATTTCATGGTTTTTGTTGTACCAAAAAAATTGCAGTTTTTGCAGGTTTTCTTTCAAATAAATTTCATGGGATTGGTTAAGGCTCCCCCTTTTTGTGGAAAATTTTTCAGGTTCTCGAGACCTCCCCTCCCCCCCTCTTCTTGTTTTGTTCTTTTTTGAAGAAAAGGCCTCAATAATGGTAATGCATTTTTGCAGAACAGAACATTGAATATTTCCACCTCATCCGTATTGTTATGTTTTCAACTTTCATCTCAATTCAGGTCTTTCTTTCACTTTGCCTTTTTAAATTAAGGTTAGTAATTTAAACAAATCAGGCTCAATTTAAATTAAGTTTAAAAATACTATAATATATAAAAAAATATTATTAGCTAAGTTCGCCCATAACCCCTCAGGCATTGAGACTTATTTGAATTGACTTAAATACTTAAATTATTAAATATAATTTCATTTTATTTTTTATGTAATTCAATGTTTATTTTTAAAAAATTAATATTTTTAAGATACAGACCTTCCTTTTTTAACCCTTACACCTTGTATCATAATTTTAACAAAAAGAATTCGGATGGCTGGATTTGATTCGGATTTCTTCAAATTTATTTAATTTAGACAGCCTAAATGAACTCAGAATAATTTTTTTAAAACCCTCAAACTCAATTTTTAAAATTTTTAGGTTTATTTAAATAAATTGGTTGGGTTTTATCCAAATCATCACTTGAAACTTCAAGTCCATGACTGCCCCACGGGACGGGCACGAGACCACAACTTGTGTTCTGCCGTCTCAAATGCCCCACTTGACAAGCACTGGTCTGTTTCCAAGGTATTGATGCATGTATTTTCAAAACCCAAGTGGATCGACAATTGGGAAATGAAGGTCTACAGGAATTCTTAATCCTCCAAACTAATCAGGTCTAGAAACGTAAACTTATGATTAATTATAACTTAATTTAATGCCCATGCTGATTGATCCCATGACAATTGTCCAGTTCACTCCATGCATTTTCCACAGTAAAGTTAAGAGTAAAATTATATGTGCAGATACATTTAAAAAAGAATATACAGTCGCTTTTTTTATTTTTGCTGGCCATCATCCGATCGTATGTTATATCATACATTATACAAATATAAAAATCGTCCAGTAACGTAAAAATAGTTTCATCTTTTGCTGGCAAAAAGAAAAGTTAGTTTGACTTCTTTTATTCATAAATTTCTTGGGAAAGTAACAGAAAATATTCGGGTTTAGTAATTTCTCAGCAGGCACTCTGGCAGCGGCCGTGATGACAGTCCGCGTTTCTTGTTTATCGATATTTCTTGCCTAACTTTCAGCTGCAGATTGCTTGTTTGCTTGATTTCTTATACTTTACACCTTTTTTTTTTCTTTCTCGGCAACCAAAAGAATACTGTTATTCGTTGTTGCTCCCCCCGCCCCTTTCTTTCTTTTGTTGAATTCTTTGAGCGGTTCCCTACCCTTTCTGTAGCGAATACACCGTATCGAATTCTCTCTTTGCCGTTCTTGAAATCTTACGTCACAGATCTCTCTAATTTGACTTCGTTAAATCACAAATGCAGTTCTGTAGATACGCTCCACCTTGGGTCTGTCGGATTCTGGCGTGCATGGGGTGAGTTAATTGGTCTCCTTCCTTCCTTCTTCTTGTTTTTTTTTGCATCCCAGTTCCACATGGAAAGAGAAAATTGAATTCTTCAATTATGAATGTCGCTCCTAACTTGTCAGTCTAAGAAGATAACTTCAATAGATAGCTAGTGGCAGAATTAGTTTGATCAACTTTCTAAGCGAATGGCGGAGAAGCCAAGTGAGAATTGGGATTTTGCGTAGACATCAGGTAATGAAAGAAAACGAACTGATAAATATTGGATAGTGCACGATACAGAACCTCTAGGGCTTAAGCGAGAGCATGCAGAGCTAATGGCCTTGCTCCAGTTTCGTAATAATAGGATTTTGATTGATTTACCTTTCGTATATATGCCTTTTTATATTTCAGGATTCTCAAGAAACTAGAAATTTCAAATCTTAATCCCTTCGCCCTCTCCTAGTTTTCTGTGTAAGACAAGATATTCGTTCAAAATTTTAGCATATTTTTAGTTTCAGTTCTAACCAGGAATCTGGTTCTTGCGGTTTCTTTTTTTTTAAAGCAAGCATCAATCTGGTGCAAGGATTTTGCATTCTTTCCTTGGATCCCTGGGAAGCTGCTAATAAGATAGGTAGAACTTCCATTTCTCTATAGCATTTCAAATATAGGAGGAGCGCATTCCAGGTGTTGCTTGTTAATACAATTGACTAGACTAGATGAAGCTTTGGGAAGAAATGCTACTGTTCATTTTAATGTTCAGCGGAGATTTTTTTCGTGCCTTTGTGCTTTCTATCGTGGAAAAGTTAGAGTTTATATTCAAAAGACCTTTCAGAGTAAGGGACATTTATTATTTACGGCGTTTGATTCTAACAGACTTATTGGCACTGTCTGTTCTATTAATGGGGGACACTTTCAATTCTCTGTCCTATCCTTACTAGATGAAACATTACATCCCTGCCTGGATCGCTTGCTTCTTATATTAAGCTTTATGCATCATTTAAGTGAAATGAATAAGAGGATACCATAGACAGAATGAAATTCTATTGCTAGATTGTTTCATTATCCTAATGTTTGTAATTTAAGCCAGTAGATTGGATATATAGAAAAGCAGCTAGTGTTAATCATGCGCGTTGGACCCACTTTTGTAACAGAGCAGAGGCTGTATTGGATACTCCACAATACCTCGAGCAAATACATTGATGGATGGTGCATCTGAAGTTCAAACAGTGAAAGAAGACAAGAGATCAGAAGATTTATCAAGCAGCTGCACCTTTGAAATGGATCAGAGTGCAGCTCAGTCAATTGGCACACCAAACCTACCATCTGTTCCTCAAACTAGTGCTGACCCTCAGAGTGATCACATTGATTTTGTTAATCGTGGCAAGTTCGCTGTTATACGCACCTGTATCTCTAATCTGTTGGTTCTTTTGTTCTTTTGTTCGATATCTTGCATTTAATCAAAGTCTGCTTGTAATTTTGTGACTTTTACAATGGCATTCATGTCTATAATTAGTTCTTTGAAACATGAGAAAAGTTTGATGGATGCAGGTCTACTTCTTTGGAACCAGATGAGGGAGCAATGGATTCAAAAGGGAAGATCCGAGAGGCGGCCACAAGTTGGAGAACCCAGAATAAGGTAAATAACACAGACAAGCCTTCCGCGCTTAATTTGAATTGCCTTGAAAAGTTTTGCAAGTGTTAACTTACAATATGAACATGCTATAAAGGTCAAAGTAGTATCCACTATCCGTTTTTAAGGTTCTGTCAAAGCTCTAAATCTGAGTTTATGTCGTACTTAGTGAGGATGACACCTACGACAGTCTACTTGGGAGCAACGAGCCTTTCCCTCAACCCATTCCCCTGGGAGTAAATCCTTCTCAACTTGCTTCTTGTCATCTATTTCTATTGTTCTAGCTTGCATATTGGAGTAAATATCCTTAATGGATTTCAGCATTTTACATTCGCAGGACATGGTTGACTTTCTTGTCGATGTTTGGGATCAGGAGGGTCTCTATGACTGAACAGCCAAAAAATAGCTCTCTTCAGCAAAATTTGAAAGAGGAAAATGATTTGTTTGCCACAAGACCCCAGGGAGACAAAAAGAACAAGATTTGTGTTACAAGATGTGGCTATTCCTCTGCCAATTGTTATTCTAAAAACATACTTATTAGAATACGTATCAAACACAAGTGCAAAATGAAAGAAAACCACTCCGAATCTGGCTTTATATAACTGGTCGGAAATTTCAATTCAGTGGGTTGGTCTAAATCGTTTTTACTGTTGTTGGTTTATTTTCGTCGATTAGAAATCTATCTACATAACGCTTGGATTGATGGCCTTCCGCGGGGGAGCCACGGCCTCCAAATTGGACCTGAACGCGGGCTTCTTAGGTCAAAACGACCGAGCAATGTGTATGCTGTCACGCTGCCCGTGCAAATTTACATTCGTTTTAAAATCCAAATAAGGAGGCCATTACCAATTAGTATACCATGTAGAATATATAATTTTTTTTTAGTTTTTTAAAAATAAAAGGCCAAACAATAAAAGAAAAAAGTGCATGCTGTTGTTGGGTGATATGAATGTAGCCGGGGATGGATCCATTGAATCACGAGGGCGTCATTTTCCAGCATGGAGAGGAAAAGTAGGTGGTAGGGTCAATGCCAGTAAAAATGACAAGAAAGGGGTGGCCCATTGCCATAATGAACTTGCTTTTCCGTCACCCAAGACTCTGCTAATTTCAATTTGAATAGGCAATAGAAAGAATATCCAGACAAGGATATCATTCCCGTGATGAAAGGTTAGGCAAAAACAGTGGGTGCGGGACTACGGGCTTATGGCTGTCGTTGATCTGTCCATTCCAATGATGATGCATTACCACTTTGGGTTCTTGTGGAGAGATCCAACAGCATCCTCTCGCCACCGCCCCCACTTTTGTTGCACTTTTTTTATTCTTATCGGCTGAGCCCGACCCCATTGCACGAAACTCTGGTTCACAATCACAAATCACAACCTCATATAGTCATGTTTACTTAGTGCTGGCCTGAAAACGAGAGATGCATTGAGAAAATTCAAATAGCGGCAATAGCTAGAGTGGTTTGAATGAGTGAGTGAAAGAGTGAGGACAAGTTGGCGAACTTCAAGAACGAGGGAAATGAGTCTTCTTCTGCAAATATAAATGAACAAAAGACCCCACAAGTGGGAGGGAATCGGGTAAGCCCAAATACAATGAACGAATGGTTCTAAAAGCGAGGAAAAGCAGTGGCGTAACGTTAGGGTCGGGGTCGAAATATGTTGAACAGCGGATATGCTTCCTGCCTTTATTTGGTTACAGAAACAGGAGCTGAATAGGTTCTCGTGGCGGTGGTCAATGGTTATCCTCGCGATCTTCAACTTTAAGCAACGAATGGATCCCATGGGTATTTCTCGTACGCTATTTTAAAATTTAATAGCAAAACACGTTTGGCGTGCAAACCTTTAATTCTGTGCATCCACTCATCGAGGTCTTCCTTCATTCTCCGGACTTTGTAAAAGGCAGTGCGTGTGGAACCCACACAAGGAAATTACGTACAGACCGTATCGTATCTTGCTCGAGAAAGAAGCGGTAATTAAGCCGCAAGGGTGCATAAAGAAATACAAATACAAATAAATACAATGTTCCCCACTTCACCGGAATAATTAATAAGGAAAGGGATTTAATTTTATGTGGGCTCAAGGATATTTTAAAATTTTAATATGTTTAGAGAAAAAAATTAAAAACATTTTGACGGTAAAAATACTAAAATACTCTTCCCTATTATACAGAATCACTAATTATTAATTTTCTTACCCTACTTGCTAATTAATGAATATAAGTTGTAAATTATATAAGTTGACATGTCAATAATTATATAAAATTTTGCATCAGTTTTTCAATTATAAACAGCAATATCAGTGATTAAATTATTAATTTTACTTGTTAACTTACCAATATCAATTATAAATAACTGGCAGGTCTTGTCATTTACTAACATCGATTATAAACTCCTAACAAGTCTTATAATTTATAACTAATGCTCATAAATTAACAAATAAAGTTAACAAAATAACAAGTAATGTTATTAATTGTCTAATAAATGAATGTAATTTATAAGTGATGTTGGTATAAACTAACAAACATAGTAAAAAAATTAACAACTAGTGATTATGTATAATATATGAAGGGTATTTTGATCCTTTTACTATCAAAATTATTTTCACTTTTCTTTCCTAAAGTGAACTAAAATTTCATAATATTTTTGGACCAACTTAAAATTAAATATTTTCTAATCCTTAATTGAAATTCTTTCATGTTCAATCAATTTATTTATATCTACCAGTTTCAATTTTATTCATGTGTCATAGAAATAGAGTAAAATAATTGTACATTATGTTACCCCAACTAATTTTTTGTGTGTCAACATTACCCATATTAAAAAATTGATTTGGTTGACTGAAATATATTTATATGTGAAAAATGTCCCCTTAGAATGGAAAAAAGACAATTCATTTATGCCCCATTTGATATGTTGATAGAGATTTTGATAGAAATTAAATTAGACATGAAGATGGAGATGACGTTTAAAAATATGTTTAATATCATGGAATTAGGAAATTATTTTTAGTCAATATTAATGTTAATAATATGAAAAGCACTAAAATGCTCTCATCCTAAAAAAAATTGCCCCAACCCAGATCGAAGAAGAAAAGTTCCACCCTCGTAACCATGAAATTGAAGAATAGGGCAAACAAGAAATCAACCACAACATCGACAACATAAACTAGAAATTAGATGCAATATTCAAGAATCACAAAAGAAGACAAGGCAAAAGGCGAAAGAGATTGTAAACTGGTTTGTGCTTGAGTGGGAGCTGTATTCACTAAAGCATAAGACGAAGCAAAAATTATGTTTTTTGTCGAGTGGTTTACATTCGTTGTCAATAGGTGTTAGCTAGATAGTCATATCCTTGCTATTGCCATCATTATCTACAAAGGAGAAGAAGATCAAGGTTCTATGGAGACAAATAAGATTGTCATTTACTAGACATAGATATTGAGATGGAGAAATCAAAGATGAAGAAGACTAAGAGGAAGAAACTCTTTACTATCAATGGAAGAGGTTGTATTTGGCTGGTTGCTGAGAAGCTCATTGAAAGTGAGTGAGAAATTGCCAAGAAGTTGACTGGAGTTAGGAGACAATGGAAGGAGGGGTAACGAAAATCAACATAACACCAAAAGCAATGGAAATGAAAAAGGAAGTCATTAAAATGAAACTCGATTCAATCCTTGCTCTTTGATCTCATTGGCGATGATGGTGATGAAGACAATGTTAACGCTAAGTAGAGTGGGGATGTTAAAGAACAAGTTTGTTGAAAATGAGAGAGGTAAATGTGTCTAAAAATTTCATCAATGAAGGTATAGTTGTCTAAAATAGTATAATTCCAAGGAGCCCATCTTATTGCATGAGTCTCCTCGTGGTATCTAATTCAGCCATTTTTTTTGTGGAATTCAATTCCAAATGAAAGCCAAATTCATGCATATTAAAGAAACATTTTTCCAATTTCATATCTATTTTCAATTTCACATCTCAAATTTTAGCATACCAAATGAGACCTTAATCAATGGGAGGAGACTTTATATGTTTTTATTGTATGTTGTATCCGAGCACCCAATGTGGTGTGAAAAGAAACAAATTTTAAATGTGCTTTTTAGTTAGATGTCCAAAATACTTCTCAACCCGTTTGCTTATTGAAAAGGAATTGAATGAGTGAATAAAGATAAAAATACAATAATCAAAATGTTGAGAGGAGACAAATCAACTACATTTGTGAGAAGATAAGGGTAATTTAGTTAATGAGATTAAGAGTCATAATTTTTAAGATTTGTGGTGGGTGCATTGATTCCCATATTTGGAATATATGATGTTGAGTTTTTTTTCATGTTTACCATAGGGGACTGCATAATTTATTTCATTTTTATTCTTATATTTTTGATTAGTTCCATTTTGATTATTTCCAACTGCCAGACAAATGGCATATTATCACATATTACCATATAATTATATTCCATCACATCTTCAAATACACAAACAAATGTGTAGATTACTTGCCTATCAAGCATGTTTACGATAAATTGGATGTCAAGATTCTCAACAACTTCATTGTTCAATGTCGATATTTTGCTCAATGTCAAGACATGATTCTATGTGTTTCCTCTACCTAGTCTTCTATATACATCAATATATTTTTGTCTAATAAAATCAAACCATGTGTATTTTAATGCGTTACTAATAACAAGAGTATCTTATAGAATGAATAATTCACAAAAGATACATATACATTTTTTAATTTAATTGAAACAATTCCCTAAATATATAAGAATATGCACATAATTTTTCACATTGTGTTTTTTTTAAATGGATGTGAATAGATGGCAAAGAAGTAAATTAACCTGTCTGAATCTGGAACCAAGGTGTATGGTATGGTGTAAATTCTTAGTAGAAACTAGAGTTGGAAAAAAATCTTAGAAACTAAAATAATAATAATAATAATAATAATAAAAGGATGGGATGTCACTAGTTTTATTTGGGGAGAATTTCAACGAAGGATTCTTAAAATAATTTAATACCTGATAAGCATTTGGATGAATCATGAATCTGATACTTATTAAAATTTAAACTTCACTTGTTAATCACAAACGTTTACTTATTAGAAGTCCTTATGAGATATTAAATTGTTCCACGAGTTCTTCAATGATATTCTCTTTTTTGGTTTCTTAATAGTGTCAGTTAACCAAACATTAACCACTCTTGCCATAGAAGTCCCTTTAAAAACATGATTTACGCCCTCCTGAACATTATGACAGGATGGGCAATTATGATATGATATCATCTTCCTTCGAAATCTCTCTGTATTGATAAGCAGTTTCCCTTTGAACGAGAGCCACATAAAAGTACTCAGAAGGTTGGCTTTCAGGGAAGCGAAAGGGCATCTTGCCCCTTGATCACATACTTGAAGTGTCCTGTGCTTGCCTCCAACTCCAATTCAATGAATCGCATTTTAGTTTTCACGCCTCCACCTCCTGTTGTGAAAATAAACCAAGTTGCGTCATATGCGACGATAAGATTATGTGCATAAAATAAAAAGAGAACTTCCTAGCTATTATTTCATCTCGTAAATACATATACAGGGATATAACTTAGCCAACATCAAATTATTAGATGTGATATAACTTTTTTTTAGCAAACCATTACTTGTTGAATTGAGAAGCCCGAGTTGAGACTCCAAACAGCAGTGGCAGAGCCACATAGGCTTGAGGCTTTGGGAAAAATTACAAGTGAGGTGTATAAAATTTATAATTTTGTACTTTTTACTCTTGATATTTTACATCATCTGAATTAAATGACAAATATTTAGACTAAAAATTTATTAAACATATAATATTTTAATAATTTAGATAAGAGATGAAGAGCATGTTTATAATAAAATATCATATTCTCTCTATTAAAAAATATAAGGCATTTTTTGAGAAGTTAAATGTTAAAAAATGTAAGGTATTTTTAATTTTTCAAGGTGTAATTATTGCATTTTTTTAGAAATATCTCCATTAATAATGAATTTATATTTATTGTAGGATATTTAATATATGTAAATATAAAAAGATAGAGTTAGCTTAAAAGTAGGTAACTACTTTATTGAGGGATGAGATTTAGCTTACATTTTTAAGCGGGGAAATTATCAGTTTGTTCAATATAATTTTTTAAAATGAAAAATGATTATAAAACTATTTATGTTATTATAATCTTAATCCTAGCATAATTATTATTATTAAAAAACATTAATTTTTTAATAAATTATTTCGTATCCCCTGACCCGGGTCTTCTTCTTGGCTTTGCCATTGTCCAACAGCAAACCAAAATCACCAAGATTTATACTTAAAAAAAAGGAGAATGACAATTAAGGACCTTCTAAGAATATTAATCTCAATTACGGATCATAAAATTTTGAAATCTCAGTTAATGACCATGGTCTTTAATTGTGATAAAAAAATGTAGTTTGTGAGATGGAATTCACTATTATCATTTGAGAATTTACTAATCCAACTTGAGAAAATTTGTAACGTATATTATGAAAACATGAAACCCTACTTAAAAATTAATTATTTAACAAAAAGCTCCGCTTGAGAATTCACTAACTCAACTTAAAAAAATTTATAACGTATATTATAAAACACGAAACTCCACTTGAGAATTGATTATTTAATAAAAAATACTAATTTGGACAAATCATTTTTTATTAAACAATTAATTCTCAAGTAAGGTTTTATTTTTTCATAATATACATTAAAATTTTTTTAAGTCTAGTTAGTTAATTCTCAAGTGTCGCTTTTTGTTAAACATTTCATTCCTAAGTGGAGTTTCATATTTCACAATATACATTAATAATTTTCTCAAATTGAATTAGTGAATTTTCAAATTGCGTTGGTGAATTCCACCTCACAAACTACATTTTTTATCACAATTAAAGACTATGATTTTTAACTGAGATTTCAAAATTTTATAATCCATAATTAAAATTAATATTCTTAAAAAGTTTTTAATTATCATTCTTCCTAAACAAAATATCATACTCCTTTACCTGTGAGGAGAAGTCGCAAAACCCACAATGAACCATCACGTAAGTAGTCAATTCTTTGAATGGGCAACCTTAACTCGCCGGCGTCAATCAAAGCCCAAATTCCCTTGTCAAAGTCTCAGATCAAGTGAGGAAACAACGCGCCCCAGCAAAAGGAGATGGAAACCAGCCATACACTCACCCATGCTAGATGTTCCTCTCATAGCAAGTGGCGGCAAGAGAGGGGTTCGGAAACAAAGGTCATAGGAAAAAACTTCCATTGATGGAGAGAGAAAAACTCTATAGGAAAGGAAATTGAAGAATGTATCAAGATTAGTAAGTCATTTAATCTTACTTTCTAGAGCAATAAATTGATATCAAATCGCTCATTATAGTCATGTCACGATATCAAAATAAATCTTGAAAACGAGTAGTAAAATAATTTTGCAATCAATCTTGAAACTGGTCAATGTTAAACGTGAAATGGAGGAACGCAAAGAAGGTGCAAGTTTCACGAATGCAAGGGGGCAATGTATATTATGAATACTGTGGTCGTTACATATTTTTCAAAAATTTAAAGGGACATGGAGAAATGCATGAATATCCACACAAATACTGATGCTTTAAATTTAAAAATTAGAATTGGTCAAAAGTTTTAAAAATGTTGAAATAAAATTAAATTCAAAATACTGTCAAATTAAATTTAAACAGTTTATTTCTACTATAAAATAGAAGCATGGCACTTACAATTGTGGAATAGATAAAATTTCAATATCAATGTATGATGATGGGCTTGCAAGTATCCCTTCAAATATTATTTGAATCTTGAAACATATTTTAGTTTTGATGAGCTCTTAAAACGCAATTGTCTCAACTATATGCAATGACAAAAGAAGTGTAGTGTACTCATGGGCATCAAATCAATTTTTCCCCCCTAATTATCAGAGCAAAATAGCCCAAGCCATTCTCGTGACAGACAGATATATCAAGCACGAATGCCTATTTATAGTTAACTTAAATTAAGCTTAAAACAGTGACCTACCTTTCGCAATTATAATATAAATGAGTTATAAATTACATTACAAATTATAATTTCTAACTTGATAAATGAACTCGTTGGATGTGTTTAATGACATTAATGGTATATTTTTTTTATTTGACCAAGTCAAAAATTTTAAATGAGGAAAAGCGCTAACAAATTTAATTTTTTAAAAGAGAGATTAAGATAGGACAAGGCATGGTAGGCGAAAAATGAAAGAATGAAAATTATGAAGTGACGTTGAGGATGAAACTTTAGAAAACGGTCAAGTTGGTGAGGTAAGGTGCATGAACCCGGAAACTTATCGAGAAAATTACCCATTTTTTTAATCATCATATAGCAACTTCGTCATGTCTCACTTTAGTTTATTAACTCGGCGTCGCATTCGGGCACAATATTTTAAATAATCACATGATTCATTTTTTTTCTTTTTCTTTTTTCATATTTTCATCCAAACATTAATATTCACGTTTCAGGCCTTCCTTCTTTTTTAAACTTGTTTTTCGGTCTTCTTTTCTGCCCCAAATAACACGCAAGACCAGAAAATATCATCTTCTTGATCTCTTTTACGAGGCAAAGTTAACCAACTTTGGAGTTTTTCAAAGAATGATATGGTTAATATTCTTAAATTTGTGAAAAATATTTGCCTTTTTAATTTCATTATTTTCTAAAATTAACGATTACAACAAAATGTGCACATGAATTACAAGTTGATACAATTAATGATAAACGACATTAAAAAAATAACTACTGCATGGCTGTCCTGCATTTAAAGATCAAGTAGCACTTAAAAACTTCACCTTATAATTGAGGCAGATGGAGTACGTTACGTATTATTTTACAAACTTAATGAGATTAAAATGTTAAACAAATAATTATAATGTTTTAGAACTTTTAAATGGTGTTATGAAGGTTGATTGAAAGCGTGGTTTATCTCTTTTATGAGATTCAAATACATATATTTTTATGGATATAAATACACATATTTAATATATAAAAAATTAATATTCATTTTTTAAATTTTTTTACCAGTCACAAGGAGTATACTTTGCCCAGAACACAGAAAAATCTAATCTCCACGTATACTAGTAGCAGAATCCAATCACAGCTCAATATAACCCGAGCTAATACTATACGTACACATGGCGAGTTATTTAAAAATTTAGATTCAGTGATTATATTTAATACAAGTATTAAGTACTTGTATCATCCGAATTGTTCAAATTTAGATCAATGATTCAGATAAATTCATTCATTCATTAATTTTAAATGAAGTATAAATTTATAATCATTAATCTTGATTTTAATGGTTCAAATAATATAAACATTCAATATTTATATTAAATATAATTATCGAATTCAAATACATTATTTAGGGGGAGAAATGGAGAAAATAAAGCAACCGCACTTTTTTTTTCCTATTTTAAAAAAATACTCTTAAGTCATGATTAACAAACTTTAAATTTTAAAAAATATTCACATCTTTTCATTTATACTCTTATTAAATATTTTATATAAAAGCCTTAATAATAGTAATTAAAATTTTAATGCATGATTTTTTCAAAAAAAAAATTAATGAATGAAATAGCACTATAGTTAAAAAATAAATATAAAAATTATTGAAAGAATGATATAGAAGCCCATCTCAAAAAAAATTAATTAATTCAACTTAAATTTTAAGTGTTAAATTTTAAAAATTTACAAGTATGGTTTGTAATTTTATAATTTTATTGTGATAAATTTATAACTTGTTTTTAAATTTTAATAAAAAAACAAAATTATTTATCTTTTAACCTTATTAAAATTTAAAAAATAAGATATAAATTTATTAATATGAACTTACAAACTTAATAGTCAAATTTATAAATTTTTAAAATTTAATATTTAAGATTTAATTAATTTTTTTAAACTTTATTGTCATTCTTCCAAAATTATTCAATACTTTGTATTTCCCGAGCATGTAAGAGTTCTTTAATGTCGTGATGGGGAGGAGAGAGTAATGATAAAAGCAACCCCACTTGAGCGCAGAGGTGCAATGTATGTGGGCAGGCCATTCAGTGAATTGTCGCCTACAGTTACGTAATTCCACTTGCAATAAAAGCTTCCCTTTCACATTCATCCCCTCTATATTTGTGTTGCGGCCCCTCTCTTCCTCCTTCTTGCCCACCTTTTTGCCCTATTACTAGGGTTTTCATGACCTTCTAGCTCTGCTCTCTCATGCATTCCTGCTCTCCACGGCTTTTTATCGCCATCTACGCTTCAATCTTCTTCTGCTATATCTTTTTAGCTCTCGTTCGAGGGTTCTTTGGTGGAGAACAACACAGATTTGACCTCCTGGGGTTTTTTGGGTTGTACCCATGTCAAAAGTCCTCGGATTTACTGGTGAGTTTTGGATGGGTAATATCATGTTCCAAATCGCGTGTTTAGTTGTTATTTTGACGAGTTTGATTGGATTTTCTTTAAGCTTTCGTCTATATTATTTTTTATTCCTGGACCTAATTGTCTTGATGGGTAAAAAAAATTTCTTCAACGGCCTGGCTTTGTTTGATTTTCCTAAACCTGTAGTTGATCATGTGGGTGAGTCGTTTTACGGGATAAATTCATTTGTTTCCATGGCTTGTTTTGTCAACAAGGGCTTTTAGTAGCTTTAGATCTATTAGCAGAGGATGTGAATGTTATTAGTTTCATCCATTTTTCTTGAGATTTGATCTTTGGAGTTGCGTGTCGGGTCCGTGTTCAAATTCTGAGCATTTCTGTCTAGCAACATTGATAAGCTTGCTATGTGAGGCAACCATAGGCACTAGTTTAATTTACGGGTCTTTGTCGTAGTTTATATTTATTAGATTATTTCTCTGACTTGGTATACGGTTTGAGTTCTCAGGAATTGATGATTTTTTCCCCGGGGGGTCAATATATGCTAACCCCAAGGAGCCCAGTCTCCTCTTGTCTCTTGGCCGTCATGTTGATGTATACTTTCCACCTCAAAAGAGATCACGTATTAGTGCTCCACTGGAGAGATCACAAATCAATGGTCCATTTCTTTTCGGTGGAGAATGGTTTGAGGCGGAAAAGAAGCTGCAAACATCCATTGAAGACTTGCCAGATGAATGCCTCTTTGAGATCTTCAGAAGGTTGCCCGGAGGTCAAGAGAGGAGTTCATGTGCCTGTGTTTCCAAGCGCTGGCTTTGGCTTCTAGGCTATATTTGCAAGGATGAAATTTGCAGCAACAAAAAGACAAGTTATGAGAGTGATGTTAATGGAGAGGAGGCTGATGTTGAGGAACTGGGGGGCGGTGGTTACCTCTCCCGTGACTTGGAAGGAAAGAAAGCAAATGATGTTAGACTTGCTGCTATTGCCGTTGGGACTGCTTCTCGTGGTGGATTGGGAAAGCTTTCAATCCGTGGAGACAATTCAGGTTGTGCAGTGACTAATGTTGGTCTCAAGGCTGTTGCCCGGGGGTGCCCTTCTTTAAAGGCTCTTTCTCTTTGGAGTGTTACTACCATAGATGATGAAGGCCTGATTGAGATTGCAAGTGGATGTCCCCAGCTCAAGAAGCTTGACCTTTGCTATTGTCCCACAATATCTGATAAGGCTTTGATTGCAGTTGCAAAGAACTGCCCTAACCTGACTGAGTTATCAATTGAATCATGTCCCAGAATTGGTAATGAAGGTCTACAAGCTGTTGGGCAGTTTAGCACTAGCCTAAGGTCCTTATCAATCAAGAATTGCACCTGTGTTGGTGATCAGGGAATTGCTAGCCTTTTTTCTTCAGCTTCTTTTTCTCTAACAAAGGTAAAGCTTGAGGCGCTGCCAATTTCTGACCTTTCTTTAGCTGTTATTGGTCATTATGGTAAAGCAGTTACAGATCTTGCCTTTAAATTCCTCCCTAATGTCAGTGAGAAAGGGTTTTGGCTCATGGGTAACGGCCATGGGTTGCAGAAGTTAAATTCACTCTCAATTGCATCCTGTCAAGGAGTAACAGATATTGGGCTTGATGCTTTAGGTAGGGGTTGCCCAAATCTCAAACACCTGTATCTCTGTAAAAGTGCATTCCTATCTGACTATGGGCTGGCCTCATTTTCCAAAGCTGCTTTATCACTGGAGAGCCTAAAATTGGAGGAGTGCGACAGAATCACCCAGCTTGGGATTTTTGGTGTCATTTTCAATTGTTGTGCCGAATTGAAGGCCCTTGCACTTACAAGCTGCTTTGGGATTAAGGATCAGAATTTGGTGTTGCCTTCTGTATCTCCTTGCCAATCACTGCAGTCTCTATCAATTAGAAACTGTCCGGGATTTGGTGATGCTACAATGGCTTTACTGGGAAAGCTTTGCCCTCAGCTGCAGTATGTTGAATTGAGCAAACTTGAGGGAGTGACTGATGCGGGGTTCCTTCCAGTGCTTTTGAATTCCGAGGCTGGTCTGGTTAAAGTTAATCTCAGTCACTGCATAAATCTGACGGATAAAGTAGTTTCCTCCATCGCCAATAAGCATGGCTTGACTCTTGAGGTCCTAAATCTTGATGGTTGTAAAAAGGTCAGCGATGTTAGCTTGATGGCAATTGCTGAAAACTGCCCATTGATCTGGGATCTGGATGTCTCTGAGTCTGCAATTACTGATGCTGGTGTCACAGCCTTGGCAGGTGGTGGCATGTTCCATTTGCAGATCCTTTCCTTGTCAGGCTGCTCTCTTGTTTCAAACAAGAGCCTGCCTGCTTTGCGAAATTTGGGTGAGACCCTTTTGGGATTAAATATCCGCAACTGCAAGGCAATTAACGGCCGTACTATTGGGAAGCTTGTGGAACGGCTCTGGAGGTGTGACATCCTTTCATGAGCAAGAAAAATGATTCTCTCTCTGCAGATAAGGGCACTAGTGCCGTGGGTTGAACCAAGTAGGAGGTTTTTTAGATAGCCTTGATGTTGTTGTTCCATAGTAGTTTTTGGGTCCATTATATGGGTCTTGTCCTCCAGGTACTCTGTTCTCTTTTTCCAGGGCATACAGTTATAGTTTTTGCAGGTTTCCATCATTTTATAGGAAATCTGTTCGAAGTTTTTGCCTCCCATTAATGGGGTGTCATCTTCTAAATGGCTGTATTTCTGTGAGAACATAGTTACGGGGTTCTGGAGTTAGGAATATTTTAGTGGTGTTGGCATCCGATGTTTTTAGCCTGACATTTCATCGGTTTTGCCACCGTGTTCGTCCAATTTCCACTTGCAAGTTTTTACAGTTTCTGTATCCAGAGTCTGTCCGGTATTGTTTACCAAATCGTGATGGTTTGGGCCTAAGTTTTACTCGAAGGGTAGGTTATCTGATCTGTGGTTGCTGTTTGTCAGTTCGGTGTTTATGATGCCGTTTTCTTCAAGGGCTTTGGCCATGGCAGCTAGTTATACGGGTCTGCCATTGCACAACCCTTCGCCCGTAGAGGGCAGGGTTGTTTTTTTTTTTTTTCCACCTAGCCCTAGTTTTTAATCTGGCGTCATTTTTGGATGAACTTTCAACTGTAACTTCCATATTATATAATGGATACCAACACCTGCCCTTTGTATTGTATTATCCACGAGAAGTCATGAATAAATCAATAGTTTCTTTAAATCCTGACCTGTCGTAGAGAGCTGCTTGTTTCTAGTTTCAAAAGATAATCTTTTACTTGGTTTCATCAAGCATCACAGCCCCAATAGCAGCTGGGGAGAAGGCTTCCTCCCTTTATTTTCTCTCCTTTTCCTAATCCCCACCATTTATCACATTTGTAATGAAAAAAATTCATTAAATAAAATAAAATCAATGGTGGGAAAATGAGGGGAAAGGGAGGGAGGAACCACTCCCTAGGAGCTGGTGGCTTGGAAGAAACTGCACATGACTGTACGCCTGAAGCATCTTCTGAACAAGGGCACGAATAGGATTATACTGTAAGGCTAGCTGAAGACAAACTCCACCTAGCAATTTGCCAGGAAATCTATCAAGATTAGCTTATCCGATCATGATTTACTTTCATTGGTATTGGCATGCATGGCTGTTCTGTAATTCAAAGATCGATCACCCAGAGACAAAAGACGAGTCCTTGGGGCAAATTTTGTTTTGTAGTGGTTATGGGTTATCTATACCAAGAGAAGCGAGTGCTCTCGTCAACCCGTTGGTTTTATATTCAATGATCATCGCCAACAAGCCTGAAGGTAATATTAGAATTTAATTCTTTAAAGTCTAAATAACGGCACATAAATCTTATGTGCGCCGTATCACTCTTTTCCACACGGCTCACCCTGCATGAGAATGAAGTCTTCGGTAGCCTATATATATATATGTTGAATAGAACAGAATAACATTACTAACTAAAGTAATAACAAACAAGAAGACAAGATCGTTCATCCTCCTTTCTGCTAAAAAGGAGGGAGATTGTTCTACAGCTTATATAAATCAGCAATTTCATTAAACTAGATTGGGGGCATGATAAAAGCTGCATCAATCGTGACTTAGAAATGTTATAATTTTTTTTAAAGAATTTTATATATTTTTTTATTTAAAAATATAAACATTTTTAATTGAATTTTATCCCTTAAAAAAATAGTTATCTACTTTCAAATTAATCCTATTTTTTTTTATATTTATCCTTATTAAACACTTTATAATAAATAAAAAGTTACTATCAATAAAAGTATTTTAAAAAAAGATAATAATTATATTTTAAAAGATTAAAATTATTTTATATTTTTAAATACTTAATTTTTTTAAAAATATTTTATATTTTTAAATAGGGAGGGTGATAAATATTGATAGTTACTGCTTGAGACAAAGTGAAAGTTGAAGTTTTTCACATTCCCTTGAGTATTGTTTCCATCAGTTCACATTGAATAAGGCCAAGATCAGCCTCCCCAGGATTCAAATCCTCATGTTATGTCAAAGCAAAAGTAAAGTTAGCCGAAATGCAGTGTTGGATGAGGTAACACGAGTGGGGTCATTTCTCACGATGGCTCCGTACTGAATTTGCTCTCTCTCCAAGTCAGCAGCCTCTACCTATTCTTACGGCAGTTGGCTCCTATGTAGATTGTAGAGGAAAGCATAAAAAAAAAAATCACAACAAATCTGAATCGTTAAATTAAATTAAATAATTTAAATTCGATAACTTTTAAAAATATAAATTTAATTGAAACGATTTAAATTTCTTATTAACAAAAAAAAAAGAAGAAACAAACAGTGGAGAGAAACACACATCATTCTTATCTATCAACATAAAATTGGATGGATGCGTTGCATTTCTCAAGCATGAAGGGTGTAGACTCGCCCACTCTGACAAGTGACAAGACGGTCTCCTATTTTGTTGTAGTTGGCCTTACTTTCACACCATATTCACACGAAGATGTAATATTTTGCTTCTCCTCTAATCAAGAAATAACTGATTTATGACGTAATAAACCCTATCAGCCTCATCTCCCAGGTGGAAGGAAACCCAATCAGTTTCACCCATCATGTGTGTTTTTCTTCCAGCAATGTGGTAATTAGAAAGGGGTGGGTGACGTTATACTAAAATCTACATTTTTATCTTTCATTTAATAATAATAAAAAAGAGGAATAACGGACCTCGGTCTTCTGGAAGAAATGGAAGAAGTGATAGAATTTGTTCCAGTTCCAGTTTACAAAATTACATTTCACTTGATAAAATTGGGCAGAAAGAAATAGAAAATTCAGGAAAAAATTAATCATTTGGTCTTTAAAATTTTAACTTAATTGTAAATTAATCCTTAAATTTTGACTCGTTATAACTTAATTCTTAAAATTTTGACTCGATTAAAAATAAATTTTTAAACTTTGCCTCTTACAATTTAATTTCTAAAGTTTTGATCTCCTAAATATTGATCCCTATATTTAAAAAATTATAAAGATTAAAATATTTTACAATTTATTACTAATATTTAAAATTATTAAACCCTTTTAATTCTTATAAATATTAAAAGTTTAAAATATTTTTAATTTTTATAATTTTATTTTTTTAAATATAGAGCTCAATATTTAAAATGTTAAAACTTCAAAAACTAAATTGAAAAAGACAAAATTTAGAAACTGATTTATAATTAAGTTAAAATTTCGAGAACTGAATTATAATGAGTCAAAATTTAGAAATTAGTAACAACTAAATCAAAATTTTAAGGGTCAAATAATTAATTTTTTCAAAATTTACCTTTCTGGTTGCTCGAATGGCAGACTCGAAAATTGAAGAGTTATATCCTGCTTTCAACGGAAACTGAAAACAAAGAAAAGCTGCAAGACATGCGTACATAACCCAGCAAATGGGCTCCCACAACACAAACAACTTGTTTCATGTGACAACGTCAATTTACGAAATGTGATTTAGATCTCATCAAAAATTTCCCCAAATGTTAACGCTAACCAGGCAACTGGTGCATACTAGAAAGACAAACAAGTAACCTGGCGAATAGTTACAGACATTGCTGCAAGCAAGCGAGAGAACCATAAGGACAAAACCGGCACCCTTGAGAACATGAATTCAAAGAAACACTGCTGCTATGAACAAGATGACATGACTATGATGCAAATCTTCAACCCTTTATGTCAAATAATCTTTTTCCCCATGCGCCTCTAATATCAATGAGCTGAATCAAGAGCTGTGAAAGTGGATATGCAGTTTTGTCCCAGTTCTTAATGTTCTGCCACTGTGGGTTCTTGCGCTGATGAAACCTGAGGTTGTTCTTCAACCACGATGTCACTGTTCACATGAGACTCTGCTTCACCGGGCTTGTTCGAGAGGATTGCAGATGGTTCTTCTACGCAAGATGGAGCTTTGCCTATCTCACTGGAAAAGGTGCTGTTCTCTTCATTTCCTGCAGCAATTTCAGTTTTCTCTTCCCTGGTTACACTGGATAAGGTGGTATCTTTCTTTGTTACACTGTGTGAGGAGGTCTTGCTGTGATGCATTGCCTTAGATGAAGTGCTTGCAGTTTTCGAGGCGGATGAACTGGTCCTTTCAGAATGCAGGCGAGGAGGAAGAGATTTCCTCTGTGGCTTCTTTTGATGGACTAACATAACTTTACTGGGGTTCTCATCTAGACTTAAACGACCTTGTCGACCACTGCCGCCAGTGTTTCCTTCTGACTCTGGATTGACCGAATTCTTCCTCCGACCAAGCTTGGGAGACTTGGCTCTCGTAGTTGGTATCTACATTAATAAAATCCAGGATTAAAGAAAAGACAAATGGTTCGGATAACAGACAAGCATCCAAACAGGGTAATTCCGATTCACCCATGACGGAAGAATCATAGAATCGAGTTTTTTGGCATCACTTTGAAGTTTGCAATGTTGAACTCACGCACTATTATGAGAGATATGAGGTCAACAACATTGAGGGCCCCCCCTTAAACATGTATTGGTATGAGCGTCGTTTTCCAATAGCTATCCAACTCTTAAGAAAAATCAGTGTAGATTGGCATTCAGCCAGCTGGCATACCCCATAAATCGGCGTGTAACTGAACAGGCAATCAAGGATGAATTGAGAACTATAAATACATAACAAAAAGGACCTTGAATTTAGTGGGCACAGTTTAATTCCTTTCCTAAAGGGTTAACAAAACTCACTATATTTTGAAAACCCCAAGATCTATAAATAAATTACACGCCAAATTTAAAGATTCCTCATGAAGATTAGTGAAGGCAGGTAACTGCAAAAGAAGATTTGATATGCTAACTGGCTTTTTATCCAGTGGACCATCAGATTCAGATATACAAGACAGAAATCAGAATTAACAAGCTCAATGCATGCAGTATTTTAAAACATGATATAGCAAGCTTATCCTTCATTTGACTCTATAAATGTTCTTCAACCTACAGAACTCCCTAAGTTTAAACTTCTTCGCCCATTTTCATCTCCAGCAGCAGAGCTTAAAGTCATGGTTGCACCATTAAACAGTACATGCTGAAAAAGGACACAACTCCACAAGTAGGCAAGTGATTAATAGCTACAACAAATATGAATTTATTTAGAACAAGCTAAAAGAGACGGTCATTCTAAGATCAAGGGTCGTCAAAAACAAGCTGGGCATTAAATTAATCAGAAGATAATTGATGGAGAGTCAACAATAAGATGAAAGATTGCATAAACAGAGCAAGTACTGTGTTCAGCAAGTTATATGCTCTGATACTCTAAAGCCAGCACCCGCGCATGCAGACTTGTGTGTTTGCATCCCAGTATAAAGACATAGAAATGTATGGATACACATTAAATATGGCTTAAAAGAAAACAATTAATGCAAAGTACAAACAGGGGCATGGGCAGACACAGTTGCAGAGACCGACCTTCTTTAACTCCACCTTCGGAGGAGGAGGCTCCTGGTAGAAACTTGGCATTGGGGTTGCCTTAAATGTTAGACTCTTTCTAAGCATCTTAATCTCAGCTTCTTGAGTCTCCTATGGATAAATAATCAAAAAATTAATGCAATTGAGAGGCAAAATCTACAAATTAATTTTTGTTTAGACATATTAAATAATCACCTTCGTCTTTGCCTGCAAGTCACTCTCCTCCAATTCCTTTGCATGAATTTTTTCCTCAAGCTTAGAGTAGAACTGCCCAGAAAAGAAAGCACTTCCTTTAAACATATATTATTATTGCAATAAAAAAAAAGACCTACACAGTAACACAATAGGTGGAAACTCAAGTATCAAATATTTACCTCTTTTCTTCTCTCAGCCCGTTCATCACACTTGAAACTAAAACCATATTTAGGAAGTGTTCCTACCCTACGGGGTTTGGTATCTTCCACAACGGTACTTCTAGGAAGTGGATTAAGGACAAGAAATGATACAAAGAACTACACAAAACATGAACTAAATATATAACCATACAAAAATTACAAGCAATTCCCCACATCTCACATGACTCAACAAAGAGAAAGAGGATACGAAGATTCTGCTTCTCCTTTAACTCCATCAAGGGGTTCTTTATTCAACAGTTTCGGGGTTTTCTTCCCCCTGATACAATAAATAACACTTCATTGGTCAGAGAGTTAATCATAATCGATTCTCCATATCATAGAATTTTCTTTATTTAATTACAATTATGAATCATGTAAACAATCACAAATACAATTGCTAGCATTACTTACAAGGGTTCTTCGGAAGATGCTGCATCAGACTTTCTAGAGTGCTACGAGAAACAAAGTGTAAAAGCTATCAGGGTCAGTGAAGATTTAATTTCCGGTACGCCAAAAATAAAGAAGATATAAGAAGAAACAAAGGGAAGCAAAATGTTCTCAGTGCCTCAGTAAATTTGGTAATAACCTAAAAGTAAGAACTGAGTTTACCTTGGACATTTGAGTCTGCTTTTCGATGAATCGTCCACTTTTAATATGTTGTCTTGAGTGAGTCTTTGAGGCTAGATTACCATTTGAAACAGAAGATATTGCCTCTTCATCTTTTCCATCTTTGCTTTTTTTGGGCCCACAAGCAAGAATGCCTTTAGGACTTGGGGGCTTTCCATTCTTATTCTTAACAGGAACTTTTGACACTCTTGATTGTTTTGTTTGATCATTGGTTTTCTCCTTCTCTTCCTAGAAGCCAAACAAATAAATGAGATTCAAATAACATGAAGTTGATAACTCGATAAAACCAGATAGAGGAAAATTTTCATATGCAGCTGTTTTATATCTGCTATTGATTCTTCAATCAAGAAATGGCAGGTGTATTGCTTTAGCAAACCAGTGCATGGTTTCTAATTGAAATTGTATGCTATCATGTCTCAATTGGAAAACCATACAGTCGTTCATTTTAATTGGGGAAAAAAGATACAAGAAACTGCATCCATATTTAATCCAAAGAGGAAATGCATGTCACCTTAGAAATGGACTCGTTGCTGCTGCCCGTATGGTCAATTGGTCCTTCTTTCATTTCTCCCACAGACGAGTCATTGGTGGCAGTACTATCCAACTGGACAACATTTTCAAAGTTTCCATTTAAAGCATCCATGTCTATAATTTCAGCAATATTGAGGCCTATATCACCCTTTCCAGACTTAAAAGGTTCCTCGTGAACACCATTTTGATGAACCACTTTAAGGCCATCAACAAGTGAATGATTAATTGGATCCATCATTCACAACTACAAATTACCTGCAACAGCGAATTAGTTCCTTGAAGAAAATTTAAGATAAACAGACAAAGAGGCAGAGCAAGAACTATATTAGCGCGACTCATACATTAACATGCATCAGGTGTTTATCTACAAACTTCATCTTCTTACATGTTTAACAAGGATAATCTCATAATGCGTCTAGACCAATTCTCCAATTTACATTGTATTATCATGAAACTCAAGCTAATTCTTCTTCTAGTAGGCAAAGAACAGAGTTGGGATCGTAAGATAGTAGACTGTCAAGCGCGTGCATAAATTGGGAGGGGCAAATTTTAGTGAAAAGATAGGAATTTCAACGGGGTTCACTCAGCAGATAACTTAAGCACAAAATTGCGCACTTCGACCACATTTTCTCGGCAACAAAACGAAGCACGCTCTACCAAGTACCAACTACCAAATCAATGGATATGAACTTACAAATAGCCTCACAATAGGAAGTCTATAACTAGGCAGCTGCGCAAATCAGGGGTAACAAAATGAGAGGTGAGCAGGACCAGCAAACTCAATATCAATAGCGCTTCGATTACCAAACTCGCATTTCGAAATTTATAAATATCTTCAACAGACATTGATCTCCACATACGAAAACAATGCCACAGAAAAAAAAAAAACCAAGAAGGATAGCAATAAAAAATAGAACAAGTAAATCAATAGGTTACTCCACTCTCACTCGGATACAGAACCCAGATTAAACATCTTTCAGTTCCAAGCAGTTGTGTCTCAAACCCAACAGTTAACTAGTAAAACTCCAGTGTCCTCCTTACCTCGCAAAGCTGAGGATAGTCAAAATGCCATAAAAAGGGGAGCAGCTTCGAATAGTGCAGGGACTAGCCAAGTACTGAAGAGATCTGGCAGAGAATGCCAAGCCCAGGCACCGACGACGGCAATGACGATTGGAGGATCCGAGCCCGAGCGACGAGATCCGAAAGATCGAACTGTTGACGTTTCTGATGAATTTATCCTTCTTGTTTTTTGGCATAAAAATATTTGAAATGAGTGAAGGAAGAGCCGAAGAGGGTGAGGAGGAAAGGTATCTCTCCATGTACATGGCAAGTCAGGGAGAGAGAAAGATTATAATAAATAGAATTTTCTTTATTAAATAAAATTTTACAGCTTCTTACAGCTTTCAGGAAAATGCGCTTTTCTTAAATAGCCACGCCCCTTTATTTAAAATATAATATAATATGATATACAGTACCTTTTAACTCACTTAGTACCCGTTTGGATGAGGAAAAAACGCGCGTTTTGGACTCAAAATTGATTTTTTTGTCAATCTATCCAAACAATCGAAAATGATTAAAAATCGATTCTAGGCCAAAACGCGCGTTTTTCCTGAAACTCCCTTCGTCCGGCCAAAAGTTTGTCAAAAACGTTGGAAAAAATTACAAAAATAGGCCCAGTAAAAAATTACAAAGAAAGCACATAATTTAATAAAAATAAAATTAAACTCTCTTCTTTTTCTTTTTTTTTTTTTCCTTAATAAAATTTAAACTTTATATATTTAAAAAATTAATATTTGATATTTAAAAATTAAATTATATATTTAAAAATTAATTTTGATTAAATTATCCAAATATCTTCAATTCTGTTAAAATCAATTTTAAAAAAACAGTATTCAAACAGATTACGTTATAACATAATCAATTATGATTAAAATCTACCACTTAATCAATTATTTTCATAATCTATTATACCCAACTGAAATCCAAACAGACCCTTAATTTAGTCGATAAAATATCCATGAACTTGGGGCATTTTTTTAATAGATAATCACCTCTTCCTTTCAAAATGCACAGTCCGTGTCCATGCATTTGCCTCTTTTTTTATGATTTTCCTTTCCATGCCTGTTTCCCTTATGATAAATTTTGGGCCATTGGCAGAAACAAAATTTTGTGGATAGAATATATGAACCAAATTTTTGAAATCTCAATAATATAATTAGTTCACATATATAAAATATTTATTATTAATATATAAAAAATTTATAATTAATATAATATAATTCTCTCATTTTATCTGCAAATACTCTTTCACCTTAATGCTTTTTGAAATGGGAGGATTATTATAAAGTTTCACTTAACATGATTAATTACTTTAAATTTAATTGTCAATGAACTTTAAAATAATTAATTATATTAAGTGTGACTTCTATGTAATTTTCTCTCTTAAAATAACATAACCATCACATGTGATGCACTAATTTCTAGGATTTCGCAGGGAAGTTTTTTATATTCATTCATGTTTAAATATTGAAGTGGTAAGTATTATACTTTGTATATTAAATATGTTTAAAGATAATATATTTTATTAAAATAGCTTAAATTATTTGACTATATATTTTTTAAATTTATATATTTATGATCTATCTTTTAATTTTTAAATATAAAACTTTTTTATATTATAATATTTTTACTATTGCTTTCTTCTTGATTTTTTATCTTTTTCTTCTTCTTATCTGAGTTTGTATTTTTTTTTAGTTTCAAAATGTTCAAGTTTTTTTTTTTTCAATTTCTTCTTCTTTTCCTTCTCTTTATTTCTTTATTCTTTTAATCTCTCTCTCTCTTTTATCTTTCATTCTCCTCTCTCTCTCTTCTTTTTATCCCAACAAAATGGCGTTGATGTCATATTAAATTTTTTATATTAAATATATTTAAGAATAATATACTCTATCAAAATAACTTAAACTATTTTGTTATATACTTCTTAAATTTATATATTTATAATTTATTTTTTAATCTTTATATGTAAGATTTCTCTTATGTTTTAATAGTAAGATTTTGTGCAACTAGAGTGTTAATAAATTAAAATAAAACTTTGAAATTTTGACAACTTTTTTCTTTAGAAGAAAGGTGAAAAAATATATTCCACTAAAAAATTTACATCAAGAGGGGTAGACTCCTAATAAAAGAATAATTGATCGACGATCAAACCAAAAAGATGTCAAATCTTCTAACTAACAGTAACAGCTTAGTGTGCTTATTTCTCTATAATAACAAATATTTTCATTTAATTTTCATATTATTTACAATTATATATTTCTTCTGTTTGATATTATAAAACATTTTTAATTAAATTATACCTTTAATAAGTTAGTTAGTTGTTTTTAGAATTATATATTATTTTCATATTTACTTCTCATTAATTATACTTTAAAAGACTTAATGTCTTATATTTTTAACATAAAATATGGCCACCCAAATATAATATATTTTGCTTGTTCAAGTGCAAGGAGAAGCCTGTGTCGGATTTGATAAATTAATGAGCCCCCTATGGCATTTTATTTCCTTTTAGTTCAACTCTCAACTAAGATCAATTACTGACAAATATTATCAGCCAAAATAACTTCGTCCCACATTTTTGACGTTGAACGAGGAACAGAGGAATTGAAAGGGAAAGAGCGGAGAAGAACTTGATAAAAATTATCAACTCTATTAAATTCATCAAAAAGGTACGACAGTTAAGGAGATGTCAGAGCCAAACAGGCTCGGAGGCGACTGAGTTCATATATTAAATTGATGTAAAATAAAAAGAATTTGAGAGAGACAGAAGATCCAAATAATTCATCTTTATTCAATTAAATGAATACCCTAGAGTTTCCAATTTTAGTAGGAGTTTTTTTTTTAATCTTCCATATATATTTTTTAACATCAACCACAAGTAATGATGGAAAAAATACATGATTTTCTACATAATAAAAAAAAACAGAATAATACAACTGGAAGACACGTTTTAAGAGGTTATCAAGTGCGTATATAATGTATTGTTCATGGACATTCTCACCAAGGGCACAAAGCCCTAGACTAGAAAGTTTACCCCTTTTTTTGGGGGGGGGGGGGGGGGCCTAGAAAGTTTACTCATGAATACAGTATATGTATGAGATGACTTGCTGTAGATGTTGCATTTTTTTTAATTAAAAGTTAGCAAAAAATGTAGGCATTAAGTAGGAGCAGAACTGAAAAATATAAGTTTAAAACACGAATTAGTTAAAGGTAGTTTAATGGGCATGCGAGAATTAGATAACTTTATCATCTAAATATATGGAGCGAGTAATATAGATTGGTTTGACTTTAATATATTATATATGTATATATATTAATTACACTTAATATTTATATTAATTACCCATGAGCTAATCTGAATTGATTTAAACTAAACCCGGGACGAGGGTTATATTGGTGTTATTTGTGAGAGAATACTTACAAAGTACAGGACCCAAGCACAATTGCAGTAATGTGCAAGGACTGAGAATTCAGACCACGCCCTGATTCTGATGGTTCGTCTTCCTCTGGGGTCTCACGTTTTAGTTTATGCCGCCACCGATATCACATGTGTTTGGTCCCACTTCCTGAGCCTTTCGACCCTCTATTTTCACTCTTGTTTTCATATTCTGCGCCATATTGCACATCTTTTGAACAGTACAACCAGAAGATACACTTCATTATCACTGTAAAAGGAAAAGGGAAAATAAATAAAGGATCAACGCACGTATGCAACTTTGTAGTATTTATGTTTATGACTTGATTCTTCATTGGTATCGTGGTGATTCAAACTGTGTGCCAAGTTTGTTTGTTTTTTTTTTTTGGGATAATCACTGACAAGTTATTTAAGTTATCTATTGATGCATGAATTATTGAACGATGGACGATCTCTGGTAATGATTTTCACCATATAAGCCCACGTCTAATTTATTCATAACGTGCGCCTTTTTCTTTCTTTTGTTAGTTGAGATAATAATTGTTTTCTAGTCACTAATAAAGTCAATAGTTAAGGAGAGTAAACATCAACTTTATCCACTTTTTTTCACAATTTAACATGATTCCTATGTTGTTTTATGTATGTACCATTTTGTAGTTGAGGACATGGAAGTGGAACTGAAACCACCGACAATATCCCATTAATGGAACAAAGAATGTTACGAATAGGATGCAAATTCTTCTTCACCAGATCCAAGCCGAAAATAACAGCTTAATAGCTGAGTTTTCCAAACTGAGACTGCAAGCACTAAATTTTGGACATTTTTGCTTGTTTAGCCTTTCGGCCCCAGACAAGTGAAAGAGCGAGCTAAGCATATATATATATATATATATATATATGAATAGCAAGACAAGTACTTAAAATAGGCAATATCTTCGCCAGGCTGATATTTGATTTGAACTTTTAACACCTAAAGTCCTTTTATCAAAACGTGGAAGGATGAATTGAGGATGTCTTTGATTTGAACTTTTGACAGTTCAAAAGTCCTTTTGTCAAAATAGCTTTTTTAAAAAAATGTGGTTTGGGTTTTTAACAAGCTGATCAAAAAGTCCATTTAAAAACTATCAGGAAGTCTATCTGCAGAAAGGCACCCCCAACATTACTTTTGATTTTTCAGTTTGGCAAATGAATTTTTGAAAAACCAACTTTTAACTAACTAAAACTAGACATATATCAAATGTTCTTTGAGTCTTTCACGGATTACCATTTTTGTCTTTTTCCTTTTTCGTTTTTGTGTATTTCATTATGTCATTCTGTTTCAGGAAGTTTTGATTTGAGTCACTGCCATCTCTTTATGTGCCTGTTTGGATTGCGTCATTATTCGATTTTTGGAGCCAAAAATCGGTTATTTAAAAAAATTACACAAATATCTGCTCAGCCGGGTAATCGACTTTTTCCATAAGCCATGAGAAACAGCTTCTGCATTTGAATTTTACAAAAACCATGTGGAAAAATTACAAGAAGGACTCAAGAAAAAAATTACAAAAAAGGCATAAAATTTAATAAAAAAAAATCAAATCCTTTTCTCTTCTTCTTCTTCTTTTTTAATAATAAAATTCAAATTTTGAATTCTAAAAAAATTACTAACAAAGTTCTGTCAAATACCACTCTCCACTTAGCATTTGCTATCAAGCTAATTTAAATAAAATATTAATTGGTAGAGAAAAATTAATTTATTTTAATTTACAATTGATGATCATTGTAAAGACTGTTGTAAAGGTCCGCAGAGAGAGAGAGAGAGAGATTTGTTACATTGCTACATTTTTTACGTTGCCAAAATTTTTAGGCAATGCTTAACATTTTCATCAGATATGACTCATATTATAATGTCATTAAAGATCAACTTTTATATTATCATCTTTATTAATTATTGCAAAATTGATGTTTAGTATTTAAGAATTAAATCTTTCTGTTTTATTAAATTTTTTTGAACTAAGATTTATTGAGCTATTTATTTCTGTAAATTAAAATTGTTAATATTAATATAATTTAAATTTTTATAATTAATAAAATACAAATTTATCAATAATTTAATTTTAAAAAGTAATGTCCTTTATGATAATTATACAACTAAAATTAATTCTGAATAAATTATCCAAACATCTTCAATTATGTTAAAATCAATTTTAGAAAAACAGTATCCAAAAAGATTATATTATAACATAATCAATTATGATTAAAATTAATTATTTAATTAATTATTTTTATAATCTATTATATCTAACTGAAATTCAAACAGCACTATGTCTCTCTCTTGATATAGTTTGTATGTAACCAACTCACTTGCTAAAAAGATGGACGAAGGAATCAACTTAGCATATCTAATTTTCTTAAAATTTGAAGACAATTACTCAATCCTAATCTTCTATTAAAAAAGATTCATAAGATGCAACAACAAGATGACCTTGCCAAGTGCAAGGTTGTTACCAAGCAGTAGTGACTTATAACACTGATGCCTTATTTGGTATAATGAAAATAATTTTGATGAAAAAAGAAATAGATATAGAAGTAGAGATGGATATGGAGTTTAAAACTTTTGGTATGTTCATGAAATTTAGAGATTATTTTTATTAAATATTAATGATAAAAATATGAAAATACTAAAATGTCCTTATCTAAAAAAATTGCCCCAACCCAAAACACCCCAAATCTAATAAAAAAAATCATACAAACAGAAATCCTCATAAAAAAATGATTAAATGTTAATCACCCAAATTGTTTCTACAAAAATCAAGCAAAAATTGTAGCCCATGAGGTTAAAATCAACCAGATACATTTTGTTTCTGTAAAATCAAGCAAAAATCACGACCCATAAAAAATTGCAGAAGCATCTGAAGAACCTTCATAGACTCAAACCAAGTCAATCAGGCAAGCAACGACTTCTTGACGGCGGTGAAGGAGGAGGAGGAGGTGGTGGTAGATTTTTCCTCCCCAATATTGTCAACGGTCAAAGTTGAAGATGCATTTTAACAACAAATAATAAGAGAAGGGGAAGAAGACAAAGAGACAAGTGGAATCAATGAGGGAGGAGGTCATCGATGTTGGTGAAGGGAATGGCACGAGCAATGACAGCTAAGCAACAGAGGTTGAAGATCGAACGTCAGAGGTCAATGTTCATCATTGATGTTGAGGTTGTCATCATTCACGAGAAGGTGGAAGGGGAAGAGAGAGGAAGGGTAAAAAATGAAAAAGGAGATCTAGAATTGCAAAACTAAGATTTTTTTGTGGAACCCAATTCCATTAAAATTGATAAAAAAGAGTGTTTTAAAAATCAGACCGGATAATGAATCAAAAATATCAGTGGGTCATGAGTTTTATAGTTCAACCGGTTAGACCGATAGTTGAATCGATGATATAATAATTAAATAAAAAATAATATTTATATACATATATATTGAAAAACAAGTCAAAACGGTTCGACCACTCTAGGTTCTGAGTTTTTGCTCCGGGTCTTCAAGAACCGCTCGGGTCAAAGCGGGCCAACCCGGGTCAACTGCCAGAACGAGTCAAATGATTGAACCAAACCGTTTTTTTCTCCGGGTGACGGTTCAACCAGTCCAACCGTCTGGGTCTTAAAATATTGAAATGATTTCTATGTGAAAGCCAAATTCAACCTTATTTTAACCAATCAAATATAAAAAAAAAAAAATCAATTTCAATTCTATATTCATTTTCACCCTCTCAAATCCATTCTACCAAACAAGTCCTAACATTTGGGCAAGTCAAATCCATATCAGTTACCAAGTTACCAATCTATTCCCATCCATAGGTTATTTGAGATGTCACATCATCTTCCTCTCTGATCTCCAGGCATCCCCCCACCAGCAACGCTGCTAATTACAGACGTTTTAGTGGGTCTCCATTTATGGCCTCAATCATGAATCATTGTATATGGAATTGCTACACAACCACATTTACAAGGTTCATGTCCCATGATAATTACTAGTACGATCACTGTCACATTATAAAAGTGGACAAAGAAGCAATTAAACAACTGTTTTGAAGCTATAAAATGCCCGTTTGAAGTACTATTCACCGAGAAGTGGGGTATCTCGAGTCCAAATAATTCACTCCATTGCGACAAGCCGGCAACTTCCCACATCTATTAATAAAATCGCGATGTCATTTATTGCAATTTGTTACCTTGTCGATCTATGTTTCTTCCACAGTCGAACTTCACCACAGTGATAAAATAATCTAAACAAAGCGTTGGCACTTGGCAGTGCCGCAGTGGTACGATTTTGATTCTTGACATGTTTTGGAGCCTCGGTCGTTGAATCTACCAAAAGATGAACCCCACAAATTGAGACATCTGCCAGAAGTTTCCGAAGCACATCCAACTCTAAACAAGTGTATGAATGACAAATTATGTGGCATACCAGTAGAAACGGTGGTTTTCCTTTAATTAAAAATGGGGGTTCTTCCAAATAAGCACCAAACTTTATGGCATTTAACTAGCGTGAAAAAAAAGAGCATCAACCCCAAGAAGAAGGTGCTTTCATTAGTGGATGGGAAAGCTGATGCGCACCTGACATACCTTTTGAAAACGAAAGCGATGTGATGAGAAAATGCTTCTGTTAAGAATTGAATTTTTGGTTTCTTTCGTTGTTTGAAATCCATAGTGAGAGAACAAAATTATGGAGACCCATTAGGGGATGACGGGATGCATTGAGCCGTCGAGTTTAGGTGTGGGGGAAAAGAAGACTGTGGTCCCTGAACTCAAGATCTTCAGCGATTCACGCCACTTCAAAACATATCAGTACAGCACCCAAATCATTATGGCCGTTGTGTACAATCACCGCTCCAAATCAAGTGTAACAGTTTCCGTGGAACGCCCATTCCCTGAATCTACAATCTTTTCCACCTCACACCAGAATTCACCAGCTTGACATACGCATTCTTGAAATCTTCAAAGAACATATTCTCATTGAGCGCGTATTTTTTAATCCACCTGTGCAATAAATGCAGGTCTCTTAAGATATGCATATTAAAATAAGCGGATAATTAGCAGAGACATGCATGAGGTGCATGAGGACAACTGATTGACATGTGCAACTGACTTTTACTCATTTATAAGAAGATAGAAAGATTCTTTTCTTTCCGCACCCCAATCTTTAATGAATAAAGGGGTTCCCGAGGGCCCTAACCCAACGACCAATTAAGCATATGAAATATGCGGCCAACAAACTGATATTTTAAAGTTGAATTAGGAAATAACTAAATGAGGAGGAACAGAAATAGATTATTCCAGAAGAAGAATTTGTAAACAAGTTCAAGTTCTCTTACTCATACTTTGCTTGATATATGGAAAATCTGCATAAATGGTTATTTAGTAAAGAGTGAAGGTAAGAGGGGAATACTTACTATTTTTCATTATTTTTAACTTATTGCCTGTATGTAAACTCTATTCAAAGTTCATTCTCCAGTCCTGTTATAAGGAACTGTAACATTTTATACCATAATTAGACACATTTTCCCACACATTGTACGGAGTATGGAAAATCAATTGAGCAATTCATAATTTATGAATGGTATGACTTATTATAGATTTTATAGTTTATATTGATATTGATATTTTATTGTAATTGTAATTCCTAGGAGCGAATGAACTGGGTAAGTATCATATATTATGGGTAGTTTAGAGCAGTATTTAGACAAAGAACCTTAAACATTCATCATCCTCAACAAGCGCGTGATCTGAAGGAAGGCCAGTCATACTTGACATACCACCTGTACAGAAGAGAACAGCAGAAGAACGTCATAACGACAACAAAAATTGTTGACAAAGCACGTAGGTAATGGATATGTTCGGACTGCACAGAAAATGTTCACAGGGGTTGATCTCCATTTTATAGCTTGATTGGAACACTATGACCAAAGCAGGCTAGCCATGGATGCTGTAGTGAGAAATTTGCCAAAGCCCCAAGGCTTGATTTGTCCTTGATACCTCGTTTTCCTTTTCCTTTGCTTTATTTTCAGGACTTGGAAAATAGTAACTTGTAGCAACTTCTCTCAAAATGCCAAAACAATCTTTCAAATTAATTTGATGAGTTTTAATACTTTACCTGAAGACACCCATGGTTTCTCCAGAAGAACCTTGTAATATGAATTGTCAAAAGAAGTTGGGCTTCCAAAACCTTTACTTCCAAGCGTGTGGGCTCCAGACAATGCTACGAGTTCTTGTGTTCTGGTGAAAAGCCCCAAATCAATCAATAAATTTCCTTTGTTACTCTGGTTAAAATCAAGACTTCAAGAAGATGTCAGATTCACCCATATTAAGAACCCATAATAAATGATGGACAATAAAACACTGCTTTTATAGTATGCAGCTACGTGAAAATGGGAACTTAGCATCAACTCATTTTATTGTATTGTCTTGCAGGGTCACGTAAAATGGAAACTACAGCCAATCAATCACCATTACACACTGCAAATGCAAAAATAAAAGGAATTTCATGCTTACGAGAAGCCTTTCCTCAGGAAGCATTTCTTCAAACCAAAAGCATCAAGAGATTCTTCAGGGAGTTTCCCTTCTGGATCAGGCTCCCTATCCATGAAAAGATGGAATATTATTAGCAGAAAGCAAACAATCTGGTTCTAATTTGTAATAACAACCCATCAATTAAATCCCATCAAAGCATTTTCTATTTTCAGTAAGGAAGAACAGTATTTTTAATTTAAACAATGATCATTTTTCGTTAACAACCTGAACATGATGCATATAATAGGCTTCAACATCAACTTTAGAAAGCCTCAGAATCCATTTCATCAAGTTGACATGCAATTGGTCATTTGTGAGATTCAAGGGTAAAAACAAATCGGTAGTCACATCTTGCATACAAGCTAAGCACTTGGCACCTTACAATGAATCTAGCCTGCCAACTGAAACTTGGATCTTTGGTCCTCCACATACAGCAACTGCTTCAGCTCCAGCCACAGCAATCATGTCTGCCCAGGATACTGATAGAAAAAAATCAAAAATAAAATTTGTGCGCCTGGATCGAATCAATAATTACTGCAGACTTTTAGCACCTGTTACAGAGAAAACAGTGATTTGACCCCCCCCCCCCAAAAAAAGGATAACCTGGTTTTATAGCATCTGTTTGATTCTTTGCTTTCTGAAGAACCTAAACAACATATACCATGCCATTAGCCAACACATAAAATAGAAGAGTAATCTGTATTCATGCATAAGAAATTAACCTTATATCTATAGCATATAATTATCTTATTCAAGCCAAAATAGGGGTCACCAAGAACAATATATAGATGCAACATGCCTTTAAAGATTTTTTTAGTCCAGAATTTTCAGGTCGATCAAGTTCATAGACTATAGAACCATTCATGCCACCTGCACTGACATGGGATATAAATTATTTATACCAAAAAATTAATAAGCATGAGACAAGAAAATTTATTTTGAGAAATGTCCCTCTCATGCAAACCTGTATTATCATCCATTTCAAAGGTCCCAGCGTCATGGAAAACCAGACGAAGCACACCCGCTGCCTTTCCCTTCGACAATACCTTGCGGACCTCTTCTTTTATGAGCAGATATTCTTTTGTGCCTGACCTTAAATCAGGATAGAAAAGTAACACAGAAATGAGCATACATCCAGCATGATAATGCAAAAGGGCAACTTAACCGGACGGAACTTGCTATAAATTATTTTAACCGCGGACAGATGTACTAAATTAAATATATAAACGGAAGTTTACCATTGCTCTAACTACCTCGAGGAGATATTCTCTGTGGGCGGAGCTTGTTACTTATGCTTACGAAAAATGTGTGCGTGTGTGTGTGTAAACTAAATTTATTCGTCTTATGGACGTGGAACCGAATTCAGGAAACATGCAATTAGGTGCATCGATGAGATACTGTTGCAATTTCTTTTACGTCTATAATTCGGGAAACACATGCAACCCTTACTGAAAGCAAAAGCTTTCCCTTGGTCAAATCGTATTCATTTGCTGAAAGGGTGGAAGATCGGAAGGCATTTTCTAACCAGGAACAAGTTATTAAAGCCGAGAAAGAAAAACCATAAACAGAAAGCTCAACTTACTCGATCGCGTTTGCTCCATGACAATCCATGATTTGAATTGAAGGAAGAAGACATGGAAGCGTGGCTATAAATAGTAGCCCTCTCCTCCCGCTAGTTGAAGCAGATAAGGCAGTATGACCTGCGATAGGAGCATGTGAATTATAAACGCAACACATACCAGAGATATTGAATCCTGAAAAATTAAGCGAGACTCGGAGCGAGTCCTTCACCTGCAGCGAACTCGTCAGCCTCATGTGAACGCACTTTGGGCGTCGACGAAGACGGCCGTCGTGATTTGGCGGGAAATTTGATTTGGGAGAATGAAGAAGTAACGGTAGAGCCAAGCAGAGTATAACTAGAGATGGAGAGAACTGAAGTCATATCAACAATGGACGGTAGAGAATGAATTGCCCCCCGGAACGCTTTAGCTTCTCTGCGTGCTTTTATTCGCTAATCCGTCCAGCAGGAGGGAACCAGTAATTACCCTTTTATAATATCTCATTTTTCAGTCGAAAAGAGGATCTTTTCATCCCATGTCTTTAAGATCACATTAAATTCGGCTAAAAAAACAAAAGATCACATTTTAAAAAAATTAGTTTGTAATAAAACATTTATTATGTTTTTTTAAATATAAGATAATTTTAACTAATTATTTTGAACCCCATTTATTTAACTATTTCTTCCACATACTGGTACCCACACACATAGTTTAGTTTGACAAGAGCACTCTTGTAATGAATTTCAAAATTGTAACTTGCGTCGGGAACAAAAATCTTTTTACGATTGATTACCCAAAAAAAAAAGAAAATCATTTTACGTTTAATTTTCTAAAATCAAACAGTGCAAAACATTTGAGTAAAAATCACTGATATATTTTATTAGATAAATCGAATTGCTCATTTGCAGATCAATTGTTAGCTGTCATTAAATTCTTCACTTTCTAACAAACAGTCCCATGGCATGCGTAATTTTGTTTTTTTTTTTGGGAGCAAGAAGGCGATAATATTAACAAAAGTAACAAAGTTTACAAAGAAAGGGTTAAAGTCTGATTAACAAAACGACAAGAAAAAACAATAGGTAAAAAAGATATATTAGGACCATTAAGCTTTATGCTTAGGCTGTGATAGCCCTGAAAAAGATTGAAGATGTCTAGTCAATGAGACAATTAAAGGAACTCCTTTGCTGTGGAGGACATTCAAAATCCCTTAGCTCAACAAATCTTTAAGATGAGTACGAGCAAAGTTCAAGATTCAGAGTAAAATTCTGTGGAAGCAATAGGAATGCGCTAGCCGCAAAGATTTTAATCATTTGGCGTATGGAGAATTCAAACTTCAAAACCTTAGGCAACCACTGAGTACATGCAAATGTCCGACCCCACTGGCAGTTCGTAAGACTTTTAGTGACATAGGATTTGACGGTCACATGTGCGTGCGTGCGTGCGTGCGTGCGGCTGTTTCCTTTATCGTTTTAGAAGGCCTGAAAGTTCGATATGAGTGAATTACGATGTGATCAATGTATATTAACAAAGCTTATAAAAAGTCATAGATTCAGAATCTATACCATTTCATTGGTTATTCTACTTTAGTTAAAATTTACTTCTCTTCTATCATTGGTTCATTATATTTATTCTTGCCCTTGAAAGTTATATCCCCCTTTCCTCATTTCGACAGTCATGCCATTTTTCATTTCAAATGGGAGCATTAACTACAACCGTTTCTCTGCAACTTCATTTATGCCTTGGCTCTTCCCGATGCTTATTCCAAGTCTCCCATTTCATCATCATTGATTCGTTTGTTTCCATTTCATTTTTACCAAGCCAGTCTTCGTTCCTGGTGCTCTTCTTTGTAGGCATCCTAGTTTGTCTTCATATCATCATCATCATTCGAGGATCTCAATCACCAGGTCTTTTATTATCCTTTCATGCTTTGTTCATTTCTTAAATTTTTCTGGCACTTTTTCTATACTTTCATTTTGCCCTTAAGAGGGTGCCTTTCTAGTTTCCCTATGGTACTTCCGTTTTCCTTTTTTTTTTTTTTTTGTCATAGTGCCATCGGTGCATCTCAACATTTATTCATCCTTTTCCATTTCATTTTTTTGGGGTAGAGGAGTTTGCCGTTGAGTTGTGAGCTTGCCTTCTTTCCCTTTGGACCTAACGATGGGGATGCAGCAACCTCAGTGGGTGTTACGAGTTGAGTTTCCTATTTGGGTAATGATCACCTTGATGATGTCCTTTCGTCTCATGATTTATCAATAACATCCCACCTTTCTAGAAATCAATCTCATAAACCCTACCATGCCAATCATGGTTAGTTATACTTGCTGCCATCTACAATCACACTCCATTTTTTGTTTTACTTTTACTTTCTCTTTTGCATTTTTCTTCTTCTTCACTGTCTCTAATGGTTTGAATTTAATCTTGCTTTTTGCTTTTTTATGTGTTTTTAGGTGATTAGGGAGGTTCTATGACAACAAGATATCTATGCGGAAGTGAAATTGCTATGAATAATATCATTCCTTTTTTTGGCACTTTGTATTATATTTTTTAGTTATGATAAATCTTAAGTTTATTGATGAGTTTGAAAACCTTCTCCTCTACTCTCATATCATGAGGGATTGCACTAGCAAGAGCCACCTCTGTAAAATCTCCATATTACTTAATTATAATTAATACCAAAACTAAAGTAATCAAGGTCAAACCTTAATAAGAATTACTAAATTTGTAAAATATCATAAATAAGGTTCTTTAGTTTTTACAATTTAAAATACTCATATACACTTTTAACATTTCCAAGTTAGAGTTTAAAACATGTGCAGAAGTGTGGGAATAAAAAAGATCCAAAGCATTTGCAAAATAAAATAGAAAATCTCAATTTTCCTAAAGTAGTATGATGTGCCGCGGCTTATTAGCCTTTGTGCCATACGCTGCTGCGTTGTATGAATTTGACAGTTATAAAATTGATAACATCTCGAAACTAACTTCTGACGTGTCCTAATTCTTTATCCGACTTCTAATTGAGGTGATTTAGGCGTTTACAAAGAGTTTTCTCCTAACTTTGACTAATGGCACAGATTTTACAACAAAAAATTTTTCTAACAAAAGTTGGACACCATTTTTTATTCTCACTCTTGTTTCATAAAAACTCATAATTAGGGTGCCAAAACCACATCATATGTGCCAAAAACCTATACTAACTCTTAGACCACACTTAATGAACCATATAAGACTTATGCAACACACCACATTCATTTCAATACACATATAACATAAATTTAACTCTTAACCCCTCAATCCATAAAAACATAAAGGTGAGTCATCTTTTGCATAATTCATCAAATATTCATCTAATGACAACAAAATACACCTCACCTTACTTGCATTAGTATTTCAACCCTATTTAAACTTTACAATCTCATATCAACAATTTAGGACATAAAATACACACAATACTTTAAATTATAATGCAAGTAGTTCACAATCAAATGAATGAAATCCTAATTGACAAATTAATAATCAAAATACACATAGAAGTAAGTCTAAAGGCATATTGATATGATTTTCACTTGATCCTAGGCCTTTAGTGACTTTCCCTGATCTTAATTTGATTAGCTAGGCCACGTGATATTTAAGAATGAAGGATGAGTTCAAATATATTCAGTAACTAAGGTCAACTTAGTCTATATAATTACATATCAATTAAATATAGATGCAAATGAAAATTAAATAACTTCACAAGCATCACAGACATAAATTACAATTATAATCTCATCCATAAAACTAACAACCATATAGTTGGGCATGTAACCCACATCATCAAGTATACCTCAATTATGCACATTCTGGGGCCATAAAAATAACAACCATGCATCTTTAAAAGACAACCGGATCTATAAATGTATGATTAATGACAGCCTTATACCTTTTTTATACCTCTGATATAAAATCGGTGGTTATTAAGTGGCTATGTCCACAACTGAACTAACCCAACCTTTTACTTGTGAGGAGATATTGGGTCAAAGTTAACTCACTCACTTGTATGCCATGATTTTTCCCAATACTAACAACTATGGGGTGTTGTACCCTAATCTAACCTCCTCATGAACTAATAGAGACTAGTTAGGTTTGAATTTCTTAAAAAACAAGTGGGATGTAACAGCCCTCTTGGGTCACCACTGCCTCTCCAGGGTCTTTTCCCAGGCGCTGGACAACACACATTTCACCACATGATTGCCGGCTTTCCCATTGGTGGTACAGTGGTTATTCCTCACCCCATCCTCACGGGGGTCTTTTGGAACCTCCCCAAACTCGAACCTCCAACCTCTACCACCTTAACGAAGTTGAGGCGAAGTCTGATACCATTGAGCCCCCGTGAGGGTGGGGTAAGAATAACCACTGTACCACCAATGGGAAAGCCGGCAATCATGTGGTGAAATGTGTGTTGTCCAGGGCCTGGGAAAAGACCCTGGAGAGGCAGTGGTGACCCAGGAGGGCTGGTACATGGGATAGTCCCCAATCAACTATAAGATATTAGCTACCTCTTGATTTCAATGGTCGGCTTTCGATTTCAACGGTAAGCTGCTATTACCACATGAATTTACTAATCTACTCTTCTTCCTAAGCAAAACTCCTACTAATGATCATATTATGCATATATTGACTCTTAATATGTCATTTTAATATAAATCATAGCCTTAAATCATATTCACACAATTTTCTAACTCCAACATATTCCACATGTTAAATATCGCATATTCTTCATTTTCATAATATTATGTTTTCAAATCATCATCATTAATCATATGAATAAACATGCATATTTTTATTCCAAACAACTTAACGCAATTTCACACACATAATTATCACATTGTTAAAATTTGCATCAGTGTTTTCAAACACTCAACAAGTTCCAAGCAACCTAATTCAACAAATAATTAACTAACATACAACTATACAAAATATATTTTTTCTCTGATTATCTCAAACCTTTAAGAGGTCAAAAGTTTACTCCTCAAAATACAAGTTTCCAAAGCCTCTTCTCAAGCTTGAATGGTGCCAATTTGTTTAATCTACAAGGAAATCACAAGGATATTTATTAATATCCCTCTTGAGTAATTTTTCTAACATGTAATTCCACATTCTCATTTATCAAAATCACATATTCACTCTCAATTATACTCATTAGGTTTATTATGCCCTACTAATTATATTGTCATAAATGAACTATTTAACCAACCTTAATGGCTTTAACCCAAATCCAACGACAATATTTATTGCCATTTTCAAGTATTAATGGTTCCCAACAACCAACAACTTACAAAACCATTAATGTGAAGTTTAAATACTCTAAACCAATATCATTATTCATATTTTAGTTAATGGTTTTAAACTTATAGTTCATATGGATCGAAAATTACTCTCCCAACTCAAACCCTAACTTTAATACACATTAAAATGGATGAGAAAGGGAGAAAGAAGCACATCAATTTTACCTTTAGTGTAGCGTAGCTTGGAATTGCTCTAAAGTCTTCAATAAAGCTAGCCTAGTAGAGGTTTTTGCTCTCTCTTCATTTTCTAATACTCCTTTTTTTGATTTTCAATTTTGAACACATATTTTTACTATAAATTTTTGGCCACGTGCTATGGCGGATGTATCATGCGCCGCAGCACATGGTATAGAAAGGCTTGTCTTTAAGTCATTGATACACGTGTACTATGTGGATGAATCCCATGCCATAATGTGTGGTACAGAATTAGTTCCTTATAATTTTTTCTCTCTTTTTGCATTTGTGCAACCTAACTTTACTTCGAACTTACATTTAAGGCTGAAAACACCATCCATCATACTAATTAGACCTCTCTGACTACACACCTCACTTGTTTATTCAATTGCTCTCTCTTACTTAATCCTGATTAGTTTTCTCAGGATGTTACAATCTGTATGTCATATGCTTTTATGAATATAATGTTACTAAATGGTTGTGTCCATAGGAATTTAAGGTTTTGAGCGATTTATTTTTGACCTCTTCCCCATTTATGCTTGTCGTCCTTGTGCAGTGGCCATATGATTTATGGATACAGAAGAATGCTTTTGTAAGGGATGAAGAAGACCATCATTGATAACCAAAGAAGTTAGACAATTTGATTGACCTTATAAATCTTCCCTTGGTACTTCAAGAGTTTGTAGGTCAATCTTAAATTTCTCGGTTAGGCTATTTTATGCAGGTTTAGTCCTACATCAAAACCAATAACCTCCAGGTTTCATTTTTTTCTCATATCTTCCCGTTTTACATGAGTATTGTAACATCCGCTATGACATTGCCATGACATAGCACACAACACTGTTATTACCATGATTAATTAATTTCTTATATTAAGTTATCATAACATAAGGGTTCGAAATAAAGTTTAAAAGTTAAGATCCCAATAAACTATTTTTGAAATGATGTTTGAGTTTAAACGATAGTTTAAAAATAATAAACAGAAGTATGAAAACATAAATTAGTACTTGTAAAGATCAAAAGAGCGTAATTTGAACACCTTCCAAAATACATCGCCCGCCACAGAGAGGAGAGTCCTTCGACTATGCAGTATGCCATGGCATAAGGTTTATTGCCACCTAATGTCCAATTTGAGAGATTTAAATGTCCACACATAACTCTTCAAGCCATTTATCAAAGCACTCACTTGAAAATATAACAACGGGGGTAAGTCAAGGACTTAGTAACTAAATAATCTAATCTATTTATAAGCATACAAGAATAGCATTTGAGTGAAATAGCAAGTAAAACATTTATTGGATACTTATCAATCACATTTTTATCATATAGTAACTCATACGATGTATGATCAACATTCTCCACCTTATATCCTCCTTATTTTCTCTGATTGAATCTGTAGACAAACAATAAAATTAGACCAAGTTCATATGACTGGACTGGCTCAAACTTACCAATCATGGAAGGTAGCCTCAGCTAAAGGTGCCTTCACCCATTATGGATCACAAGTTTCCTCTTTCTTCAAATATATAAGGTGTCATATGCTCAATCTATTTCAAATAGCACTAGAACTTTTAAACAAAAAAGGACTGTGTACGAAGACCTCCATAGTGCCAGTATACTATATGAATTTCACATAATATCTCCTAACAACTCTAAAGTAAATTTTCACCCTCTCATAATGATCATACTCATAACATTTCAATCACATGCATATCACTTATAAGGCGTATTCATATATCAAGTACTAATAGTTCACATCGTATCCAATTTCGCAGTCATTCATAAATAAACATAAAAATGGGTTTAAGCATAGGAAAATCTTTAGTTCAATGCCACATCACACAAATTTTGAAAATATCAACAATTTAAATATAAATCATGACTTTCACAATAAAATATAGATATACACATTCACTTTTGCAAATCTCATAAACATTCAAATACAAAAGTAAAAGGATTAAATTATCCAGTTACCTCAATCTTTTTTGCCACAAAAAGGGTTACCATAGCAATTTAGTTACTGCACAATAATCCACTACTTTAATAGGACTCAATCAATATTTAATCTACAAGATTAACTACTAATAACTAATTATAACTCTAATTAAACCCCCTTTTAGCTTAATTTTGAGTACCTTCTATACCCAAATTCCCTATTTAATACAATTAACACTTCCAATATACTCTATTAATTTTATTTAACATTCAAACACTTAAATAACATCGATTCTTTTCCCATATTACTTTCAATCTTCAATTCTCACCTAAGGTTCATCCAAACCCTAACAAAAAATCTCAAATCACTACAAAATTTATAAACATAGATTTACAAGCTTGATTTAACTCCCAAGGCCTAACTAAGCCAATAGATTTGGTCAAATCCCAAGGAAAGCTGAAATTAACACCCAACACTTCCTAAACCAATAGAAATTTCACATAGAGAGGAAGGAGAGTAGATAGGAAGCTTACCTCAAGGTGCTGTTACATTAGAAAGCCTTTAAATTAATCCAAAAGTATAACCCTAACTGCCCAAGAGCTCCCTTTAGTCGCCTATCACATTTTAGTTTCTTCCCTCTCCCGTTTCTGACTCAAATGCACATATGATATATTTAGATGTTTGCGCATTTGACGCGACACATGTTGTGTTCACAGTAGGGATGATACAATGAGGCTCAAAAACATTTTGGGCCTTACTCTGTGCCCTAGTTTACTTCAACTCTAATATAGTCATATTCCAAGGTTGTGTCGTGATCCAATAATCTTATTAGTGGTCAGAAAACATTATTAATTTTCTAATCACTTAATTTTACCAATTTACCCTTTAAATACTAGAAATTCAAAGTTAAAAACTAAGGATGTTACAATTACATTTGGTGAAATCATTTTCTTATATACTTAAACTTTTGTTTTTCTTTCAAAAGATAAAGCAATGTTACTATATGATCTTTAGAGGATCGAATATTTTGTATAATTGTAAGAAAATTGAAATTTTGAATATTAAAGAGATGCAAAGAAGCTTTTTTGATTGAGCCAGTAGATAGTATGGTTAGTTTTAGAGGGTCCAAAATGGGGCTTTAGTCTTTTCACAAACACCATCTTCTTTGATACTTGTTATCAATATTTTTTTATCCTCATAAAATGTCATTTCAAGATATGGTTAGATGCTTAAGTTACTTAAGTTGCAGATTCTTCCTCTGTTATTGATTACAGAAGCACAAAAGATTCTTCCTTGAATAAGGAGTCTAAGTGTGTAAAGTTGTAGCTTTGAATCCAAATTAGTTTAGATGAGAAACAAGCAACATCTTGCACAAGATGACAATCCAAATTAGTTTAGATGTTTATTTTTTTGCACGCTATCTTAATCTTTTGGAACATGATTGAGCAGATGTTTGCTAACTCTTTCTTGATATATTAATTAATAATAAATCTATAACTAGCAAAGCTGAAGATGAGACTGAATGGTAGAGCTATATTCCCTGAAATTAGTTCTACATATGTTGATAGATGGGTTTAGGGTTATGTATCCTAATGCGCCAACTTACCTTATCATCAATCATGAAGCAGTAAAAACTGCTTATTCTTCCCCACCTGCCCTTTTCTCTCCTCATTCTATGCAAGAAACTTGCAATATATGATTGCCATCAAACATATAAGCCTTCCCAATGCATTATAAGTAAACAATAGAAGTCAGTGAATTTGAAAGGAAGGAAATTTAAAATACAGCATCCCTACTAAATAGAAGTCAGTAATATTTTGCTAGCAAGAGAAATCTTGGTGTGAGGGAAACAATTTATTGTCGTTACTGCTTGTATGTCATCATATTGTAATGACGATATGTTTTAATGTCAAGTAGAACTTGTAGACTAGAGTTTTCTTCATGTTCTAAAATTACATTAATATTTGATAGGATAATTTTGCCATAATGGCAATGCTCTCTTTCTTTCTACGTTGTAGTTGAATCTTGCCTCTTTCTATTTATTTTGTCCAGAAGTATTTTTCATAGATGTGCATATGATGGTGATTTATTCCACTCTTATGAGTAATTTCAAGTTCATATTGTTTTGTTCAAAATATATAAGTTCTTAAGTTGTTCAAATTTTACCTTTTTTATTTTTTATTTTTTTACTTTTCACAGAATCTATGTAATACCACATCATGTATTATGGGTAGAAGAAGACCTCAACATATAAGAACTTTGGTTCATTTTTTCAAAGCACTTTGCAAATTCTTTTTAAATGCTACTCTTTTTGAATCTTAAGTTAGTAATTTATGATTAAATTTTCTTTTCTTTTTCCCCCTTTATATCTACAGCTTCTTGACTATTTAATGGTCTTGTTTTCTAATCAATTGCTATGCAGAAGGGAAAACTAAATTCATGAAAATTTTTCAATGACCTCTTCCTTCCCCCCTCTATATCTATCAGCCATAGCTTTCTATGAAATTGACAAGGCTCCTGAGGTTGAGTATGTATGATAGTAGGTTGCTTCTCTTAGAGTTCTTGAAGCCAAATTATTTAATAGGTAAACTTTTTTCAAATCTCCTCATTCTGTTTTCGCTCCAGCAGATTTTTTTTTTTTTTTATGACATCAATTTGCAGGAAGTAAGGTACATTGCCATCTATCAACCTATGACGGCTTTTTCCTTCTGTTACTCCATTTTATTGATTGATCGTTATTTTTATTTCAACTTATCAACCAACAACAATATAATGTGCTAAAATATTAATTAGAAGTGGATTCATTCTATATTATGTTAGTAACTCTTCTGTCTCAAACCCAACAGAATCTAAGCTAGTTGAGCATATTATATACTCAGTGCAGTTTCAACAGTATCCGTGACACAAGGGATTGATAATTGAATAGAGAAGTCCAAAATGTAATTATGCACAAGTTCAACAAATACGCAGGATGATATAATAGTTGTTGAAATTGACTTGCCTTCTACCTCTAGTAAGTCCTTAATAAGCACAACTTTGCTGTGTCTTTACAAGGACCTATTTCCCTCGAAAGAGAATCTTTTCCATTCCTGGCAATTTTGCAAAACATAAAGCTACCAGATAACATCTTTCAACACAGCTTACATAGCTATAGTGTATTAGATAAGCGGATATTCACATTACAAAACTCGAGTAACCAATCAAAGTATATAAAAATAAAAAAAAGTGTGTGGAACCATATACAAGGATAGCTAACCAAGGTGACGTCCCCTAAAAAAACCGGAAAAAAAAAAAAAACATTTTACCTTTATCTTGGTCCTGAAAGCCTAACAGCTGAAAGATATGCATCACTATTACAGTCTGATGGTCCAGAAGAGGTACCACCTTCACTCATAGATTTGAATAAAGACGAGTAAAGGCGAGAACCCATGGGAGAAGATGGTGGCGGCTTAGGAACAGTAGAGAGACCCTCAAGCATCTGAACAACTTTGGTCATGGAAGGCCTCAAAGACATATCTTCCTGTATGCACCACAAAGCAACTTTGATGGCAATATGAAACCTCTCATCATTTTCATCTATTCTCAATTTTGAATCAAGAAGATTTTTCAACTTCCCTTCTTCCATCATCTTGAAAGCAAAGGTTGGGAAGAAAGATTTGTCTGAAGATTCGTTAGGATCATAGTTTTTCCTTCCCCCAATAATCTCTAGCAACACCATCCCATAGCTGTACACATCACTTTTCTCTGATATAGCATAGTTTGTGATCCACTCTGGTGCAAGATATCCCCTAGTTCCCCTCAGTGTTGTGAAAACAAGGCTTTGTTCGCGATTCATGAGTTTAGCCAATCCAAAATCTGAAACTTTGGCAAGGAAATTCTCATCAAGAAGCACATTTTCTGGTTTGATGTCACAGTGAACAATCTTTGAATCACAGTCCTCATGCAGGTATGCAAGCCCTTTTGCTGTGGCTAAAGCAATATTAAACCTCGTATCCCAATCCAACATGAATTCTCTTTCACTTTTCTTGAATATCCATTTATCTAATGAGCCATTTGCCATAAACTCATAAGCAAGCAGGCGATGAGTTCCTTCAGCACAGAATCCTTTAAGCCTAACCAGATGAAGATGATGAATGCTACCAATGATGCTAACTTCAGCCCTGAACTCTTTCTTTCCTTGGCCTATGCTTTCCAGCTTCTTCACAGCTAGTAGAGACCCATCTGGTAGAACTCCTTTATAAACTGAGCCAAAACCTCCATGTCCAAGTTTCTCAGAGAAGTTCTTAGTAGCTGTTTGCATGTCTTTATAGCTGAAACGGACAGGCATTCCAGTAATATTCTCCAAGAAATTGTCCTCTTCTGAACTCCCTCTTGCAGACTCAGCAAATTTTTGTTTTCTTCTGTAGCATCTAAGTCCCACATAGAGCAGCCCCAAAATGACAAGCAAAGTAGTTATGATAATAACCACCACCACCACAATGTGCTTCTTGCTGCTTCCACTGCCACCTGAAGAGCTAGATCCTCCATTACTCGAGACCTTAATGTAAGAAACAAAACCTAAGTCTGCATCAGAATTCTCAAAGCTTCCTATACTATCCAACAGGAAACAGTTCCCTGAATTATTGTGGAAGAACACCGCAAGACATGAGCAATTTCCTAGACAAGAAGATTTGCAGCCATCCAAATCAGTTTTGGAGAATGGCGAAAGGAATCCAAGAGCGAAGTAACCAAGACCACCATCACCTTGCACGAGTTCTGCGGATACCTTTGAGTCATCACAAGGAGAGACAAGACCTGGTTTGCAATTGGCACCAGATCTCAGAGCCGAAGGGCAACGGCACTTGTTATCATCCGAACATATGTAATAAGGATCACAAGGTTCAGGTGTGCTGCAAGAATCTTTGGGAATCCTTGTTGGCGAGGGATTAATCGAACTTCCACCATTGAGATTAGCGAAAGTGATGAAACCATCACTTCCCAGAACGGCAGCCCAAGTGGAATTTGTGCCCGATGAATCTTCAGCAAAAACGAACTGCCATAACAAGGATTTATTTTTATCATAGAACTTCCATGAGTTTGCAGTGATGGAGGCTGAAGCCACCGCGTTACCGTCTTTATCAATGATTTTGCGGTCATCTTTCTGCAGAGACCAATAGGGCTGTGGGTTCTTAAAACCAGCAGAGAGAACTAAATCACTAGATTTGATCTCCAGAACGTGGGTCAAGTTATTTGGGTTAGGTTTACTGACAAGTTTCATTCCCTCTGTGAATTCCTGCTTTGGCAATAACGTATCAGTTGGATGGCTGAAACTCTGCCAAATTGTACTGTTATCGTTAGCAAGCAACACCAAGTTTCCTGAGTCCTGTAACTCCATTGAAGAAACACCTTTGCCCTTGGTATCTGTAGACCAAACCACGGCGCTTCCTTTCTGTAGAAAGACATTACCGGTTTTGTCGAACACAAACTTGTCAGAATTACTAACAGGGAGGTCTCTGTTTGCTGTCCAAACCACCATGGAATTGTCGCCGTGGACGATTACTAGAAGATATAACGAGTTGTCGTTCGGTGTAGGGATGAAGCCAAGCATAAATTCTCCATTGTCCGATATGAGAAACTTACCGTTTTTGTCAATCCAAGTCATCTGAGAGCCTTGAAACCCAGGAGTGATCGTGCCGATGCTCTGAATGCCAGCCAGAGAGATTTCAGACAAGAGGAGATTAGACAGGCACAGGATACCTATGATATGGATGAATGACCAGGTTTTCTTCATGGCTCCTGTCAAAAGGTCTCAGAAAACCTGCTATTGTTCGGGGAATTTAATGTCGCGAACAAGGAAGAAAATCCTGGAAATCGTAATTTGAAGAATGGGTACCTATTCCTCAGATGATTCACGAGTCAGATTTTCAGCACCAGCCAATAAGCTATTCAACTAAGCGTGTGAAACCGACGACCAGTGCACTAGGGAAGAGAAAGCAGAACTTTTGAAGGGCGATCGAATTTCACTTACTTTTCGGCGCGTCTTGTAACTTGGAGTTTCCCTTGAAGAAAACGAAATCGTGTCCGTCACCGACTATGAAAGAGGAAGTTCGCAACACGAGCAAAGGTAAAATATACAGATGCGATTTTCTTCTCGCCGCGCCAGAATCTTGTTGATGGAGATTCCACGGCGAATGAACAAGGCCAAAATTGATACGGATAAAAGAAGTCGAAGGTCACGAAAGCACAGATATAATAAAGGAGAGGATTGAGACTGAAGAAGGGAGGACGAATGGAAAGAAGACCAGAAGAGACAGTTGAAGGGTACTCTTCAGCATAATTGAGGGGCGTGAGAATGCTTCCCCAACGCAGTAATAGCATTTAATGAAGTGTAGAAGAAGGAAGAATAGAGAAGAGAGCATCAGAAGGTTGACCTCACCAGTCACCCCTGTAAATTTGATAAAATGGCTAAGAGAAGAAACAAGTGGATTTGCAGACGCGTGTGCTGTTGCTGGCTTTGTCTCTCAAGTTCTGTTTGTGCTCCTGTCATACGGAGAGGGGATGAGAGGTCTGGTGTTTGCCTTGTTCTCGAGGGCAGTGGAACTGCTAAACACAAGACGATTTTTCGGTTTGTGGGTTGACCATGGCTTTGACGGATCCAAGAACTCCTTTTCTGCATAAAAACTTGAGTGATCGATGGTTTTGTTTTTCTTTTTTTTGGGGCAGTTTTCTTTTGTTTTGCTACAATATTCTATACATACACAATGCGGCACGCTACCTCAGGGGAGAAAATATGGAAAGGTTTAGTACGGTGCAGAATAGACTGATGAAATAAAAGCAATAACGATGACAGTAATCAGAAAGAAATAAATAAAATATAGATGTGTTGGTTGGAATTGAATTGATGGATTATTATATCATAGTGATTATAAAAATGTGAAGGAGAAGAATGGTTTCGAGCTTTTGGTATGGGTTGGACTGCGAGTATGAGCATTTAGTGGCACAGGTGGGGTTGGGGAAGGTGGGGAGGGAGAGGCATTGATTGAAGGGCATTCCACTTGCATGTATTTATTATTAACGTGTGCCAGAATGAGAGCTGGACGGGACACGAATGTGATCATGCCAAGACATCGTCCATGTTTCTGCCACCTACTTGAAATCCTGGGTGGGTCCACCTCCCTCCCAAATCCGTTTCCCGTATTTGTTATCGTTAGTTATCGTTATTATTATTGAAAAATGAAGGATTTACATTAATCAAAACAGGAGTGCTCACGTGCTCCCCGAAGAAGACGACGACGACTACAAGGACACGATGCGTCATGCGTCTGTCAGAAAATTGGGAGGCTAGCGTCAAGCAAAAACGATCTATACTGGAGAGTGGATAACATTAATATGCTTTCATATTTTAAAGAAGATTCTTATTCCATCCATGTTTGCCTCGATCGAGATCTAATGACTCGTCCAGCAATTAGAGAGCAAAATATGACATTATTAGCACGTTTGGGGTGTGTGTTTGTGTGTGTGGGAATTGTTCTCTATCATAAAGAAAAGACCTTCATTTGCGAGAAGCAATGATGATTCCTCTTAATTAAGAACAGCTTCATAATGGAAGCATGCATAGTGTCACGGATGATATTTCCGTGACCATGTAAAGACCAAGATAGTGAACGGTCCGCTGGTTAGCCTCGCACAATATGGGTAAAGGGGGCGACATTAGCATTGGGGGTGTTCTGCCTCAGTCTTCGGACTGTGTGCACAACTGGTCGGGGGCTAGTGCCGCCTCCCTGATGAGCCCATGGCAGGGCGAAACCAGTGTGATCCGTACGTGGTAAGGCTTGTCCTGAGGATTATGGGGTCCTCCAGGACGCCGCACGGGCGCCGTGTGCTGCGCCAGACTCTCAGCCCGTGACAGAGTGGTATCAGAGCAGGACGTACTTTACTGCCGTGTGCGCGTGGGGTCCCACGTTGGGACTGGTCGGTCTCGGCACCGCTCCAGAAAGGCCTCCGAGCAGGTGGGTCCAAAAGTGGGGACTCGGGCGGGATGGTTGGCCGTTGTCGACTCAACTCCTGTTGGCTCGGGTGCGAGTGGGTCCGAAGAGTGCAGGACTCGGGTGGCCACTCAGCAAGTAAGCTGATGTGTTTGTGGCAGTACTGTACGTACGATCCTTGGGCAGAGTCGTTCTCCCCTAGCACGAGGGCGTGCTAGATTGGGTGTGGGAGAATGTCACGGATGATATTTCCGTGACCGTGTAAAGACCAAGATAGTGAACGGTCCGCTGGTTAGCCTCGCACAATATGGGTAAAGGGGCGACATTAGCATTGGGGTTCTGTAGGGACTGTGTGCACAACTGGTCGGGGGCTAGTGCCGCCTCCCTGATGAGCCCATGGCAGGGCGAAACCAGTGTGATCCGTACGTAGTAAGACTTGTCCTAAGGATTATGGGGTCCTCCAGGACGCCGCACGGGCGCCGTGTGCTGTGCCAGACTCTCAGCCCGTGACAATAGGCTGTTAATCTTGGCCCAGACAGATTTTAAATAATCATTTTATTTTGAAGATAATTTGATCTTCTTGCAAATAAACAAATGAAAACTGTTTTTTGGTCCATATTCTATATTATATTGTGTCAAATATAACTGGATCCCGAAATTATAGTAGTGACTCCACGAAGCGCCTTCTAGAATACTTGGCACCCAAGAAATCGAAAATGATAGGATTAGGATATGAATTGCACTGTCCCGTGGGAAGGCAAAAAAATTATATGAACTTAATTAAATACATGTCTTTGGGAGAACAACGTTAAGATTCCAAAATAACGAATTTATGATAGTTGTGTCTTTAACCAAAAACTTTTAAAAAATTAATCGTAAAAATTGATCAAACAGTTATAGATTTAAGAATTCTAGTTATAAAAAAAGTATTTAAATTTGAAATACAATTTTTAATTTGTAATCAAAATTTTCAGTTGATTAAATTGATATTTACAATTTACTTTTTAAAAAAAATACCCGAGAATTAGCCATTATAAATTCTCCATCTCGGCATTTTATTATCATCCCTCCTCATGCATGTTTTGGTGTTAGCTAAGAGATAGTGCGTGTCTTCGGTCCACAACCAACGTTTTTTGTCAGCGATAATAATTAAATGTTATTGGGTGGACGATTTTGAAAATGGAACACCGCTACATTCCAAATGGAGAGCCATTAAAGTCAACACAGAATCTTTGCGACTCCCATCTCTTTGTCATTAGTTTACCATCGTATTGCTACTTACAATTAGGATTTGGGTCACAATCCATCGGAAGAAATATGTACCTCTTTTCCCAAAGGCAAGGTAAAGCCATGGCTTTAATTATATGTATATTTTCCAAACCAAATCCTTTTAATTATAATATCGACATGGCTTAATATTTGAATTGGTCAACGAATGCTAGCTGCTTGCCTTATCATCACCGGAAGAAGGTCAACCAAAAAACTCTCAATTAAGGTGGATACTGCAGAACGTGCCATTGAAATACAACGAGTAATTAATAAATATTATTGATAGAATGATTAATTAGAAATTAAAACATGCTAATCAAGAGGGCTGAAGTTGATACATAGGCACATCGTGTGGACTGTTGAGGGTTATGTTCCTGAAGGCTCGGGAAATGAGTTTTTCCAATTGGCATGCGTGTAAACCAGTCCACCTCGGCCTCACCAGCTCAGACAATTAATGGGACAAGATCCTCTTTTCCTGTAAGTATATTTTCTCACACACACCCACGCACAAGAGTTTAATACTCCCACTAATCTTCCACTCCTTCAGAGAGAGGCCTTCGTTATTGATTTTTCTAATTAATTCAATGACCTGTTACTTGGCACTAGCTAGTTTGTATTATATACTCCTATATAATATTTATAGAATGATCAATCGCTCTCTTAGTTGTGATACAGAGTGTGCTCTTGCATTTATGAAGCGATCATTGGCTGCTTTTATTTACGTATTTGTTATTTGTCGAGGATCATGACGTGCCTCGTGCATTTTGAGCAATGATTCGTGAGACTGATTGATCATCGACAGATTGAAGAAGACATTGCTATCAAAAGTTTATTGCGTGCGTATCACCCACTCATGGGCTCACCAACTATACATGACTTGAAGACTGTTAATTTATTATATTGGTATTGATATTCAAGTAATTTACTATTGCTCCACGAGACTTGGTCTAGGGAGGAGGGTGCCGAGGATCATACGAGCTCGGGAGAATGCGTTATTTTGCGGGGTTGATGCATCGTCAATAGGGTGGTCATAGGTATAGTGACACGATCGAGGATTATATTACGTAGTTACAAAGGCCTTCGTGCATGATATGAAGGCAAAACCGGGTTGGGGGGGGGGCATATACATGGCGTTGAAAGTTGAGAATCCAGAATGATTCGGTTCAAGGTTTAAGCTGAAAATCCGTTCAGCGGCCACCTTTTGATCCTTTGTTTGAAAATCGATCAACTGCCCGGTTTTGTCTTCAAGCGCGGTATTTGACGCATTTAAGATGCAATGATCTTCTGACCACATCACAGAATTAAAAGGTGACAAAAGTGAAGTTGACCAAACTTGATACAATGTTTTTTTTTTTAATAGAACATGGATCAAAGCATCAAAATGCAAGCAATTTAGCCTAAAGCTAACAACAGAACCTATCATTATCCATTGCCTTGAGACAATAATGTGAGGGATGGTCAAAGAAACTCTACCTTAGACTAAAGGTAGCATTAGTCGTTAAAAAATGTGCACAAAAATTTTCCTCTCTGTACATGAAATTAATCATAACATCCCGATTCCAAAGCAACATAAATTGAGCTTGATCAATAATGTCTTTATACGGGTGTAACTCTTAGTTAGTTGGGTAAACTAGATTGAGAGCTTTTGCGCAATCAGTAAAAACTCAAATCTTATGAAAACCTTTAGTCTAACATAGTTGTAATCCATATATGACTCCTAGAAGTTCAATAATGGCAACAGGAAAGGAGCCAATACAAGCATTAAAACCTTTAACCAATTAGTAAAATTATCTTGTATTACCTCTCCACAATTTGCTATCCCATATTTCACAAATCTATCAATAACCAAGCGAACTTTACGTGATTTTGGTCTGGACCACTTCTCCAAAGAAACTATATTGATTCTTCCTAACTTGTTTGAGGTATGAAGTAAGTTAAGATTTGCTTTAGCTTTGTAAAGTGTTGCTAGACCAGATCTTATAACTTCCATATCCTTAGTAGAAAATGTGAGCTCATAATACTCACGCTAGATATCCTAGCATACGTAACCAAAAAGCACATTTCATGGTACCTACTTGGTAGAAACATTCCCTGCTTCTTTCATCTGATTCCAATCTATCCATTCAATAGCATTCAGCAACTTGAATTGGTTCCAAAGTCCTGGCTTGACAAGCATTTCCCACCTAGAAATTGCATGTGAGCAATCTCTAAAGAGATGGAGAGCTTCTTCTTTTCTGGTACATCCTAATGGGTATTGGTTTGATGGAATCAAACCCCATCTGAACGTCAGCTTTGAAGTGTGTAGCCTGTTGTTAGCAATAACCATAAAAGACTTTGATTTTCTCAGGACCTCGCCACCTCCATATTTTTGTCCAGGTTGCACCTAAAGTAGTCTGTGTACCTACAAAAAAGAAATTATAAGCAGAATGGATATTAAAGTTTTAATCATTGGATGGTTTCCACACAATAATGTCCTCTCTTCTCTCAAATCTCAAGATAGGAATACAAGCAATTTGTTGAATAATATGATTAGGCAAAGATCCTAGCATTCGATTCACATCCCGCCTTCCATCAAGAGTGACATAATTAGCAATAGACTCATTTTCATTGAAAGCAACATAAGTTATAAACTTTGAGAGTGGCTCACCATAAGGAGTCTACTTATCCTTCCAAAACTTTGTATTCAATCCATTCTCAATTCTCTTTCCTATTTCTTTTCTAAAGGTCTCCCAACACTCATAAATGCTTCTCCAAGTCAATGAAGCATTATTTCTCTATCATACCACAGGGTAAGAGTTATCTTAACACATATATTTAGATTTAAGCACCTTAACCCATAAGAAATCTTCATTTTGGAGTAGCTTCCAACAAAGCTTAAAAATGAAGGCTCTGTTTTGTTTCCCTAGGTCCTCAACTCTTAGGCCACCATTCTTTTTCTCCTTAAGAATACCATCCTAAGAGATGAAGTGGATTTTCTATTTCTCATCCTTTGTTCCCCAAAGAAAGCCCTTACACAATTTGTCTAACTCACTAATCAACTTCTTCAATAGTAGCATAGTTTGCATGTAATAAGAGGGCTAGCAGAGATAACAGATTTAATCAGCACAGCACAGCACGCACAGCTATATTTAATAACCCTTTTTTCTAGCTAGACAATCTAGCTCTCATCTTCTCAAGAATATGCAAAAAGAGCACTAATAAAGCTCTCCTATGGATTAATGAGACCCCAAGGTATTTTTTTAAATCTATAGTTAACCTAACTTGGAGTTTTTTACTAAGCTCTAAAGCTCTGTTAAAACGCACATTTCTATAATATCATATCTTTATTTTTCTTTTGTTCATCTTTTGTCTCGAGAATGTGCAAAATTGTTCCATACACTTATTTATCACATCAACCTAATCCAAGGAAGCTTCTATAAACAAAACAAGGTCATTAACAAAGAATAAGTGAGATAAGCTTGGTCTATCTTTACAAAGTTTGACTGGTTTCCCATTCTCTACTTCGTCTCGAATCAAATGATTGAGTTTTTCATACAAAGCGTAAAGATGTAAGGTGACATCAAATCCCCTTGTCTTAGTCTACGTGACAATTTGAAAGAATCACATACCTCTCCATTTCATAGAATCTAAAAGCTTGCAGTCTCAATACAAGCCATGATAATATTACACATCTTCTCATTAAGCCCTAAAATATTTAAGGTGTCTCTGATAAAGTGTCATTCAACTCGATCATAAACTTTCTCAAGATCAACTTTTGATAGCCATATACCTTTTTCTTCTTCTTCAAGTTCTTCACTGAGCGAATAACCTCTTGAGCCACAATGACATTATCATTACTTTTTCTTTCTAGAATAAAACTGCATTGCTAGGAGGCCATAATTTTGTTCATCAATGGTTTGAGCTTGTTAGCAATAACCTTTGAAATAATTTTATAGCTCACATTATATAAGGAGATGGGCCAAAAGTCATGCATTGATTTTGGATTGTCAACTTTAGGGATCAAAGCAAGGTGAGCATCGTTCAGCCTTTTCACTTTATCCATCTAAGCAAAGAATTCTTTCACTAAAGTGCAAATCGAGTCCCCTATATTGTGCCACTAATCTTGGTAGAAGAAAGCCCGTATTTTGTTTGGTCCAGGAGCTTTAAAGGCTCTTATCTCAAAAACTGCAGTTTTAATTTCATTCTCACTAATGTCATGGTTAAGGAACTGCATGTCAACCTCACAGAGTGAAGGAAACCCTCCATTAGTTGTTAATTTTGTATCAACAATGACTTCTCTTGTGAATGGCTACAAGAAATAATCCCTTGCCATCTCTTTTAAGGAATCTTGTTCATAAACCTAGTCGTCATTTTTATCTTTTAGAGCTTCAATCCTATTCTTCTTTCTTCTAAAGACAGTTAAGGCATAGAAAAATTTACTATTTCTATCATCCCATTATAACCAATCACACCTTGATACAATGTCATTCGGGTGCTATTGGGTAGTGTTGCATGCTTTTCAGGTTCAGTTCCTTTTCCACGTCAAATGATCGGTGATATTGCTGATCCAATCCGGATATGGATCAAAATTTTGGTTCGAGTGTAAATCACTGACTTCGCCTCTTTGATGCATTCACGTTTCTCTATAGCATTTGTACATTGAGGCCGCAAAAAAGAAAGGCGTATTTTTTTTCTCTAGTTAACAACGGTACTGATATTTACCATGCTCATAGATTGACTTATAATTCGAATAATTTATTTTTACACAAAAAATAAGGAATCAAGGCGGACGTTGTTAACAAAATCGATTGGAATTAATATCTGAAAATGTTCAGCCTTTTCAAATTGATTCTCTTCCCTCTGTTCTTTTAGAAGAAATTAAATGAAAAGGAAAATTTTCATTGTCGATTGTAATTTTTTTAAATAATTGCTCAACAATTTTCATTTCTTTCAGGTATTTTTTAAATGGGAGAGTACAATTTTACAAGTTTCTTTTCACTACAAAAATGCAATTTTCATTTCATTCCATTTCTTGTTCCATATTAAGTGTACCTGATCTAGTGACTGATTCTCCTACCACCACAAGAGCCCTTCATCTTTTGTCCGCGTTGCCGTTGGGAAATAACAACTGTTGTGAAAGAATAATAAAACATAAAAAATTTATAACGGTTCGATGTTTTTATTATTTTTATAATTTTATCCAAAACACAAACGAATCTGTCATTCATAAAGTTTTTTAGTTTATTTTTCTATTCCAATCTTTAGGATTGAAATTTTCTATAGTAATGCACTGTTCATTTAAGACAAAGTAATATTAACAAAGGTCAGTCTAGTTGATAAAAAAAATAGCTTATTTCTCATAAAATAATGAAATCAAATATTACTATCTTATTAGTAGATAATTTATAAATATCTCTACAAACGTTTTTTTAATTTTAGAGACATACCATAACTTTAGTAAATCTTAGAACCCAACTCATATAAGTTTTTCCCTATAAAAATAGGAGAGAAAGTAACAAAATACAGTAAATATATACACATGGGGGTCTATTTTTTCCCCTCCCTTTTTACTATTTTTTTTGCTTTATCTCTAAAGATAAAAAAATATTTTTTATTTTTTTAAAATATGGAAAATGTAATTTTTTTTCATCTCAAGAAATTATTGTGACATTAGGGTATCCTCGGTCTTGCACGGCAAATTATTTAAGAAAATGGAATAAAATAGGAGTACATTGAAAGAAAAATTGTTGGCCGCTCCACAAGTGTCATATCGCATACGCATTTGTACCCAGCACGCAAAAATGGTTTCAAGCTAACAAATTATTATTTGTCCATCTTTTCAATATGCATATCTCTCCATTTCTGATTTTCTTCTCATTGCTGATTGAAAAAAAAAAAATCTCTCTCTATTAAACTTTGTTTTTCCCAATCTTGCTTGACATTTGGACTGTTTTTATTCATTTAAGTGCAAATGGCATTAATCTGAAAGTACGAAATGATTTATCCGCATCAATTTATAAGATGCGCTATATTTTTTGTGGGTAAAAAATATGTCCTATAGTTTATAATAAATTATCTTACTTATAAGTTAGGAATAATAAGGAAGGTTTTCTTTGTATATCTTGTACAAATTTGTTAGGCTGCATTTACCGAAAATATTTATCCAATAAAAGATTAAAAAAAAAAAAGCAACATCATGCTCAGTAACTACGAGTTGGCAACTTGCCAACTTGGCACGTTCTCACGAATTACAAAAAAAATAAATAAATAAATAATAAAATCTATTGGTTGGCATGTATCATTTACAGGCTCATTTCATTGTGGTCATGCTCCAGAGTCTTACTTTCCAAATGGACCCATTTACAACTCACTACTCAAACTAAGCCCAACTAATAAGTTGTTCAAGTTCAACTTAACCCAAGAATGTACAACTCTTCACGATTCTTTTTGAAATGTTTGTTTGACCCGAAATAGCCAAAACGACGTTGCTCCAAGAGCGAAGCAGACATGGACACGGGATAGCAAGCCAGCAACCACGTGCTTCCGTGTATGGTCGCCACTAACGTGGCAGCTCCTATGCCGAATCAGCAGCTACCAATGATAAGTCCCCACATCATCACCTAATCGGAAAACGAAGCACGTTGGGCTCACGTGATTGAAATGATAAAGCAAGCGTGTGGGCTGATAAACGTGTATAGACCAGACCGAGCGATTTCCCACTCGGAAATGAAACGGAACATGTATGACTTGTTCCTTCCCGAGTCTTTTAGACCAGATATAAAATTTAAATGCAATGTAGTGTCTACCAGTCACATTCCCATCGCTCCGTTTTTCTGTTCCCTCATGGCTCCGTTATTTCATTTCATCTAAACAGCAACATATTTGATCAAACCAACGACGGACGGAGAGATCAACCACTGACGACGCCACCGAGATGAAGTACTGGAAACCAAGGTTGTCCAAGCAGAGCGACAAGTACGAGGTGAGGCTTAACCGTTTGAGGCTCGAATTGGGACTGTTTGGAGCCAGGGTGCGTGGCAATGAGACGATGGCCATCGAAATTGCTGCCAAACCTGAGTCTTCGAACCCAACCTCACGCTTCGCTCTTCCTTTTTATCCTAAGTCCAAACGACGCTGCCTGTACACCACCGACCGCAAAACCATCAGAAAATCACCGACTCTCTCATGGGACGCACGTGACCTCCAAGATTTTCATGTCGTCCTCAAAGATGACTCCGCCGTCTGCGACGTGGCGTTTCATGTCCTATATGTAAGTTTTCGTGACTTGTATTTAACTATTCATTAATTAATAAGCTGCTATTGTCTTGTTTCTTTTTAATTACTCGCTAACTGTCGTTTGATTAAAATGCAGGAAGAGAGGAGTGAAGGAAAACCCAGCGCTAAAAGGGAGGTGGTCGGAAAAGTTTCGATGGACTTGACGATGGCGGAATTGCTTGATAAGAAACAGGCGAAGACGAAGTCCGGTTGTCAGCTTCGAAGAAGGCTTCCAATCGAATTGAGAATCAACGGTTTGGCCATAGAAGCCACCCTTTCGGTATGCTCCAAGTTCATTCCCCACTTGCTTAATTTTTCTTAATTATTTAATTAATTAAACAATCAGTATATGCTAATGGCTCTTTATTTGGTCAAATAAGTTTTTGTCTTTATTTTTTTGTCTGTTCAATTATAATCTATTCATGGTTATAGCGTTTACTATCTTACCTTGTTTGGTTACATCAAAATTCGCGATTGATTACGAGTTTGTAACGCCAATCACTCTTTCTTCTTGCCTTGTTTGATGTGTAGTTTGGATTCTATTTGTCTAATGGTTCAGGCTTAATTTTAAATGGGTGAGATTTTTCTAAAAAAATATTTTATTATATATAATTTACAATTATTCGTTTTAAAATTAATATTTACAAGATTGACCCGGCGAATGAACGGCGTGGAATGCAATTTACGGTCATACATGCGTTCGTTACACTATGATCGTACCGTTGACTGAGCTGGAAGAAATTCTCGATCTGGTTTCCTCTCTTCGTGTTTTATTTTCTCGCCTTTGTCCGTATTTTATTGCGTGAATACAACTTCAATTGGAAAGCTGCAACATTTTCGGACAAACTTTGACCGTAGCATTTACATTTATTGACCTGACTTCCTCATTGAAACTTTGAACAGGTCTCTGGGAGCTTTCTGAAGCTCAATAGTTCTCATGACTCGCGTAAAACCCCCGAAAATTCGGTCTCCTCCGAGAAGAAGCAAAACGAAAGGAAGATTGATGAACCGAGTGCTTCCGAGTCAGAAGATTACCGCTGGTTTGACTCAGATGATTCGTCCAAATCGTTCACCAGTACCAGCACCACAAGCAGTGGGAGCAGCCTTAACACGCACTTCTCAGCAAGGTTAAACCCAAAAAGAAGTTTGAGACAGATAATTGTTTGGACACAAGCCAAAGGAATGGCATTAAGGGATTCAATTTTAGAGCCACGACCACAAGGAAACCAGAGGCCTTGAATACGGTATGGATGTAACTACAATAACATCACCTTCTTTACTTTGAACTGTATGCATAATATATTGGTATTATTTAAGAGGCAAAAGGTCATTCTTTTTTCACGTTGTTGCAGAAACCAGATAAAGGATGGCAGAGGAAGGAGCTGATGAGCAGAGATGGACGAGCAAAGCTTAACACTAGTGTGTTCTTTGCTTCATTTGATCAACGAAGCGAACAAGCCTCTGGCGAGAGTGCTTGTGCAGCACTTGTGACATTCGTAGCCCACTGGCTTCATTCGAACCAAGACATGCCGACAAAACCAGAATTTGATAACCTCATCACGGAAGGTTCCTCTGAATGGAGAAGGCTGTGTGAAAGAGATGATGCCTCCTCGAAGCTCTTCCCGGACAAGCACTTTGATCTTGATACTGTCATAGAAGCCAACCTGAGGCCTCTGTTTGTTGTCCGTGAGAAATCATATACGGGATTTTTCTCCCCTGACAAGTTTGAGAGCCTGAAAGGAGCCATGTCGTTCGATGAGATTTGGCATGAGATAAGCAGAGACGTGGTTGATTATGAGCCAAGGATCTACATTGTAAGTTGGAACGATCATTTTTTCGTGTTGAAGCTAGAAGCAGATGCTTATTACATTATAGACTCCTTGGGGGAGAGGCTTTTTGAAGGTTGCAAAGAGGCATTCATATTGAGGTTCGATGATTCGAGCTCCATGTATGAAAAAGCAGAAAAAGCAGCCAGGAGAAATGACAGTAGTGGTGGTGGTGGTAGCTTCAAGAGTGAGAAGGAAAATCTCAAGTTAGTTTGCAGTGGAAAAGATTGTTGTAGGGAGTTCATTAAACGGTTTCTTGCAGCCTTACCACTGAAGTATCTAGAGGAAGAGGAGAAGAAAGGGGCCATTTCTAGCCCCTATCTTCACCGGCGACTGCAGATTGACTTCCATTATAGCTCTTCACTGTCCACGTCTTCAACAGCTACCTCTCTTTTCAAGTGGGGCTTTAGAAAACCTCAGTCCTACCAATAAGAAAACCTCAAGCTTCTTGCCCTAGTGCCTTAATGCTTATATCCTATGACTCTTGAAGCGTGGAATGAAAGAAGGAGCTACGAGGCTGATGTTGGAGATTTTTGGGTCTCTTGAAGCATGAGATTTCCCACTTTGTATAGTGAAATTTGCCCATTTGAGAACACATATCAGGAGACTCAGCTATGGCTGCTTCTTTTTCTTGTGACAATTACATGTGATTTTGCTGATTTGAAGAAGCAAGTTATACCTGAATAAATGTTGTGTCTATGTAGTATGATTAGTCAATTGGCTTTTTAATTTATTTGCAAAGCATAGATAGGGTCAGGCCACGTAACAAACTTGTCAGGCTTTAAGCAGAGTAGCAGACATTAGTACCCTATCAAGTCATTCGCTAATCATTTCATTTTCCTTCCAAATGGAATAACGCCTAATACGAAAGCAGGTGGTCCATTCCTGGTGTTCACGGCATATTTACTTTAGCGTTGAGATGATGGTTTGATATGGCAAAGCCAGATACGCTTGTCCGCCATTTCCATAACCGAAGGCCGAATTAAGTTCTTCTCAATCGCTTTACTAAACACGAAACCCATCGGGCCCGCAGATCCCATCCCTAATATCTGCTTTGAGATTATTTCCTTAAACAGCATAGTTCAAGGTAAGGGAGCTCCGAGATCCAGATTCTGTCTCCCAATTTCGACGTAGATACCATAACTCATGTCTGGCTTATGCACAAAATCACCCTACAGTTTTGAAGTTACGACTGTTTGTATAAATTATAATATTCTTTGGAGATTGCAAATTTTACACAGCAAATTTAGACGTACGTCAAGAAGCTAGAATAGAGATGGATGCTGTGATGAACAAGCTCCAGAAGTTGGGACATGAAAAATTTTACTTCATTGCAGAAACACTCCGAATTCCGTACCCCCAAAATTTACATTAACTTACGAGTGTTCTAAAACATTGCCGGAGACAGCCCTCAAAATTACACATTTGTTCTGCCATTTCGGGAGGCAAAGTAAAGGCAGAAGCTAATCTAAAGAAGAACCTCAATTTTTCACCCCTGATTTCCAAGGCTTTAAACAAGCGAAATCTGGCTTGCGTTTCTGCACAGTTGGTCTTTCCGAAACAAAGGAAGAGAATTTTTCATCGTTTTGGCAAGTTTCACCGCTGAGCTTATTCCCTTCTTCTACACTCGAAAGAGGGCCTAATCGGAGAGATAGATCGCATCCCATTGTGGGTTGGTTCTGATCAGGATCACCCCTTTTCAGCGATTGAGGTTTCTGATTCGCAGCTGTGACGTTGGAGGCCAAGTGATTTCCCACACCACCCACAATACCAGGTCCAGAAGTGTTAGACATTGATTTATGCGAGGCTGTAGAACCATTATGGTATTCATCAACTGGAATGCGGTTTCCATAATACAAGGGGTAAACTGAAAACAAGTTCGTCAATGGTTGAAATTGCAAGCACTGCTTTTTACTAGGTGAAGGAAAATGCTCAGATGCAAACGCCAATGTGTTAGAGGAAGGAGTGGGATCAGTATTTCGGAAAACCAACCTTGGATATTCAGAACCCAGACGGCTAGATTTCACAAAATTTGAGCAAGGAGACACAAAATGTGGTTTTGCTATATGATCTGATTGATCTCCTCTTGCAGGCTTCTGTACTGGCTCTTGACCGTTGTGACTCAGATAACACCTTGGGCTATTGCGTTGACTCCTTGAAGCTTTTTCTGGGGTGCACCCCAAACACAGAGCAGCTGAATCATGCCAGAAACGTAGAAGGAACATTACCCAAAGAAAAGAAACCATTTTCATCACTCTTCTTTGTCGATGAAGATGCTAGACTGGCGCAGAACCTAACACTTTATAAAAGAAACAAAAAACAAATACAGTTTTTGTTTGAGTAATTTGAAGCCAGATGTGACACTTTACCTTCAATGCAAGGCTGGAGACACTCTCCAGTTTCGGTGCTCTCATCACGTCGAATTACTGTATCGATGGCGTCATTTGCTCTGACCAAGAGAGTTGTAAGGTCCATATATTCCGCCTACGCAAGAACAGTTATGAGTAATATTAAGGAGAGGTCTTCGGTATACAGAACTCACAAGTTAGTTTGCTTTTTCAGCCTCATAGAATACTTCTTTTCGCTTATACCCAAAATAAAAACTTTACAGTGAGAAATTTCTCTTATTTTTCCTTTCTCTTAGAAATTACCTCAGAATTGGCCTTGGAGTACATAATTTCTTCTGCCCTGAGCACCACAATAGGGAGCTTCTCCTGGTACTCCTTATTCTTCTTCGTAGCAGGACCATGTATGTCATTGACAACCCTAAATAGCATTCAGAAAAGGCAGAGATTAGAATGTATAGGAAGGAAGAAGAAAGAGGGGAAAGGCAGAAGGGAAGAACCTAAAAATTTCTTGAATGAGGGTTCCTCTAATGGGCTGGTGCGTGTCACTATGCCAAGCTCTTCTAACACAATCATACGGCCTGGGGCCAGGGCGTGGCATCCTGATTAGTTCTCGGAGAGATAGAAAGAGAAGCAGAGTGCTCTGTTTCTTCAAGAGAAACAAGACCCAGTGCTGCGTGCAAGGTTGAAGGCAACTCTTTTCCTGGGGTTTTTCCCCCTTCCTTTAAACTTTTACCCTTTTTCTCAGCTATGAGACTCCCGAAGACTCAACAGGACACGCTCTGAGCAAAATGCAGTATCACCCCAAGGGAGAGAACAGTGCCGAGAAAGGAAAGGAAGTGTAAAAGGAAAGCCTTTTTTGTTGTTGAGTCTGCTTTATTCATTTATTATGGGTTTTTGCTTTATATCATGTCAAAGCCCTCAATTATTATTATAGGCAAGGGAAGCGGAGAGGTGTGATCAATTGAATTGAGAGAGACTTTGGTGTGTCCCACACTCATCCTCATGCCTGCCTCCCCTAGCCCCAAGAGTCCCTTTCGCTTTTTGTAGTTTCTGCCTTTTGGCTTCTTCCCTCTCTCCTAACCATTCATTTGATAGGAGGAAAGCAAGACATTTGGTCTTCGTGTCGCTGTCGGTGACCTCAGAAACACCCCAACCTCTACTCTTACTGTAACAACTACGGTCCCTCTTGTTCACTATGGCGCTCCCTCCCTCCCAACTCCCCCCTCTTCATTTCTCTTTCTCTGCTTGATATTTGGTACGTCTCTGGTAAATCTGCAGCATTAAAACCTATCAGATTCTTTTAATTTCGGTTTCTTCAGGACAAGTTTTTGTCTGAATTGGAGGTTAGGTCCAGAATTCAGAATCCTATTCTATTCAATTTTGTGTTTCCATTCCATGAATCTAGTGTGCTTGTAATTTACTAGCAGTGTTCAGAGAAGCTCACACCCGTTGCTTGGCAACAAGAACTTCATATCAGAATCACAGGCTGGTAATCTCACGGAGCCGGAATAGACTCGTGATGATTAAAGTAATAAATGAATCTTACTTTGTGCAAATAATGGAATATTTTCTTCCCGATTGGTCGAGCCTAATGGATATAGAATACCAAGTCTAGGCATGAGCTTGGACTTTCTAATTTGTGAACTTGGTCGGGAACGCCTGTCCGTGACCAACCATTAAGTAGTTCGATAAGCTTCCCAGTCTATACTGCAACGTTCATGACTTCATTCTGAAGTTGTACAGTACAGGCTTTCGGTTTCCACTTTCCACGGGGAATAGGTCAGAACAAATTAGAATCATTAAATGAGACGTTGAGCCACTGAACAGATTCAGGTCGAAAAAAATATACAGAGCAGACGATCAGGATCAGACGCCCCAAAATGACGCCGTTTTCATATTCTGCACAGATTTTTGTTGGACTTTCTGGAGCAGAATTCTGTGGGGGAGATACTCTTTGCTTTTGTCAAGGATATGAATTGATAGGCATTTTGACTTGAAAATAATAAGATAAAATATTTGACTGGTGAGTAGTGAGCGCCTATTTTAGTATTTATATTCGACTGAAATTTTATGTTGATGCGTCTTCTACTGAAATATACACAATTTCATCACGCCAAACACGCGAGGGGGAAATTACGAGTCCAAATGTTTTTGTTGAACAAATTTGTGAAGTCTTCGTCAGCATCTAATTTCATTTTGTTGTCCTTCTTGCTTCGTCTTTAATCATGCCATTTGTTGGTTTAATTGCGCTGATCGGTGCTATTAACGTGGTCATGTTGATATATACAATGAAATCTATAACAAAACATGCAATTCACAAATTGCGAATAAATAATAATGTATTCATTCCTTAGATTTTACATGAAATGTGAAAAATGTATTCATTCCTTATGACACGCTGATTTAAGTTTACTTTATTATATTTATGATAGTCTAATACTGAAATAATTTTGTGCTTGTTTGGATAAGTGGACAGGCCTGGAGAGTTAAGTAAATAAACTTAAACCATGATTTTGATTATATATATATATATATATATATTCAAACACTTTCATTTTTCATAATCAATTTGCTGCCAAAACTCCATTCTACTCTAAACTACTTGGGGCTACTTATCATTTTTTGTTGTATTTGCTGGTGATCTTACTGTGTGTCAAAATTTTGCATTTGCCACACATATCCTTAGCATGGAAACCAGCATGCCTAGCGCTAAGTGCTAGCAGTAAACTCATATCTTTACTTCATATCACACCATATCTCATATACGTATGTATATATATAAATGTCAGTTATATATAATTTTTCAATTATTTCATCTTAGTAGGATGACAGCTAAGTTTCAGTGGAATCAATTGATTCAACTTAAATATCAACTAATTTCAAATTATCAACAAGGTCCCATGTATTTTTTATTGTACAAATCCAACTTATGAAAGAATTGACTAAGACATCCTTAGATTGTATTTGAATGGATGAATTTAAGCTAAAAATTTGAATTTAAAGTTTCATATTTAAAATATCACATTTAAAATTTACATATTTTAAATTCTTTATTTGGATGATACAAAAAATTTTAAATTGTAATATTTAAATTCTTTTTTTGAATCTAAAGTAAAATTTTAAATTTTAAATTATATATTTGATTTTAAAAGAAACTTGAAAGATTAGTTAAACTTGACAATTCGAATAGTCAACTTTCAATGTGATCAGATAAACAAAGCTGACTGGCATGGTGGTACCTGTCACAACCAAGACAGGACCTCTGACTTCTATCGGGACTGGACAAACGGCCACAACAGGGATTGGATGGTTGACTTCCGCCAGCACCAGACCGACGGTGATAACTGGGACCGAACGGCTAACTTTCATTGGAACTGGACCGACGGTGAAGATGAGGGACTGAACAATCAACTTCCATCGAGATTGGACCAACAACAACAATGGGAATCGAATGGCAGACTTTTACCAGGACCGGATCAATGACGATTGTAACATCCTAAGGTTTTTCATTTGTAATTATCAGTGTTTTCAAGAGATAAAATGGTCAATTTAGATAAATTGTTGATTTAGTAAGATTTATATGAGATTAATATGGTTTTTGAATTCTTGTGCAGCTTTGGAAAAGGGATGGGTCAATGTTCAAGCGGGCCATAACATGAAAAAGAGTTTAAAATTTTATGAAATTTTCTGTACCATGCGTCATGGCAGGCATGTCAATGCGCTGTGTGCAAAATCTGCACTTATCAGACATAAAAAATAAATCAAAAATAGAAGAGAGAAAGAGAGATAATGAGAGAGCGACAGAAAAGAGCTTGTGACTTGCTAGGGTACAATCCTTAGATTACTTTAAAGGCATTTAGAGCTTGAATCACTGTTGGGAAAGTTGCATATTCCCTCCTCTCCCTTATTATGTAAAAAATTTGAACATTTGGGACAATGGGGCTTTGATTTTGATTTTCTTGAATTTAGACTAAACTCATTGGTTTATTTAAGGTCTTAAGAAGTTAAATCAAGCCTCTAATCCTAAGTTTATGAGTTTTGTAGTGATTGAGAAATTTTGATAAGGGTTTGGACGAACTTTAGGCATAATTGAAAGATTTTGAGACAATGTGCGACATTGATTAATGATTTGTGTGGAGATATTTAATAGGATGGTTAGAGTATTTGGGAATGGTTGATGTAGTGAGAAAAGGATATTGGGTATTATAGGCACTTAGAACCTAGTGAATTTAGAATTAATCGGAGTAATAATTGATGATTGTTATTTAATTGTGTAGATTGAACATTGCTTGAGCTTTATCGTGTATATAGAACGTGTGGAGTTAACGTTGAGCCACGGTAACCCTTTTGTGTGACAAATGGTTGAGGTAACTATATAGTTTATGATGTTTATTAACTATTATAACTGTGTAAAAGTAAATACAAATGATAAATAATGGTTTTGAAGAGTTTTATGCATAATTTGATATTGTAAATGATTTTAACATGAAAAATCGATTTGTAAAATGTTATTGAATTTGATTGATATGTATATACTATATATATAAGTTTGTGATATGAAAATGTGAAAAAAGTAATAGAAATTGTAAAAGAGCATGATCATAAAGGGTGAGAGTTCACCCGAATATGTGGGGATGTGTGTGTGGAAATATGTGAGCAAAAAATTCATATGGTCGAGCTAACATCATGAAACATCCGGTGCAACATTATATGAGACTGTTACCATGGGACATTCGGACAATCTAGTAACTCCCTAGTACTCGTTAGGGTGCAATTAGGAGTTAACGATGCCTCTATCATGAGTGTGTGAGGAGGGAAAGACCATAATCCGTAGGTGGGTTAAATTACCTTTGGCTGATTGTTTCTACTACCGAAAGTGTGTTTGGGTCAATAAGTAGTTGATCTAGGAGAGCATATGGTTTCATGTCAAGAAGCATTGGAAGTTCAATAGTTAAATAATCATGCTAGTATGAAATTATGTGTTTTGATATGAAAAGATGCACTTATCTCATAATTATGGTATACTTGTTATTACTACAGTTTTGATACTTTTTCATGGTTATATGTGGTAATAAATATTTAATGAACTATATTGGTTACCGAGATATTTATCTTACCCCCTAGTTATAGTTTATAAATGAGGGCTCCGGTAAAGGTAAAGGGAAGGAAGGGACATTTAAATAGTAAAGAGCATAGTTGTATATGAACTCGGTGGAAGTTGATCATCTCATCTCGATCGATGGTGGCAGCTTGTTTCTGTGAACTTTGGCTGTTCAGTCCAATTACCGTTAGCAAGTCAATCGAGCCTTCATACATTTAGGTTAAAGTACAAAAGAGCTTGATTTAGGATTTAAAATGATAGGGGTTTAGAAAGAATTTTAAATTATAAATAAATTAAGGGAGAACTTGGTTTTGAATTTGGTCAAATCTAAATCCATATATTTTTAATTATCCAAACAATAAATTTAGCTCAAATTCAAATTCAAATTTAAATTCACGTATATCCAAACATAGCATTAATTTAAATATATGATTAAAATTTGAAAAACAAATTCATCATTTTTAAATTAAACAACTGGGAATCAAACTTGTAGATCTTTAGAGTTATTAGAATAATGGCATTGTTACTCTCAAACTTCACACATTAACATATGTGTTATTTCTTAAAATTTAGATAATAAATTATAAATTTATTTGTTTGAAGTTGTCAAAATAAAAGTCAAACTTGTAAATATCTAAAAATATTAGAATAATAAATTTATTATTTTTCAAATTTAAACATTAACACTTGGGTTGCCAATTCAATTTTGAAAAGCAAATTGCAAGTTCATTAGCTTGAAATTGTAAAATCAAGAGCTAAATTTATAAATTATATGTCTTGTTAAATTTAAAAAATAAATTACAAATTCATTATAAAAAAAATTGCAATGTCAGAATACAAAGTTGCATGCATATTTCTATGTCCATTAAATAATAACGAAAAATCACTTAAAAGCTAAAGAACTTACCTCACATTCTAAAATTGCTTGAGACGTAGGTCAACTAAATTAGTCCCCCAGGACCTAGTTATTCTTCCCATTTAACTTGCCCAGGTAGTGAAATTGTAATCAATTTAGCAATGGTAATTTATTTATTTTTTTTTTTTTTTTTGGCTGGGAAGCGCATCTACTGT